TACGAAAATGCACATTTGTCGCAGCATATATGAATGGGTTGATCGTCGAGTTGCACCAGGCTAAAACCTCTAAAACTTCCCATGTGACAGTTGATATGCAGTCGGTTCCACAGATCGAGAAGATCACAGTCATTACTTTGTAAGGCGTCCAGAACAGAACGAAACACCCTGTGAGGATGCATAAAATAATGGCTGCTTTCCGATGTCCTGCAAGATTCATTCTCTCCTTATTCTCGTCTACGGTTATTTCAATTTTGTTGTGGGACACTATTTCATTTTTACTAATTGTCCTTATTTGTCCATGATTCTCGACATTGTTAGTAGATTCTGGAGGTTGTGACTTTTCATATGTTTTAACATTATATCCACCAGGTAATTCTTTCGTAATATGATTAAGGTTCTGCGTAGAAAACTCTGATCTCATATTCGGGGGAGGTATATGTCTCACTGTAGATCTGCCACGAGATCTTCGTCTTATGTTAATGTAGACGTATAAATTCAATATTATCGCGATTGAAAGTAAAATTGCAAACGAAATCAAGTTGATAAACACGGTATAGTAGACATTAGATAAGAATTCCATCCTGCAGGCTTCAGTATAGTCAACACTATGTTGTCCGGTTATCGGTATCCAAGCAAACGCCAACGAGGAATGTAAACTGATCGCGATTGTCCAAACGAAGATCAGGATCATCCCCACACGCTTTTTAGTCTGGTACGTCTTATACTTTAGACCCATTCTGACCAGACAGTAGCGATCCCAGCTGATTAAGACCATTGTGATCATGGACACCCAGCACACAGTAGAGTCAAAGACACTCCATAGCTTACAGATGACCTCACCATGTGGCCAGAATCCCTTGATAAACCTTGAGAGATTTAAGGTCAGGCTAAAAGCGCCAACCGTAAAATCGGTTATCGCGAGGTTAACGATGAACAGATTACCCACATTCGCCCGAAGATGTGGGTCACGAATATATGCCAGAACCACGAGGATGTTTCCGATGACTGTCACAATGATTATGACTACAACGATCAATGAAATTATGGAGATTGAAGCTAGTGAATATCGGTGTTGATTCTCCTCTGCCGAAATATTGAAAGTAGAACCGTTTAATACTTCCATGTTCGCTACTTTAAACAAACGGGGCTAGCGAAAGAAAATGACAATTACTGTTCAGACGGAGAAGAGTCTATTCTCTTGTCTGTAATAAAATAGCTTCGTGTAAGTATTATGTGGTTCCATTCACAGGTTGGTGATCATATCTGAGTTACAGATGCACACTAACAGTTCCTTAAATTGCAAAAGGCCGTTTCTCTGTTCAGGCTATGTAGCAGCTAATGAGCTCTATATTAACCATTTCATAATTAAAAGTATGACATGCCGAATATTGAATAACTGGTCCAGTTTCTGAAATCGCCTTTGAGAGTTCGCCTTTTGCTGGTGCTGCTGATGCGTTTTGCGGTGATTAGAGCCAGTACTTCTGAGACTCAGGTCCTGTAAAAGAATGTGAAATAAATTGAGAACATAAACATTATCACCATCTCGTATACAGTTTTTAATTGTATTTTGAAATGACATTAAAATGTTTGCTGTCAATACCTTTTTGCGTGCAGTATGAATGACTGAATGCAACTATGTTTGGGCCCCAGTGGTATAGGAGCATCATGATATTTCAATGACACCACATTTATCACTACGGCTGCTCGCTAGAAACTTACTATGAAATGCCTAAAAACACTTAGACTAAGCATCATCAACCATGAGGAAAACATGCTCACCATGCGTAAATTGGCAGAAAACTGATACCTACATGTAAAGTGTAATGCTGGAGATGATGGAGCCTTGAAAAATTAAACAAAGCTATTATCACACTTCCTCAAGATGTCATGATGATCTAGAGGCTGACAGCATTATTAAACCATCCTTTACTTTCTTATCATTTTTTAAAGTATATTTCGCTACCAGAACTACAGATTATTTGCAAACGTCCACTGAGGGTGATTTTAGAAGAACTATTTTTAAAAATCGGCTATTATTTGTTTAAAATTATTTTAAACATCCTTTTCGTTTAAATTAAATATATGTTCGACTCTATCTATACTCACCCGTTTGATGTAGTCTCGTGGAAGAAGTATAATGGAATCACTTGGTGATCACAGCCAGGGCCAGACGAAGCAAATGACTTACATCATTTACATCAAGATCGTGCAGGATCGATGGGAAGCTGGATTTGCTTATGAAATTATGCTTCCCTGATTGATGTTATACGTGATAACATACTAGCTTCCAAGAGCAAATCTCTCCCCGATTTCACTTACCACTCAATCTTCTGGCATGAATAGAAACTATGGTGACTTAGTTCAAACCCATCAAAAAATATCTCAAGTTAGGAAAAAATAATTGGAATTCTGCTGATAATATTTGACAATAGATCACTTATCAGTCATGTGAAAGTGAAACATTTTACTCTATCCTGTTTATAAAGCACGGTGCTATCCACATGAAGACACTCACTCCTCCCCTAAACATAGAAATCTCCAGGGACCTTGGATGCTACGCTCCCTGTTAAGTGTGCACGTTCCCCTTCACTTTGTGACAATCATCAAAACCACTCATTGATGACAAGGCAGTTATTCATCAACCGTTACTTGAATATAATTTATCTTCACCAAAACTGTACTCGACTTTGCCTTTAACCAGCATAGCTACTCAAAGATCAATTACTCTTCACCAATGCCCTATTTGAAACTAAATTAATCCTCCCCAATACTAATTGAATAGTAAAATAAAGCTCTGTCTATTTCCAGGACAATACTAGAAGATATTCTTCAGCCACAACACTACTTATAAGAATATATTAATGATTATGATCAATGGTATATACCCTAACGTGACTTTTTAAAAATTTATTTCCTTGGTTGCCTCTTGGCTGATGTTATTTTCCATAAATTTTCTGCCAGTTTGTCAATAAAACAAACGACATTGTTTGATTAGCACCAATAGCCTTTTCTCGACTAAAATCATTTAAGACGTTGTATAATCTTCAAAGAAAGATATAGTTATTTTCAATTAATGCAAATTCAAAGTGACTAAATATCTATGATGATAAAACAATTATATTAGTAATAATGATGATAATAATGGTTTTAATACTATAGCTTTTCCCGCCCAACTTCGTTAACTTAGCGTCCGAATTAACGTTTGATACGTTTAGTCAAGTTCGTGCGAAATTGAATGACTATTTAGATCAACATTCAAAAAGCTAATTGCGTCATTCAATTTGATTTTGCAGCATGCGATTTCATACTATTGTAATGGAGACGTGCAAAGAGCATTCAAATTCGCCCTGGGCAGACGGTGGTATGTATTCGTGCATTCAATTTCGTGATTAGGCATAAATCATGTGACATGTGTGCATTGCTTTTCATTTGATGTTAATTTATCACTTTTTTAAGCACTAATTTAAGCAAAAGCTATATATAAACAGATTCTGGACAGATGTAGAATTCAGCTTTAATAGACATGGACATGATGGAAACAAAATACAATGATGAATAAAGAAAAAGATGTAACATGAAAAGAAAGAAAGGTTACCTACTCAATCAAGATTGATCAAAACAAACCATTTAAAATAAACTCGTTTGTAATGACAAATATGAACACATGTATAAAAACATGTTTCAACAAAAATAAAGATCGAAAGAAAGAGAAAACATTAAATGCAATATAAATCTATCAGACAAATAAGAAGATTGTATAATGTGAAATCATGTCAGAAAAGATCATAGATCAAAATAATGAAGATGAAAAAGTTATTTTTCGTACAAACATCGAGCCTCAAACAATGATTATAAAGTCTAGTTTAAATGAGAATGACACGATTGCGAAAGAATTTGCCCATAGACGAAAATGAAACCGCCAAAGAATTCCCCTCCCACTCAACATTGGCGATATTGAATGACGCTTATGCGTTTCCAAATTGACTGAACCAATCTTTAATTTGAATGTGCATGTTTAGAAAATTCAGTGACTCGAAACGAAATTGAATGCAACAAGTTTAAAAATGAAACAGGGGAGTAACGAGTGGAGAAAGTTTGCTCGAACACGAATGCACGTTAGTGAAATTGATCACTGCTTTGACGAAATTGGCCGTGAAAACATTACAAAAATCACCTCATTCATGATGAAAAGTAGGAAGATATTCATGTAGAGAGAGACCTTAAGAGAAAACTTAAAATGCGATATAAATATATCAGAAAAATAAGAAGTATAAGGAAAGAGAATAAATAAATGAACCTGAAAAGCTATACTACTAATTATAATAATAATAATTTGTAATTCTGCTTTCATACAAATGAATTCAGTACAAAAGTCAGATATCTCGTAAAACCCCCTAAGTGGTGTTGTTTTGATCAACACAGTCATTGATCTCGAAGAGGAAATAGGAAATGACGTGGTATTACAAAGAAAACGACCATGATTTGATGATTCGACGGATGACTGAACATATTCAAAGGCTTTGCAAACAAACAATTCCAAAACTGTTATGGTTTACAACACAAAAGAAACAAAACAACCGATATCAGCACGAGTTAGCACGAGCTAGCACCCATCTATACAATACGATGGAAATAACAAAAGGGTTTTTCCCATAAAACAATTTAATTTCATTGTTTATTCGAATGGAGTGGGCGGGCGATTCATTGCCATACCATACGAGGTTGTTTGAAAATTGTCGCATTTTAAATGTAATAGTGATCGGGAAGGGATTCGGTACCTTGTGCAGTACACTTTGGATTCATTTGGTACTAAAACATTTTGTCAGCGATCCTTTATCTCAACCTGCATGGATATGATTCTTAATCCGTTTTAAACCAGAACAATTCAACATCTGACATACGACATGGAGGGCGTACATGCATCTGGTGATAACATTTCTTTGGATGGGGAACAGCAACCTTATTCCCCTGCTTCACTTGCCATAATATCACTGATTATGGGGGTCATCATCGCCGTCACAATCATCGGTAACTTTTTCGTGATTTTAGCCTATATCCTCGATCCCCATGTCCGAGCGAACGTAGGCAATCTGCTTATACTAAACCTTGCAGTAACGGACTTTATGGTTGGTGTGTTTAGCCTAACGTTCAACCTCTCGTGGTTAGTAAAGGGTTTCTGGTCTCACGGTGAGATCATCTGTAAGCTGTGGCTAGTCCTGGACTATACTATATGCTGGGTGTCCCAGATCACAATGGTCCTAATCAGCTGGGATCGTTACTGCCTGGTCAGTATGGGTCTCAAGTATAAGACATACCAGACTAAGAAGCGCGTAGGACTCATTCTCGTCTTCGTCTGGACGATCATGCTCATTCTACTCTCTTTGCTCGCTTTTGCTTGGAGTCCCATAACAGGACATTCCAACATTGATTATGATCGAGTCTGCATCATGGAATTCATAGTTCTCCGGTATGCACCTCTAGCCATTAACTTGATTCCGTATGCCATTATGCTTGTTTGTATCGTTACCCTGAATACGTTTGTCTACATCAACATCTACCGGAGATCTAAGGTTAGACAATGTGGTCCAGCAAAGGTTGGTATGGGACATAAAACCCGGAACCTCGACGAAGGTACCATTGGATCTCCTAGCTCCGCATCGTGTGAAGTGCTATCATCAGGTCTACATGAACGCGGCGAAGACAACATAATGAACGCACCTGTCGCACCTACCGAGACTAACCCTGCAGAAGAAGGCCCACTGAAAGTCGTCGACGCAGAAAAAGTACGGATGACTCTCATCAGACATCGTAAAGCAGCCGTCGTTCTGAGCATCCTGACGGGTTGCTTTATCCTCTTCTGGCTGCCTTACATTATCACAACCGTGGTCTACTCCATCTGTGCAATGGAATGCGTGTCGAATGTCATCTGGGAACTCACTGAAGTTCTTGCGTGGTGCAATTCTGCGATTAATCCGTTTATTTACGCTGCCACTAATGTGCCATTTCGTAAAAATTTCCGACGATTTCTACTTCTTGATCGGTGGTCGTGTGGCTCAAAGCATTGTAACGGTGACGTATCCAGAAATTGATAATCGGGGTGGTACCTGAACAGCCTCGCAAATTAAAACACTGACTATAATTATTTAGTAGCCTATTGAGTAGGCCTATATCGTGTGTGCTTTTTCCCGATACGAATTTAAAGAGAAAGAAATTGTCACATTTTGTTTAACGAAGGCATGTTATTTGACATTGGGGAGACCCCACTCAGAGGTCGGAATGACCGCATGCGTGTTGCCAAAATGTCCGGTAAAGGGGTACTTTTCGTGCGACAAAGTCCGGCCCGAGAATTGTAAAAAAAGGGTGTATTTGACTTTTCACCCGGAGATTTCTTTAAAAAGGGGGTGTTTTTCTTTTTTTCTCTCATCTCTTTGGACTCCTGAGAAATTATTCCGAATTTAGGGGGGTATATTGAAAAATTTTCCTGATTTAGGGGGGTCTCCAAGGCAGGAAAAGCCCGCGAAAAGCCCGCGAAAGGGAGGTTCGGAAATGTTGGCAGTCCTCAGATAGGGGGTGCTTTCAAAAAGAGGGTACGAGCATATGCGTACCCTAAATAACACTGAGTGGGGGGGGGGGGGGCGGGAGGACTAGTGATTGAAAATGAGAAATGATCTCTCCGTCACAGTACGAAATTAAATGGGATTGTATATTTAGAAAACTAGTATGGTCTAGTCTTAGTTTAAGATTTTGTTTCCCCCAGACTCTCTCAATGATCAGATGACTGGGAAGAGACTTTTCTTCTTATTTGTGTTCCCATTTTAGCCAGCTTTTTCAACAGGTATTCAAATAGTATAAGCGCATCTGATGTTTGATCGAGGTAATATAATCTAGATTTTTGGATAATAATTGAGCTCACACTACAGACGTTATAGATCTCACCAATGGCGTAATGAGCAAATACAATTTGGGGTCAGAAAACAATCCGCACAACACCATATGGCATAAGGGGCAATTGTTTTTTAAGGGGGGTGAGGATGTTGATAATAATGGTCATGATGTTGGTCTATTGAATGTATAATTTATACCAACAAAGGAGAGAAAAAAGCCCAGAAAATCATGTCATTTCAGTAACATATTTTGTAAATCGCTGGTATCGACTTAGAAATAAATTACGTTTGACTTTTATGGGGCGGTATCTGCCCCCCCCCCCCATTAGTACGCCGATTGATCTCACACAAATAACCATTTATATGATACGATGTTATTTAGGAAACAATTAGAACTGCGACACATTTCATAAACAACATCTAAGAAGATATTCAGTTGATATCATTGACAAATTACGTTGAATGTGATGAATTTGGAGGGGGTGGGGTAAGATATTCCGTGCCTGCTACCTATTGCACAGCTGAAGCGGATATAATTTTCCCATGATATTTTGTTACTCCAAAATTATCAAGGAAAAAAGTCATCAGGATATCATAAAAAGTACAGGTACTCTTTACTTTATTTGGAATTCACAAGCTAGGCACTTACAAACTCTCGCATAAACAATAACATTCCACTTCCCCGTCCTACTTTCATACATATAGGTGTTATTTGTTCGATATTCTCAAATCATGTTTGTGTGTGTGTGTATGTGTGTGTTGGTAGCTGGTTGAATAACGATTTCCATATAGTAGACTTCTAATTAATGAAGCAATAGATTTCATAATTTATGTTATTATTTGATTAATTTATCTCTTTATGTGGAATCGATGATTAAATTTATTGGTTAGTAGGCCTATTGCCATAACAATACATTAAGCAATAGTTCTGATGTTTACGGGTTCAACGCACTTATTTTACTCCCTTCATATTAGCTTCCAAACACAAATGAGATGTATATACCTATTGTGCAGTGCTATATAGCTGGCTTGTATACCGCCAATGTCATTATAATTCATTGACGACTTTTGTTCGCATTTTGTTTGCGTTTTGTTAATGTCATGCTTGCAATTGTTCGCCGTACAGTTCTTTTCCTTATGCGTACACTTAATATGTACTTTTAGTATTGTGGAAACTTAGAGGCAAAGTTAAGTATTGGTATAGAAGGCGCTACACAAAATAATTTTGTTGTTAGATAATGAAAAACTGACTGTCAAATTTGATTTGATTTGATTTTCTTCTGCATTCGTATAAGTACACATTTTTTCGATATCAATAGTAATATAAAATACAATAAGTATTTTTCTGACTGTGAATTATTATGTAAGCAAATATATAACAGTTTTTATTTTCAAAAACGAAATGATAAACTGTCATAAAAACTAAATGTTATCAAACATTATACAACTATTTGCGGGAAAAGGACTGTCATTCCAAGCAGATTGCTTGAAAATTTGACAACCCCAGACAAAACTCATGACATAGATTGACACATTTATTAAGCAGAATGAATATTGACCATACAGGTGAAGATGGTGATGATGATGTTAATGGTATTGTTGATGTTGATGGTATTGTTGATGATGATTGTATTTTTGATGATGATGGTATTGTTGATGATGGTATTGTTGATGGTGATGGTATTTTTGATGATGATGGCATTGTTGATGGTGATGGTATTGTTGATGATGATGGTATTGTTGATGTTGATGGTATTGTTGATGATGATGGTATTGTTGATGATGATGGTATTTTTGATGATGATGGTATTGTTGATGGTGATGGTATTGTTGATGATGATGGTATTGTTGATGATGATGGTATTGTTGATGTTGATGGTATTGTTGATGATGATGGTATTGTTGATGATGGTGGTATTGTTGATGATGATGGTATTGTAATGATGATGCTGCTGATGATGATGATGGTAGTGTTAATGATGATGATGATGATAATGATGATGATGCTGCTGATGATGATGATGATGTTGATGATGATAATGATGATGATGGTGTTGATGATGATGATGAGGATGATGTTGATGATGGTGATGATGATGGTGATGCTGATGATGCTGATGATGATGCTGATGATGGTGATGATGATGGTGATGATGATGATGCTGATGATGATGCTGATAATGGTGATGATGATGGTGATGATGATGATGATGATGCTGATGATGATGATGATGGTGGTGATGATGGTGATGATGATGATGATGATGCTGATGATGATGATGATGGTGGTGATGATGGTGATGATGATGGTAGTGTTGATAATGATGATGATGATGATGCTGATGCTGATGACGATGATGATGATGATTCGAATGAAGGAAGAGATGATATCATGATAAAGATTGAAGACTTGACACATAAATGTTACCTTTGAAGCTTATCTGTACTAGTTTACAGGAAGTATTAGAGCACCCTGTAAGGTTACTGCACAGGTGGTTATTTCATCAACTCAGCTCTAAAAAAATATAAGAAAAAGAGGATCATGGGGGACCAATGGTCACCGATTAGGCATTGTTTTCTATATAGACGGAGCAAGGAGCTACAAGTAGGACGGTGTGGCTTTAATATTTTAAAATACCATCGTTTTTACTTTAGCCTTAAATGAGTAGAAGGAGCAACATGATTGAATAGATTCTGGGAGAGAGTTACATAGGTCTAGGCCTTGAATGTTTTATGGATCTATGAACAATGAGTAATTTTGGGTTGACTTGATGGACAATTGACAAATTACGGGTAGGGTAAGAGAGAATGACTTAATTTATAGTGTAAAAGTTTTGAAATGAAAGAGAGAGCATATCATTTAAATACTATAACATGATCAGTAAACTTTAGCGAATTTATGTCGAATACTGTTACGGTTTTCATTTGGTAAAAACTTGGACTTGTGTGTGCTAAATATTGTGAACCAGTACATATCTATGAAGGGCTTTCTTTTGCGATAAGTAAATAGCGTTGATTTTGCTTTTGGCGGTGGTGGCCCATACTAAATTGCAATATGTTATATACGGTTATATCAATGAATCATAAAGCAAAACAAGCGTAGTACATGGGATACATTTCTTCATGTTATATAATATACCAACATTCCTAGAAGTATAGAGAGCACACAATTTACATGACAAATTCGTCTTTGTTTGATTAAAATCAGCTCAGAGACGGCTGAAATATCCATAAATATATAGCTATTTCTAATATTTGTGGGGCCCCACAAATATTCGATAATTTTTAACCAGCCGTTGAAAGACCAAAACATGCTTACACTTTTCAAAAAGATGTTCTTTAAGTAGTTGTTGATGATCTCTTTATCTAATCATTATTTCAACAAAATATAACATGCACAATTTTATCATTAAAAATGGTTGGTTGAAACCAATGACTTTTTAGAGAATGCTCATGTGGTTTAATGCCCCTTGTTTACAGGCTTATTACTAAGTCGTTTGTAATGTTTGTATACCTTTCGAGCATGGTACAGTTAAAACTATATATGTAATGGTGCAGGTTTTGGATACTAAAGTTCAGTTTGACCAAAACTGTATTCTCTATACCAAAATTAAACTATCCCTTTAATGAACTCATAATAAAGGTATGCACTTAAAGAGGATATACAAACATTTCAAAAAACTTAGTAATAAGCCTGTAAACAAGATGCATTAAACCACATGAGAGCATTCTCTAAATGTTGATATTTGTTAACTAATGTAGATTTTCATTGTTCTTTTATGATTATGTATCTGTTTTTCATTTGCTCTATGTGTCAAATGTATAAAATGTATTTTCTTACCTTGTATATTCTTTTGGTTTTTAATGTGGAAAATAAATGAAATGAAATGAAATGAAATATAGATATAGTGATTATACGAAAGAAGGAGTTGGCTGATGGACGAGAGAGAGATACATTCAAAAAGTAAATGAAGAGACGGAAAAAGCCAGAAGGGAAGAAGAAGATATGGGTAGAGACACAGTTGGAGATATATATATAGAGAGAGAGAGAGAGAGAGAGAGGGGGGGGGGAAGAGAGAGCTAGAGAGAGAGAGAGAGGCTGCACCACAGAACCGACTGCACAAACGCATTTGTTGTTGTTGTTTTTATTGGCGTGTATCATTCATTTATGAATATTTACGCCGAATTCAAATTCAAATATAAAATATACTGTAGTCATTGCTAGACTATTTCAAGGCTTTTGTTTTTTCTCTGTTTTTCAAGACTGGCATAACTAACTGGTTTTAATCATAATGTTATTTTGGTGGTGGTTATTTTTTACCTGACTGCTAAGAAAGCATAAATGCTTGTAAGTAAGAGACGGCCGACGGCTTTAGGTCCTCTCCGAGGGACCTGGTAATGAGGATTAATGCTTTACCAAAGGGCACTAGCGCATCGACTTGGTTTTGAACCCGGGTCACTGGATTACGAGACCCCTGCTCTACCGACTAAGCTATCACGCCTCCTCCTGTTTTCATGTACAAGTACATTGTATTTTCTGTACGATTATAGATGTGTTGACATGTATCCCACATTTGCCCTCCATAATAGAATATCAACCCAGGGTAAAACACCTCCCTGATCAACCCATATCATTTTAGTTATATCGTATTGTACTCTGTTCGGTTCGCTTAGACTCGTTGTTGACAAACCTCTCAAATATTTCTTCTCTGTTTAATTTATTTCGAACTCTTTTCAGTAGAGAGGCCATGATTGTGAAAAGGTGCATCGAACCGTTTCCACCACAATAGAAATCCCCGATACGGTACGCACTTACACAAAGAAGTGGGTGTTGGTGTTCGATAGCGTCATCAGTGGATCCCACATATTGAACTGTTCTTTGTCTATCTGCTGTACGTTTATACAGGAGCTTGTGTTGTACGTTTAAATGCCACGACGAAGTTTTGTTTAAACTCTAATGCGGTGTACATATAATAATTCTACATCGAGTGCACTTGCTGTATTTTCATTCGGTGGGCCTAAATTCCGACGGACTTTTAGACTTATAATTGGAAAAGGGTAAGTTGATATATGTTTTGAAATATTTTGACAAATAGAGAAGTAAAAGTGAAAGTTAATACATATTGTTTAGAAGTGTTTTGCGATTCATATTAGTATAAGAAATACGAAACTATGCAATATCAACATTACTAAGTACTTATCATGGTCACTTGTGTGAATATTGCAAGGGTTCGCATTACGGAAACATGAGGCAAATATGTTTCGGTTGCGTCGGTATAATCAGGGTTAACAGTACTTTACCAACGTTAATATCAGCAGAGTCTCTCTCTCTCTCTCTCTCTCTCTCTCTCTCTCTCTCTCTCTCTCTCTCTCTCTCTCTCTATCTATCTATCTCTCCCTCTGTCTATCTCTCTCTCTCTTTCTCTCTCTATCTCTCTCTCTCTTTCTCTCTCTCTGTATCTATATATCTTTTTATCTCAGATTCTTTTGTTCCTTATATATCTATTTCATCTACGACGTGGTAGTGAACTTAGTAGTCTGCTTCCGAATACTTCGGAAAATAGAACAACTAAGTTGGATTTTTTAAAATAATACCTTTGAAGAGATGAAACTTTAAATATTAACATGTCCATGTACACTCTGCAAAAAAGTAAGTGGACAATAAATGTAATTTAGATTTTCAAACAAATATTTGATATGTACTTGTCTTTCATATATCAAAATAATATACATTAGTTGTCCTTGTAATTGGAATCATGTTTCGCGTATGAGTGAGCTTGTATTGCCATTAAACAATAAATGGGCCTCTGAAAGAAAAGTGCAAATATTGGGCATCTTGCCATTCAAATGAGGATGAGCATTTCCATCGTGTAGAATCACATTACAACAATGAAGGGAAAAAACAAACATTTCGAGAAACGTGAAAGGAGCCCGAGGCATCTTGACCGTGCTTGTCAAAACTATGCAGTCCCGAGATTGCTGATATCTGGAGCTCATTCCTCCTCATAGTTTCTCATCCAGATGCACACATTCATTAACATTTGAATGGCTACTCACCTCTTCTTCTTTTTTTTGGTGCAATTTTCCTAATCAGATCTCCTAAGGGTTAAATGAATATGCTCATTTAAGCGTGAAAGTTCAAATCTTGATTTTCATTAATGTTGTTGGAGTATTAATTTTCCTTTAGTTTGATACATATTTTATTATACTTATTTTGACGGTTTACATGAAAATTCTGGAGGACAAAGAGAGTTAATTGTCAATTACTTTCATTCTACTCTTGTTTTGTTGCTGATACGCCGTCTTTTCTCACTGCCGCGCCCTTTAAGATATTCATTTAAATTCTCATCATATTAATACAGGAATTGAAACATCATGAAGTTCTGGATGACTGTCCTCTCCTTGCTTGTAGCAATCATTCCTAATCTTGTCGCAGCCGATCCATTAGACAATATAAGTAAGTTTGTTCGTGTTTTTTTTTTTACTATATTTTGTTTTGGTTCATCTATTTTATAATATTGATGTATTGATAAATATTTATTTCATTCATCATAAAAAAACATTTGAAAGACAAAACATAGCGTACAAGTTAACGAGAAACATTTACAATAGAATACAACAACAACACAAATGTCATATGAATGTGGAGACAGCTAGGAAAGCCAAATGCTTTATTGGTGCTGCCACCGAAACAATAATACAGTATAATATCGTTGTTTAAAAGGGTGGTATGAAAAGCACTAAATAGAGGGGGATGGGATAGAAACGAAACAAAACTTGACCGTGTACAAATTAAATTCCCTAAGAAGAAACAACTGGAAGACTTGCAGGCGTCGGACTCCCTACTTTCGTATAATGCCGATGCTGATGCTGATGTTGATGATGCATTTCTTATTTAACTTTGGATTGACAAAATATATATCAAATGTTATCAAAGGAAACACGTGAAATAAGAATACTATTTCCGAATATGTCTATAATCTCGATCTACTTGCTGTTGGTATGTTCGGCGATCAATATGAAATATCATTTTATATTAAGTTTAACAATAATAAAGCTAGATAAAAGTTACCAAAATATTCGTACACGAAATGACGTATGTTCTTTTCAATAATAAGTAGGCCCATTATGTGCATTGTTACTGCAATAAAACTATCGACATTTTGAATAATGTAGGAATAGGAGATGAAAACGAAGAAAAGTACTTCAGTAGTAGTTCCTTGTTACACGTAGTATTATACAGCCAAGCCCAATTAATAAAAATATATGAATTAACATACATTTTGTATTTGTATTATACTTTTTTCACAGATGTTGTAGTTTCCTGATTTTTACTCTCCGTAATATAATAACAAACCAAAATAACACAATTTTGGTCCCTTTCCCTTCAATAGCAACTTTATATCTGAAGGAAATGAATGTTAGAGTGCCATAATTTCGTTATTTTATTGTATCATGTTTCTAAGCAATAATACAAATACTTGCATATCAATCTTCAACAATGTTATGAAAAGAATATGTTCTTTTATATTTTTTATATTTAATGACTCTTTAAAATACATGTATGCAATTTATATTTGTTGATGTACATGCGTTTTCTACAACTACTTCTTTTACTTCTTTTCTTCATGTTTCTCCTCTCCGTTTTCCTGACTTTATGTTATATTCTGTTTTCTTATTTTTGCTGCCCAAGCAATCTTATCATTTTAACTATATATATTTCAATATTGACAAATCAATTGTAACTGTATTTAATGTTTTAAATATACAATGAGTGTTTTAATTGTACACATGACCAATTCAGCCATTGGGCTAAGACACATGTTTTTGATAAACCTTGACTTGAATAAAGGAGTTTACAGATAGCACATGGTACAAATGACCCCAAATATCCACAGATCTTTCACACATGGAGAAGTTCCACTTTGAGCATCTTAGAATAATAACTGCCAAAGTCCTAGATGTTATTCATGAATACCTTTTGTTTGCCCTCTTGAAAAGAATACTTCCACCTGCGTATCTTAGAATGTACCGTTGGTGCATAAATGAATAATGTTACATAACTTTCATGAGCGCATATCCAGTATTCATCTCTGGTGGGTTTTACCTTTTTGGTACAAATGACCTTTATCTGCCCATGCGCAGATTGTATCTGTAAACTCCCTCATTGAATTGAATTGAATCACCCTATGCTTGTACCCTTACAGATAAACCAGCACTGGCCCTCATCCTCATCCCAGCATGTCTCATCTTCTTCATGATCTTTATTTACACCTCACCTTCAGATGATGACGAGAACGACAGGGATGATGACATCGAGAACCCGGCCGAACCCGACTACGAAAACACTTTCTTATAAAATTGTACATGGAAACCTGTATTCAAAAAATAATAATGATAAAAAAAAACGCCAAATGAAGACTCAAAAAGAGGTCTTTATCACTTGATCAGCAGGTGGTTATTAAAGACCAGTTTCCATTAACGTACTTATGTTTCAGTAAGAATCGCTCAAAGGATTACAAAAATGAGGTCTTTATACGCAGGTATTACTTCTATACTAGAAAGTAGATTTGACTGTGTATCTTCCCTGTGGTGTAACATCATACTTATAGGCGATAACCTTTGATCTTTAGCGTACATGCTTTCGTAAAAAGGTCTGCATTATCAAGTATATTTTCCTTCAAAAAAGACCCCTTTTGGTGTTTAAAACAAAAAAAGTTACGAAATGGGCTCTCCATGCAACCCTATAATGGCTTATCGAGAAGGCCAACACATCCACAAATAAAGTATTTTCGCAGAACAGAAACATACGCAAACTTCGTGAAAATGATTATTTTCGTGAAATGTCATGCTCTTACCCCCCACCCCCCCCCCCATACCCTCTTTTCAAATACTTCAACATGACCAAAATTACTCCTTTTGAAGAGAGAAAGTTTGAGGCTTCCATCTTTCTTATCATGAACATTGAAGGAAAACAGGTAGAATACAGAGTATGAAATCTGGCCCTATGATGAATACAATAAGTTGTAAATATAGTGCCAATTGTAAATATTTATTCCCTTTTAAAAAATATTATTCTTTGTTAGTACGAATCGAAATTCGTTATGCCAAATATGAAAAAAGAATATTGTGTAGTTTGACATCGCGTCTAATTATGGGACTTCGGACTAGGGTAGGGGTACGGGCGAGACCAAGGATGCCCCTTTAGTATTATCCATTATCTCCTTTCAATAAAGAGCTTTCCTATTTGAAACTAGCATTAACTCAGCCATATAAACCTATTAGCATGATTCCCAGGAAGCATATCAAATTGCCATTCTTTAATATTTTGAAGGTGTATTGTTTTTGGCACAAGCGACTAGTGAACCATTTCCGTATCTTAGCACCACCTACTCCCCCTCCAATCATTAAAAAAAGGGAATATATTCTTTAGGAATTGTATTCTGTATCATAGGCCTAATATGCATACAATGTAAATATTGTGTATATGTGCAGACTTATAGTTTTTTTTATATTTCATACTGTATTTTGTTTCATAATTTGTAATTGAATTAAAAAAAAAGAGAAATGTGATAGCTTTTAAATGTATACAATTGAATGTGAATAACATTAAAGGTTTATGTATATAACGATAAGATGAAATTTGTAGTATGTATCAAATAATTTGTAAAATAGATACAATGCATAATAAGAAGATGAGCAAGGCAACATATGAAGAAACAGCTATAAGAGAGAGAGAGAGAGAGAGAGAGAGAAGGGGGAGAGAGAGAGAGAGAGAGAGAGAGAAGGGGGAGAGAGAGGGGGGGGGGGGGTAGAGAGAGTCTGAGCTTCAAATAAAAGATCAAGAAAAAGAACTGAGATTGACAGATGGAGACAGGCAAGAGGAATTACTTGGAATTTGAAAAAAATGTAAGTTTACTGCTGAAAGATAGATCAATTAAATTAAAGTAAATGAATGTATAAAGATAGTGAAAGGATGAAGGGGAAGATGGAGACAGGAGTGTGAGCGTACATGACAGAGGAACAGAGGGTGGGAGAGGCGACAGGTGGAGAGATGATATAGGACAGAGAGGGAGAGAGAGCTCAGAATGAAAGATTAAGTATAAGAAATAGAGATTGACAGCTGGTAAGAGACATGTAATATAAACAAGAAAAGAGTACAGAGACACAGAGAGAGACAGAGAAAGAGAGAGGGAGAGAGAGAAAAAAAAGGGAAAGGGGAGAAAGATTGAAATAGACACAAGATAACTTGGTTCTTAATTGATAAAGATAAAATATTACAATAGAAAAACTAATCATCAAGCATCAATAATAAAGTGTTAATTTACCAGAGATAAAAATGAGCAAAGGGAATTATTTAGGGTTTTTTTTTTCTAAGGGGGAAAAAACAGATGACAGAAACATCTAAATAAAAACCAGAGGAAATATCAAAGGTCTAACTTATAGTAATATTTTATTTCCGGCACTAATCATATAACATGTCCGGATTCATCATATACAATTGCAATTACATATACAGCATACAATTATTTTTGTCTTCATATTCACATAATTGTGCCATATCGAGAAAAGAGATGGAATTACTGTTTCTATATGGATATATATTCTAAAATTATATACATAATCACCAAAGTAAATGTAAAGAAACAGTACAACATATCTAACATGCACGTGATTTGCATACACTTATGTACATTTGTTACCATCGGTACATGTTTACTTTCTACCTATTTTGTACATAATCATTCGTTCCTTGTTTCAGTAATGTATTTAAAACAAGAAAACACAAATATACTGTGAGTTGGCTTTAATACTGCTCTTAAACAATTAATTTCTGTTGTTGTATAGTTATAATACTAAAGACTACACAATGAGGTGACATCATAAATGTCTTGAACCACATAAACTGTTTTGGATATACATGTACAAAAGTTTCTAAATGTACTTGGAATTCTTTATTGGAAATGAAAGCATCCCATTGTGTACAAATCGCATTGTGGAAGAGTCTTTTCTTTACTTAAAGTTTAACCAGCCTGAATGTTAATTATTTCGTGAAAGAAATGCCACAGTGCAGTACACAATCGGTCAAAGAATTCAACACATTTACCAGAAATGTGCATAAATCTTGACCCCCCCCCCCCTTCTGCTTTATACAAACTCTACCAAAGCTAAAATCTCAGATTTGGTCTTTTACCAGCATTGTTTTGATGTTTGAGCCTAACTTGTGCAATAAATTAAATCTTTACAACTTTAATTTCATACTTGATACATCAACTGATGTTAATGGTCATGCATGAAATATGGCATTCAAAATTCTATCAAAGAAGCTGTGTAATTCTGCAACCACTTCCTGGTTCGTCCATGTACATTTCAGGCATTTATGGAATGCATTGGAGCATTGAATAATACATACATTTCATATCCAACGGCTCGCTGACATTGAAAACTGTCCACATTCCATGAGTTGTTTGTTTCACACCTTCACTTGTGTTCTAAATCCTTTTGATTCCATAACACTTGAAACTACTTAAAAATAGTTTATATTCATATCCTGTTTTCTGCTGGATACGAGCACTGTCACCTTGGCTAAATAAATAAAACAAAGTTCTTGCCAGCAGCAACAAAGTGCTGAAAGGGGAAGTAAATATTACTGCACTTTGTAGAGGTGTTGTGGTTTAGTGCATGGATACATCACCGGACTGTGGATCAATTGATTTGAGGTTTCAAGTCCCACCTTGTCACTGATGACCTGTAGCAAGACATTATTCTAAATTTGCCACTCCCCACCCAGGTGTTGAATGGGTACCAGGTAGGATGCAAACAAAGATGTTGTTGGATTGGCATGTGTGTGCACTTGTAAAATGGCTCCTGTCCAGAATACTCCCCCAGGGAGCGTAGTGTTTGCATGATCATGTGCAGATTGGCAATTTAATCCGACGACCGGGGTAATGAAATATTACAATGTAAAACTCTTAGAAACCTAGTATTAAGCCCAATACAAATGTGACTGTTATCATTATTACTAGACAGATTGAACCAAATAAATATCGTGCTAAAAGCGATAAACAGAAGAAATCATTACTCGTTACTAACAGACTAGCTTTTTAGAGGCCAGGTTAAAATCCTGAAGAAGTGGTTAGAACAAGGCCTTCTGATTTATAGAGTGCTACATGCCAATCTCTTCATCCCCTTCAAAACACCACAGCTCTTCAACTCAAAATTCAAAACATAAAAAAGTCAAACCATTGAAAAGTTAATTACTGTTTCACTTCATTTCTGAATATATTTTCTAGAACACAAATTTGTAATCTGTTGACTACTGAATTATCTCTGTCCCATAATAAATGCAGGATGTAAATGTAATCCTTGTAATTATAAAACAGAATCACTGACAATTCTTAAAAGCATTGTTTAACAATTTTAAATCTGAGATGCATGGCCCTACAAGTTATATGTAATGATGTACTATACAACATGTGAGAAATATGAAAATAAACTGAAACTGAAACTGAAACTGAACTGAAGTTATTAGTGTCTGTGATATGGTGTAATATTGAAACCCTACAAAAACTGCACTTCAAAATGATCATGAAGTGCCTCAAAAAAGTAAAAATCTTTGATTGACCGGTTTTTACCATACTCATTTTCCCCATTAAACTGTAGTGTTATAAAGACCGTTAGGAAAGCAAATTGTGAAATTTCGATTTCCAAACATAAATATCTTGATAATCAGACAGGCGATCGGCATGTAAAAGTCATGGGGTTCCTGATTGACATAAAGGTTTATAATTATCATTGCAGCATGAGCTAAATCCAGGATTTTGTTTCAGAATCTGAGACAAAGATACCCAATCCCTTTTAATAGATGGAGATGCTGACAGTAGGTGATCCATAACTTATTGGACTAAGGTTCAAATTTGACTTAGTCTGTTTTCCTGAATGTTCTATCATCTTCTATTAATAAGAGCATCTCAATACTTAATAACCTGTCAAGTCTCATTAACTTGTCGAGTGGTTTAAGGCGCTTGACTGGAGATGCGAAGGTTGAGGGTTCAAATCCCGAAACGGCACTAATATCCTTTGGCAAGATATAAACCTGCACTTGCTACTCTCCACCCAGGTGTTAAATGGGTACCCGGTAGGATGCGACCGTCATTGTCGGTCAAACAATTTTTGAGCGTCAAGTAACGCCTGGCTTGAATGCTCCCCAGGGAGTGGAGATTGTGCACACATTGTGTGCAGGCAAATATTGAATCCAATGACCGGGGTAATAGTATATTTGTAAAGCGCTTAGAGACATTTGTATTAAGCGCTATATAAAAGCTAAATATTATTATTATTATTATTATTAAAGCAATCATACGGCAAGATTAATGCATCACATCCGATACAAGTAGAACACCACGCATCAATAGTCAGTACTGCAGTCTGTATCATACAATATTTACAAGTGAATTAGATCATGATTTAAATCTTCATTTACAAGTCATATCATACAAGGTCCATGTTTTGGTCTCTGATTCTACAATCTAACTCCCATACACACAACCTGCAGCACAATACTTAAGGAGGTAGGAATCTCTAAGAGAGAACCAAAAATCAAAATTGTACCTATTTTTTTCCAAAATCAAATTGACAAGGATACTGGTTTGTTTTACTCAATTACCATGACAAGACCTTGCCATGTACATGCAGGAAAACCATATGTTTTGTAGAATATGGATCCTGCAAAAATGACTGAACAGAGAAAAGGGTCCAGCCTGAATTCATACAAAAAGGCCGGAAAAATAATGGTAGCCCTGATTTTAATTCCTGGATAACATTTGTACTTCATCCCCTGTAGGGAATATACTGAACAGAGAAACAAATGCGGAAGGCTCGTTGATATATACGGGTTAGACTAAGCACCATACAAGTTCTACATTTTATTAGTGATATCGTTCGTACTTATAAACATGTGTTTAGTACGTCCTGCCCTTTAAATCTGTTACGAAATTGAAAAAACAAACCAATTTTGGTTCTCCTTGTCCTTAACTGTTCACTGATCATATACCTTATCAATATATTTCTCAGGACAATTCAAATTGCATGATGGGCCGTGCAAACTAATCACTTCATCAGAAAATGCTTATTTAAAAGGGAAAAACAGGAAAAATGTATTGGTCATAGCGGACATACAGTGTAAGGAATAAAATAGCAATAGCATGGCATAGTCCATCATTGAATTTACAAAGGGATACAAAATAAGATTTTTTTTGTCATAATCCATGCAGTACATTTGACATAAATATTATTTTATAATATATCTATGTTCGTTAATAATACGTTGTTATTAGATGTGAGTCAGCTGTTTACTTATACAAAATAAAATACTGTCTTCTTTATGATAATAAAACAAAAAGCTAAGGTACATAGCAAAGGGTAAAAAATTAAATAAAGAGCCCCTTATGTAAAGCCAAAGTTAAAAACATGCTTTGCATACGATATAACAGTCATCTTCTTCCACAAACTGACTGTTACCTTTAAAGGACAAATGTAAGTCTTTTAAAATCAGGTTGGTCTAGTAATGAATGTCATACTGGTTTCTTTACAAGTTTGATGAGGCTATGATCAGCGATCAAGACTCTTGAAATCTTTATAAATTCATGGTGTCATTCCTATGATCAGAAATTGAAATCTCTTTTTCTATGATCGGAGAACAAGGTCAATAGATATTCAGAACTACTTTCTGAATCATAAAGTTCATATTCATTCATTGCACCAGGTATCCCACCTTGCAATGGCATGTCAATTACAGGATTTGACGAGACAGGGGTAGTGCTGTAGCTTGGATCCCACAACAGTCTCAAACTCACCCTTCTAAAAAGCTACTGAGCCGAGCCAATAAAAAACCAGACCAGGAGGCAAATCATGTCAGCTCGAGAACAAAGGTCCAGGTGATTTTTTAAGTAGCTCAGTATGATTTTTGTACTCGTAATAAATGTAAGTGAGAGAGATATACCCAAGAGAGCGAGATAAGAGTACTAATATATCTATGGGCCTATGATGCATCATATGATCATACATGGATTAAGCCTATTAAAGACATGGATAGACAGGGTCAGAAAAGGTCTTGGGAATAACCATTCTGATTATTGATCCAGCTGTGTCCCAAATTGATTCACCAGGCCAGTCAAGAACTAGAAATATTACGTTCTTAATCTACCCAGTAAGGATTTTTAAAGATTAGTGCAGGGATGCCATTTAGAATCAATCAGAGGGCCTGAAAATCACATAGAATTGATTATTTTGTACCTAAAAAAGGCTTTTTCTATGGCCTGAAGATAGATTCAAGGGCCTGAATTCAGGCTTTTGTCTGAAACTTGGCATCTTTAGTGAGCTGGACCAGGGGGGCGTTTCACAATACTTGTCATCAGTGACAAATGGCAGTTTGTGTTATAAGCTACTGAAATCCTTGCTTCTGATTGGTTATCAGCAGATTTATCACTGATTTTTGTCATTTGTCATTGAAAAAAGGCTTTGTGAAACAGGTCCCTGAACCGTGATTTGGCTACCTCGCTACAGCACTGGTTAGGGAGTTGTTCACCTTGACATGGGATCCCACACACCTAGTTTGCCGTCCTGGAATACAAGGTTCCTGGTGGGGTAGGGCAGGGTGGGGGACTGACTGCGCTGGGTTGATGATGGGGTCATGGCAGCATCGGCTGGCAAGTCGGGCACTACGGGCAAGTCCTGGAGGAGCAGAATGAACGAGAAATGGGTTAGAAAAGGCAAGTGAGAGAAATGGGGAAGGGGAAGAACAGAAAATAATAAATAATTATAGGCATTTCTATAGAACCGTCTATCTAGAAATTCTATTCCCAGGCGCATTATTACCCCGGCTTTAGCCTAGCTGCCATTACAGCGCTCTAGCATTTCAAGTAATTTATTCCTGCCAGGTACCATACCCATTTACATCACCTGGGTTGAGTGTGGCAAATGTATATCAATGTCTTGCCAAAGGACATTGTCGTGGCGGGACTCGAACCGCTGACCTTGTGATCCACAGACTGGTGACGTTTCCACTCGACCACCAAACCTCTACACTTTTCACCTTTTAAACTTTTTCATTTCTTACCTGTTGCCTAGCAATGAAGTTGAGCAGCTGCAGCGAAAGCTTTCGACTTGAATGAAGTAAGTACTCTAAGCTCTTCTTCTGGCACAGCCGCTTTTCAGCTATCCTCTGGCAAACCTCCTGATTGACGAACTCATCAAAGAGAGGGACACCAAAGCTAAGGTCCAGGAGAGCCCAGTTTGATTCCATCTCTTCTGAAAGGACCCTGTCATTCCCTTCAGGCACCTGAAGAATGAAAATCATAAAAACTATTAGTAATGAAAATAATAACTTTTTAAAAAAAATCTTCTAAAGTCCACTCCAAATTTTATTAAGTTAAACCGAAAATGGAATTTTTTTTTGCCTAATTGATCGTGAGCCACTGAGCAGCGCCAGATCAACGTTGCTCTATCCCTTATTGTTGAGTCATGCATTGATAACCACAACATTGATTGAGGAGATATTAGCAAATACAAAAAATGGTAGGAGAGAACCCCAGGTTGTTGTAATTACATTTGTTTTTCCCCTTCCAGAAATAAAAAATGCTAGATAAAAGAATAATTACATGCTGTACATGACAGTGAAAATTGATATTTGAATCAAAGTTTTGTAGTGACTTTTTTTTTTTCTCAAAAAGTGATAAAAATATAAAACATTTCTTTTAACTAGTAAAAAACTTCAAAGCATGAAACATTATGTTTTCCACAATATTGATATTTGAATCAAAGTTCTGTAGTGACTTTTTTTTCTCTCAAAGAGTGATAAAAACATCAACAATTTCTTTTAACCCGAAAATAACTTCAAAGCATGAAACATAACAAATAAATTAAGATGTTGGGGTTATCAAAGCTGTCTGTTAATAAAATAGACATTTGAACCCTTTGGGTCAACGAGTGAACAGTTAAAATGACGGTTAGCTTGGATGATCCCTTGATTTTGAATACATACCTCTCTCGTTTCCAATGGTAGCTGCATTAAATCTTTAGCCTTCTCTATATCCAGGCTCTCGCTCTCTGCTGCCTGTCCCCCTACTGCTTCCTCCAACCCCGGACTCTCCTCGTCATCCGCTGCCTCGCTGAGCTGCGATGCGGTCAACTGATTCTGAGCATCCTCATCATCCTTGCCTTCAGCCTTGGTCTCTTGGTTGCTAGGTAACGGGGTCGGGGCTGAGAGGCAGCCTGATCTGAGGAGGGTGATGTAGCCACAGGAATGTGTCAGGTCGAGCTCCTCCTCCAGTTTCTTGATTGTTTTGTGAGTGTGCATGGAGCTCCTTGTTAAGTGACCTGCAAAGCCGGGAGAAGAGGAACAAAAATAAATAGTATACAAGTATTGACTGCTTTGAGAGGCCTGGCTGTTTTAATAGGCTCCTCAAGGGGACATTGCATCCTGCCATGACCCTGAGACGCGCAATTCTTACCTTATCCTTTTCTTGAGTAACGATTGGTTAAAACATCACAGAAGATCGGAGACACTTGTCTGTTAATCTTAGCTGGAAAGATGACTGAATATTTCAATCATTTAGGAATCGCAGACAAAAAGCACTGTATGGTATCCGTGCTTGCACAAAGTAACTTTGAACATGTAAACCAATGGGAATCTCATCAAAATTTCACTATTTTCCCGGTACCCGGAATCTTCTGTACTGTGCCCTATAAAGACAAAGTCGAGGGGGATAGTGCAGTCCCAAGATCACCCGGGAGCTATATTTTTAAATGTGACCTGAAAAAGTAGGCAGTCATTATTTATTTTATATACTGCATTCCCCATTTTCAATTCTCAAAAAGAAAAATTTTAACAAAATATGTAGGTCAAAGTGTAATTATTTGTGGAGTTGAATGAAAATTTACCTTTCTAAACTAGAGCATTTATTCATTGCGCCGCAGCGCAGATCCATTGATAACTTTGGGTGCTACCATCGCATCCTTGCATCGTACGCACAAATAGAACTGTACCTGGTCAACAATTTTCGCTATACTGCCGTTTCGACCAATCAGAGGCCTAGGATCATAACATGTGGTATATCATAAATTGTAATAGACATTTGATCATTATCACCTTGCAACCCCTCATTCATATCTCTTCCCATCTTGAAAAATGAAAGAGTACATGTACTTTTCTTGAATTTCTTCTCACATCTCCAGTATCATGTTGGTCGATTCAAGAGGTTCTTTTGAAGTTCTTTGAGACTTTACTGTTAAGAGTTTATAATGTTTAAAGCACTCCAAAAGCAGAGTAGAGAAAGTGTGCCAAGATTACAGCATAGGCTACAGCCATTAGGTCTGTCCATCATAAAATGATGGATAAAATACAACTAAAGCACAAGAGTTACATGTATCTACATGTGTATGTACATACCCTTTCTTGTGCTTTCATCAAGAGGAAATGGAACACATATTGTCTCCCCATCTCTCAACCAGCCGTGTGCCTGGAAAAGAAAGTTAATTTATCATGGTCATCATCTTCCTCGTCCTCCTCATAATCATCATCAACAGTATCATCATAATATTGAAGTTACTACATACTGAAGGAAATTAAATGTAAGTACATCTGTCGACTAGCTTCAACATAAATAGCATTTGCAACCAGTAAAAAGTGTCTCTTTCTCCCTTTCTTCCTCCCACTCTCTCTCTCTCTCTCCCTCTCCCTCTCCCTCCTTCTCTCCCTCCCCCTCTCTCTCTATCTATTTTTCTCTCCCTCCCTCCCTCCTCACTCGCTCTCTCCCAATTTCTCTCCCTCTGTCCTTCCCTCTCTCTCTATCTCTTCCTCTCTCTCTCTCTCTCTCTCCCTCCCTCCTTCTCTCCCTCCCACTCTTTCTCCCTGATAGCTTTCATTCAGTCTGAATCATGTTTGTTGTACCTTAATCATTGTCCTACATGTATATCAACATTTATCAGCAGAAAATTATTGCTTTCGGAGCCCTTGAGAATTGTGGCCCTTTCTTGGGAAGAGATGTGAATTTTAGATGTTTAACCGTTAGTGACCAACATGAGTATATGTTATTATAAGATGATGACATGGATTTTATCAAATGATTGGTTGAAAGCATACACGTGACCAGACATTCATTTTGCCTAACGCCTAATTTGGATAATGACCTGTCAATATCCAATATTAATGACCGGTCATTAGTAAAATCATGTTAAAAAACATCGTTTTATAAAACAAATAAATCATAATCTTATAAAACAAATAATACACATAATTTTGTTCAGGCATTAGTAAAATTACCCACACTCGGTACCTTCAAAACAGTCCAAATACGTTCGGCTACTGCCTCGGGTGTGTTAGACTGTTCCTAAGGTACCTTGTGTGGGTAATTCTTACTAATGCCCTCACTGTTGTGTATTATTTGTATACTAGTTTACATGAAGAAAGGAACAGATGGACGTTTCAGGTTTCAATATAAAGCCTACACAAATAACTAAGATCAAAATTCTTTCTAAATAAAAAAATAAAGAAATTCATAGACTAAATCATTGAATACACTTAAAGGTAAAGACCAGTATTGGAAACGCTCCAATTTCAAAAAATGAAATGGAAGCTCTTATTACCAATCATGTGAAAGAATATGTTTTGAATATTACATGATGTTAAAAATGTTGACGGGAAACCGCCTACTAATTGATATATTTGGTAAATTAGTGTATCTCTTGCCTGTTGAGAGATATGAAATGCATGTGTCGCACACGTGTGTGTAGTCCCATATACATCTCTCTGTGTACAGTGCTTCTACCTTAATGAAGACTTGGCCAAATTTCTTATCATTTTGATGATTCCAGAACCTTGCAGTACATCTATGCTAGATGATCAACCTTTTCTGATCGATTTCACAATGTTTCTTTCACAATGCAATCGCATGACCATAACTGGTCTTTAGCTTTAAGGCTATTAGTTTACATGTACATTAAACATATCAATCAACAGGTAAAGAGCAATAAAAGGAAAGAGCACACTCAATTAGAAACTTAGAAACTTACCTGAATAAGTACAGCAGAGTGAGCGAGGGCGTCGTTTATGGTGAAGAGTGCGTTTGAGGTACTAACCAATCCTGGGTCATGACCCCACGTCGTGATGAGTAACCGGTCATACTCCTACATTCAAGAGGTAGAGAATTGGGAAGAATGGGTGAAAAGTTTATATTTATCAACGGCACTACTACCCGCTATCACTGCCACAATGTTTTTGGGGAAGATGACCTTTCGATCAACATATTCTCCCTTTCCATCATCTGGATCAAACTTCTCGAGTTACAGAACCCAAACTAATCTACGTCAAGACGTCATTGAGTTTCTAGATGTATATGAGCAAGTCGAACTTAGAGATAAGTTCAACTTAGGATCTTTGTGAAAAACCCCCCTGGATGGTTAATCATTTGCTGCCCCATTTGTTACCAATAAACCTCAAATTACATTAGAATTAAAATTTTACTTGATATCTAGCTTGATCCAAGCTCTTGGACAACTATCAACTTAAAAATATAATTATGGTAGTGGGCCCTCTATCATGGGGAATTTGACACCATTCGTTTGTTTACCCAATAACAGGTGTTGTCAATCACCAGGATTAGCCTTCAGTTTTACGACCAGCAGGCCTAATGCAATGTACTGCATTTTCCATCCATCCCCTCATATGGTAAGTCATTATCTTACATTTCCCTCACCCTAAGACTCTCTGAGAGACTAGGGGATATTTCTTGATGGGACCACACGTTTCCTGTGTGCAGACTTGTACGCCCATTAATGGTATTTCCACCAAGTCTGGTGTCAGCGAATAATGAACTTCTGCACAAGGAAACTGACGACCATCTCCCTTTAATATAACCATCAGCTACATTAATCCTGTAGACGTGGTCAATACCATAAGGCATGTCTTCATCAGCTTGAGATTGCTAAATAGCCCGCTATTTCTGATTTGGGAAATAAGCCCAAAGTTACAAATCACGTCTTCATCAGCTCAAGACTCCACCTTGAAACTCACGCTCATGAAATTAGCTCGAGATATTTTGCTAAGCGTTTGCGCATAGTGCGAACCTTCGGGGTGATGAAGACGCACTGGACAAATAGCGGGATATTTTGCAAACTAGCCCAAGATATCCTTGGATGATTATCTCGACCAAATATCCCGCTAATTGCAACTGCGGGCTGATGAAGACGCAAATTAGCTGGATAATTTTACAATCGGGATTGTTAAAATAGCAGGTTATCTGGCAATCTCGAACTGATGAAGTCAGGCCTATATGGGTAAATAGCTTGGACTTGCCTACACTGGAGTGCCTTACCTGAAACATCAGTGGTAGATATCTTAATCTGCTTCCTTTGACTAGAAGCAATGATGAAGGACCACTCTGTACCACGTGATATAGGTAGAGCTTGAACCACACTGAATTCACCTGGAGTAATTAAACACACACAACACAATATAACAAGGACTCTCTGAGAGAGTAGGAGTATTTCTTTATGGGACCACATGAACTACCTCGGAATGGACCTACATGTAAAGCCGTCGGTCCTCTGGTTGCTTACTAACAAGCATTTATGCTTTATTAGCAGTGAGGTAAAATAACCACTACTACTACAATCAATCAATGTAGCCTTTCATTGTCAAAAAGGGAAAATCTTATTCAAATTCAAAGCAGTATTTTTAGTTTGTCATATTAATGCATATTTTACAGTAACGGAATACATCCTATGAAGGCTGATCATTGGACCTACAATGTGTCTTAGATGTCTAACTTCCCTGTCTATCAAATAACCCACATGGCTGTATCGCATAAATATATCTACTCTCTAAGTTATCTTCCCGCCATGCAGACCTGGGCCTGTTGCAAAAAAACTTAGCATTGATGGTAACTTTGCCATCAATGGTAACTACCCTGGAAACCTTGATTTTGATTGGCTGTTGAGCCCTGTAACCGTGTTAGTTGCCATGGATGGCAAAGTTACCATCAATGCTAAGTTTTATGCAACGGGCCCCTGTACTTTCAAACAACGTCACACAGTATGTCCAAAAAATGATACCACAGCAAGTTTTCAGAGAATAAACATTGTCATTCCGTCTGCTAATAAAAGGATATATGTAATGAATAAAGATGAATACCTCTGGTATAGCTGGTCCTATATGTTGTGGGGTACAGCTACTGATTGGTCGGATCTCATTGCTAAGAGGAGCCATCGATACGAGAATACTGGAAACAATATCAAGACACGGAGATATCAAACAGGGAATATATACGTGTACATTATGTTCATGTGCTAAATTCTGTTTTTATTGATAATGTAGACACATGGCATAAATCTAAGCATTAACACTTTAGAAGAAAAAAAACTAAAAAGTATGTACAGTGTAAAAAGCATATAAAAATGTTGTGATAAATTTGAAAGAAGAAAAAAAAATAATGTGGTCAAAGAAACCTGTTAAAGACCGTCAATACTACTGGGCCAGAAGGGATTAGACCACACAGCGAGGTCACTGACAGGTGGCTATCTCAGCTCTCAACTAACATAAGAAAAAGAGGATCATGGGGGACCAACAGGCACCGATTGGGGAAGTTTTCTATATACAGGGAGCAAGTAGCTACAAGTAGGACAGTGGGGCTTTAAAACAAATACAAAATTGCAAGCAAAAAACGTTATTAATGACTGGGTGTTTTTTAATTGCAAAAGACTTGATATGATGTTACATGGTTTTGAACCCAGGACTGCCCGGTTTTGAGACCGCTGCTTTACCACTGAGCCATTGCGCCTCATTTGATAGTCTGCTGGAGATAAAGCTCCACATTATAGGGTGGACAAAAACAGGCAGAATCATAGGTGTAAATGTACATGGGCAATTCCATAAATTAGGGAAACACTTTGTGACATTTTTGGTGTCCCTGTTACATAAGGAACCAACCCCTAGTTGTGGCTCTGAGTAAAGACTTAATTAGTGGAGTGAGATTGTAAAGTGATTTTCAAGCATAATATTGCATCCTCATACCTGGAATCACTTAACAATCATACTCCACAGAGAAATAAGTCTTTACTCAGAGCCACAAACACGTGTTGGTTCCTTATGTAACAAAGTGGGTCCCTAATTTACGGAATTACCCACATCTGTACCACTTACACATGCTCAATACACGATGAACATGACAAACAAAGAAAGAGGACAAAATATACAGTTCCTCATTCTACCCTCAACAATTGCTATGGTAGGCAAAGGAACATCCCTCCACTGCTATTATGTAAAAATGTGTAGAACAGGTGTCACATGCATATTCACCTGTTCTACACATTTTTACATAATAGCAGTGAAGAGATGTTCCTTTGTCTCCCACTGCAATTGTTGAGGGTAGAATGAGGAACTGTATATTTTGTCCTCTTTCTTTGTCCGTCATATTCATAGTGATTGAACCTTCACTTACTCATAGTTCTTCTGCAGTACCCTGGCACATGTAGCTGGTTCTAGCCCCAGTAAACTCTCACATCTCAGCAGGTCTATACCCATACCCTTACTCATACCATCAGGGTCAGGGGATATGTCCTTATTGTATCTGAAAAATGAGGAAAAGAAGGATTTTGATAATGACGTTCAGTATTGACTACACTGCATGGGCCATGGGCACGCCTATAACTTACTTTCTGGGCCCCATTTCACAAAACTTGTCATCAGTGACAAATGATAGTTCATGTTGATAAGCTGGTGAAATCCTTACTTCTGATTGGTCATCACCAGATTTGTCACTGATTTTTGTCATTTTTCATTGAAAATAGGCTTTGTGAAACGGGTCCCTGGTCAGTAGCAAAAGCACAATGCAACACTTCCCATCTTATTCTCATTGTCCTTTATTGTCTTTGATATAAGCTTTGAACACTGCATGAAGGCAAATGAGTATTATAAGGTGATGATGTAGATCCTAATCAAATGATTGGTTGAGAGCGTACACATGACCAGTCATTTATTTAGCCTAACACATAGTATTGATAATGACCAGTCATTAGCAAAATTATGTTATAAAACATAATTTTATCAAACAAATGAAACATAATCTTATAAAACAAATAATGCCCTCAATGCTGTGTATTATTTGTATATCATCAAGAATGGTGAGTCAAACAAAAGGATGTTTTCAAATTGCTAATACATGTACCCTTATTTAATACAACAAATACTGCACGTAAATATACATATTGTACATTACCATCGTCCTAAATCAAATTCATTCAACATCTGCATATGGTGAAAGAAAACTCAAGGAAATTTGGGGTATATTGGTTCATATATTTGTCTCACATTGACCTTCCCTCCCATGTTATGTACTACAATCGCTGCCTGGCATCTGTTGAAGCCCTCGTATGTATCAATTATCAATTCACACAGAAATCGACTAATGTACAGTCAAACCTGCTTAAGCGACCACTTGTAAAGAAAGACCACCTGTCTGTAAAGACCACAATTTTTGTTTCCCCTGAATATAGTCTCTCAATGAAACTGGTACTAAAGGAAACTGTACATAAATACCACCTGTCTATAAAGACCACTTTCATGTTTCCCTTGAGTATTCTTCATATATAGGTTTCTGTATACATACCTTAGGAATGTGATTGTGTTTTTGAGAATGACAGCATGCTCAAAGTAGCGTTGAGCTTCTCCTTCTACCACACTATCCTTTGGAACCTGACAGAAGAAGATATTGAAGGATATGTTACATTACACAATGCACATTCATTGTTCCATACATGCATGTACATTGTACATGTATTAAATGTACTTGGGGAGAAAAATGGACACTTTTGATCATTATTACATGTGTATACATGTATCTGCTAGTTTATCATTTTGTTTTTTAAAACAATAATGTATATATATGTATTTGCTTACTTATGATTCACTGTCAGAAAAATACTTATTGTACTTTATATCATTATTGTTATTGAAAAGTTGTATACTTACATGAATGCAGAAGAAAATAAAATCAAAATCAAAAAAAGAAATGAAATTTGAACAACACAACAGTTTGCAAAAGATGCAAATCTGAAAGACCTCAAATCTACCAGGACTTAAACTAAGCATTTCAGCTGCAATCCTAGAGCAACTCTTGAAGCACCAAAAGTTGATGGAAATGACAGGTATGCTCTCTTTCTCAACATAATTCGGGGAAATCCCATGTAATTCACACTAAATTTTCCACCATAAAAGATTCTAAACAATGACAATTTATTACAAATGATTTCTACTTTACCCGATCTAGCTCAGCCAGAAAGCTGTCCAGCGACTCATCTGAGAGTTTACCAACCTCAAACATGGTGACTGCATGACTCTTTAAACCCTGGAGATAAGTGATCATGAAAAGGAGATGGGAGATCATTTCATGAGGGATACTTGATGACGAAACACAAGACATCAAAATAAAGACTTTGTATGAAACTGAGACTAATACAGGAACAACTGTTGGTTCAGGGATGCAGGGAACTTATCAATATTCTGAAGATCTATGATGGAAGGCTCAGGTCATATCATCCTCTGCAGAACAAAAGTGAACACGTAACTATGTATTTAAAACAATAATGGAAAGTTTTCTCTGGCTATTCATAATCATAACAAAGTAATAATACATTCTTTACAAGCACACAACACATCATAATATTAAACGTCTTCGGTGCTTCTAAGGAGCTTTAGAACAGGACGTACATGTAAATACCAATGCATTTCTTTTTTGTCAACTGTTACCAGGGCCCAGTGGACTTCAGGGCTTGAATCCTAGAATCTACTTATTTCTTCTAGGTAAGGGTGCAAAAAAGGAGATTAATGACTTGCGAAAGGGCAAAGAAGCTGTGCTGGACTCAGACCCAATGCTTGCATCCCTAATCAACTGTTTCGAACATTTGACTTTGACTAAAAAACAATTTTTTTTAGTGTTTTTATTCAATAGAAAAACTTTAACACAACAAAAAGTACAGGTTAGATAGCAGATGAAAACATATATATCTAAAAAGAAATACATCATACAATATATCTGCATATGACTTTGACTAAAATTACGGCTACACCAGAATAAAGAAAAAGGGAATTCTTCTAACCGGAGATAAGTTTCCCATCATGAGGAATGCTGTAAGGGTGGAATCAAAGAGGAATGCTATCCTCTTGGTATGACCTCCCGTCGCTGTGATCGATGATGACGTGACATCTGACTCGTCGACGCTGGCCATGTCGAGGGTGTCTATGGAGCCCTCGTTGGAGGGGGAGTTCTTCTCTGAGTTGCTCGTCTGTGCAGCTCCCCAATCAATCAGGAGAAGATCATCTTGAACTGTGGGCCTGATAATAATATAAAATACAGAGAGAGGGTAAGAGAGAGGGATAGAGAAAATAGTATGACAAAGAGAGGGGGAATGAGAGAGAGAGAGAGAGAGAGAGAGAGAGAGAGGGGGGGGGGGGTGAGAGAGAGGGGGATGAGAGAGAGGGGAAAAGAGTATGACAGAGAGAGAGGGGAATGAGTTTGACAGATAGAGGGGAAAGATAGAAAAAAAAGGATGAGAGAGAGGGGGGATGAGAGAGAGAGGGGGATAAGAGAGAGGGTGGAAGAGGTTGGCAGAGAGAGAGGGTGGAAGAGGTTGGCAGAGAGAGGGGGATGAGAGAGAGGGTGGAAGAGGTTGGCAGAGAGAGGGGGATGAGAGAGAGTGTGGATGAGAGAGCGAGGGGGATAAGAGAGAGAGAGAGAGAGAGAGAGAGAGGGGGAGAGTATGACAGAGAGAGGGGGATGAGAGAGAGGGTGGAAGAGGTTGGCAGAGAGAGGGTGGAAGAGGTTGGCAGAGAGAGGGGGATGAGGGAGAGGGGGAGAGTATGACAGAGAGAGGGGATGAGAGAGAGGGTGGAAGAGGTTGGCGGAGAGATGGGGATGAGAGAGAGGGGGGAAGAGAGAGAGAGGGGGATAAGAGAGAGAGAGGGGGGAGAGTATGACAGAGAGAGGGGGATGAGAGAGAGGGTGGAAGAGGTTGGCAGAGAGAGGGGGGTGAGGGAGAGGGGGAGAGTATGACAGAGAGAAGGGGATGAGAGAGAGGGTGGAAGAGGTTGGCAGAGAGAGGGGGGTGAGAGAGAGGGTGGAAGAGGTTGGCAGAGAGAGGGGATGAGAGAGAGCGGGGATGAGAGAGGGGGATAAGAGAGAGAGAGAGAGAGAGAGGGGGGGAGAGTATGACAGAGAGAGGGGGATGAGAGAGAGGGTGGAAAAGGTTGGCAGAGAGAGGGGGATGAGAGAGAGCGGGGATGAGAGAGGGGGATGAGAGAGAGGGTGGAAGAGGTTGGCAGAGAGAGGGGGATGAGAGAGAGCGGGGATGAGAGAGAGAGAGGGGGATAAGAGAGAGAGAGGGGGGGTAAAGAAAGAGAGAGAGAGAGGGGGAGAGTATGACAGAGAGAGGGGGATGAGAGAGAGGGTGGAAGAGGTTGGCAGAGAGAGGGGGATGAGAGAGAGAGCACATGGGAGGGTAAGTGATTGAGATATAACAGAAAATGTGGATAAAGCAAAAGGGGACAATCATCATGGAGGAAGAACACATACATGGAGAAAGGAGCAGTTAAAAGGACAGGATAACAAAAAAAAACATAGAGCACCACAAGAAAGAGATACCACAACATACAGTATAGTGTAAATAGAGGATGACAAACAGTACAAAATGGAGTGGGGATAGGGAGGGAACAAAGATAATGGTCAATCATCATGGAGAAAACAAGAGAATAAGGGAAGAGAGATATGAAAATGTTTTTTTTTAAACACAATAACTGTCCCTAAATGAGTGCACTTAGATAAAACACTGAATAAATAATTGACATTTAGGCCAAACAATACTGACATAAACATTGACATACTTTTTGGTGCCATTTGCCTGGAGAATGTCTTGCCATGAGGGATGTAAGGCTTCCATGTCTAAGTCTTGACCTTTCCTCCTAGCAAAGCCCAGTCTGCAGTACATTGAGACAGCATTCTTCACCAGGCCTAGGTCAATCTGTAGCACGTTGGAAAGCTGGAAGATCAAAGATAAAGCGGCAAAATGTAAATGAACAATATCAGTTGTTAAACTAACAAATACATAAATAAACTAGGGTAGATATATAATTCTCCAAAGTAGAGTATATGTAGAAAATATATGGGATTAGCTTGTGATAAATAAGACTACAGAATACTGTGGAGTAATAAATACGTATCACAAAAGTTATCAGTAACTGTACATGATATGTGAGAGTACACACTACAGTAACAATTAACATATGAGAGGGAGGGCTAAGAGAAAACAAGTCCCCTGCTAAACTTAATCTACCATCGGCTCTTGTGACAGCACTAGGGTGGAACACGCTTCACACTCGTCGACCAATGCACCCTTCTCTACAAGATCCATCACCGTCTTGTCTCCATACCTGCACCAACTATTGTCATCCCTGCTACATACTTCGGAAGACACGACAACAACCTGAAGTATGTAATTCCTGTTGCAACTATCGACTCCTTCAAGTTCTCATACTACCCAAGAACAATACGGATCTGGAACCATCTGCCAGGCTCAGCAGTCAATGCAACAGGAATAACCAACTTCAAGGAGGCTGATCTAGCCTCCATCAGAATGATGCAGCCCCCTGTTGGTTCTCACATCATATAAGCTTACTAAATACTAGCTTGGTTTTTACTTGCACTGGACTTAGTATATTTTACTGTAAATTAACGAGTGCTTTGTCCACACACTATTCCCGCAATTCATGACACTCCTTGTAGTTACTCGCCTCACCTACCACCCCAGTATAGCTTCCTGAGTGAGCTGCCAAAGGGATTACCCAACCAAGTACCAAGTACCATACTTTTTGACACCCCACACTCCATTGTAAAAATGTGCCCAAATATGTACTTGTGTATCCAAAGCTAAATTTTAGAACTGTTTTTTTTTTCTTTCTTCTGTTGCTTTTAAGACACTCATGTCGCCCCTTTTTCAGACAAGCCCACTCACAACCCCCCCCCCTTCCTCCTCCCCTTTTCTCTTATTTTGCCTTACCTCTGCTACTGTTGTATGTTCATCGATGGAGACAAAGATTTTGTAGAGGAGCTTCTCAAAGTAATCTCCTTGGAGACGATTCATAACAAAGCCTTCGAGAGGAGGTACTGTATGCGATCATGAATTATAAAAGATGAAAAACTATTTGGTAAGAACATCAACAGAAAGTTGAAAATTACAGATTGTGTTTAGCCCTTGTGTTAAGAGTACAAACATTAAATTAAAATATGCTGCACACAATATGGAATTACATAATTTAATGGGTGACATATCAACTATAATTAAATGTACAACTCTTGATGAAGAATGGTGACAAATAGATAAATAACGTGTTAATTAATGTCAATTGTCTTTATGATGGATCAATACTGCAGTTAAACCTGAATATAGAATTTCTTGATGGAATAAAATGCCAACTATCTAAGGAAAGGCGATCTTTTTTTTCAGCTTCTCTTTCTTAGTTTAAAATTAACAACACCACCCAATCGTAAGTGCATCATTTAATGTATTATGATTAACAGTATCCATTTCTAAAGGACAGAATATTACCATGTACATGAATTATGAACGCAATACAATAAATGTTGAATGTATTGAAATCAAGTTTCCACAATACCTGAGATATAGTCATCATCTTCTATTGGTACATCCACATACACAAGACCTTTCAAATACAATTCTGTAAAGAAAAAAAAAGTTAGCAGCAGTGACATCAAACATATAAATAATGAAAAACTAAATTAAAATTCTGATTATTACAAGGGTTATGTTTCATCCATACAATTGAATTACTATCCAACAAAATAATAATAATAATCTGGATTTATATAGCGCTGTACAGATATTATTACCCCAGTCATAGGATTCATTCACGCACAATGTGCACCATCTCCACTCCCAGGGGAGTATTCCTACCATAAAGTCACCGTGACGGCATAGGCAATTACTAATACAAATGTTTTCATCATCCCCCTAGGTCTCCATTTCTCTGTTGGGTATTAGGGTGGCAAATGTAGATCAATGCCTTGCCAAAGGACATTAGTGCCGTGTCAGGGATCGAACAAGAACCTTTGAATTATAAGTCAAGTGCTTAAACCACTCGACTACGACACTTCACAATCTATTCAACTATACAATGTACTTACTATGCACAACATAATAATCCATTGCACCAGCCGGCTGTGAACCTGTATCAATGATACGGTCTATGGCATTCTTCTCAGCTATCGATACAGTCTGGTCAAAGATATGAAGAAAAGAAACGATATAGAGAGTCAATCACAAGGAATGGTGACACAAGTTTATAGAGAAAAGATAGAGCATAGCATTTATTGTGATGAAATATCCATAACATGAAGATACAAATACAATAATAAAAACAGGGAGTTGAAGTCTAGAGCGAGTCTGATACTGGGTTGATGTCTTGAATGTACTCTCTAAAATGTCTATTGAATATCTGTCTGGAATCCAAGAAAAAACTTTTCATAAAAGGTATTAAAACCCTCTACTGGGAGTTGGTCAACCTAGAGTCCTTGACAAAATAAGGTAAATTACAACCAAACTTTTACTTAGTAGTGGGGAGTGAGTCTATCATCTAGAAGGAGTGAAGTTGTGATTAGGAAGACCATGACTTGACCAGTGCATCTCGAACTTAATACTTGGATGTTACATAGTTTTGAAGAAATGTGAAGTTTGTCAACATTTTAACTCCCTGTTATGATTTCCTGCAGAAGCATTAATAAAGTTTTGATAAAGTATTCATGAACAATTTATCATAACATAACACTAACCAAACTCATAACTTTCACCCAGCACCAAACACCATCCCTAGCCTGAACTTTCATTAAAAACCTGTCCTTTCATGTAAAACACTATTCATGTACACCAAACTAAATACGCCTTCTCATCCTTAAAGTGACTACATGTATGTCCTATTTGCAGGCAATAACAATAAAAAGGTTAAATTCCAATTTGATTTGGAGGACAATGCTAATTTAGAAGTTCCCTCAAAACGAAAGGACTTGAAAATGGCTTTTAGTGGGAAAATAAAGACCATTAGTTGGCAAATCGACTTAAGTGATTGCAATCACCTAAGTAATGGTCTGATTTTCAGACCCTTTTACCGAATGGTTGTATGTTTTGTGCTGCACAAGATTCAATCAATTTAATTTTGGCCATTACAAGTAGTGGATTATTGATGTAGACAAATGTACCTGTCTCAGCTCATTCTATGTATGTTATTACCTTATTTTCATCAACTGTACATGTACATGACATATTCATAATCCCTGCAAAGTTCTACAGAATTTGATGTTGGCTGCAACAGGGACATATTATCTTTAAAACTTGGCTTCTTACCCTTATATCATCCTCTGTGATGTAGCCAGCTTGCACCATCCACCATGCTTCCACAGACACATCTTCTATTGGCTTGCCAGGCAGCAGGTCACGAATCGGTTTCCTCCGGAAGAATTTCTGCAAAACAACACAAGCCCAGGTGATTATTTACGTAATGTGTTATAGAGGATGAGACATGCCCTGATTACACATGCTCTGCCAGAAATTACTCTGTGATCAAAACTATTTGATTTCCTTCAACCTTGGACCCAATTTATACTTAACCCTAACTATAAACCTAAACATACTCTAAACAAATAATATCAACAATAAGTCTAACCCGATATCATTGATGAAATGCAGCCAAGAATGAATACGGGATACTTGAAACAAACCCATTGTTGACACTATACATTTACCCAATCAATCTATAATTAATATCAGTAGATCATGAGTTGGTTAAGTGACCGAGATCGGACGAGAGATGCATGACACACACAAACATCATCCGCTGGTATTATACAGTGCTATCTCCTCCTGTAATTCTCCATGTACATCACAAATATTTGGAAAGTCATTTTTTTCTTTTTTTCTGAAACAATGAATGTATAATTTTGGAAGCTTTGTGGCTATAACGGTTTGAATTTTACTTGAATGGAATTAATGTTGACTTTTAGAAGTCCTTTCACCTGTAGTTCTAATTGTATACAAGTAGAAACATGTTTATTGCATTCTAATCAGTCAATCTGTCTGCAGATATTTTAATAATTTCTTCATGTAAATGCTATCAGAACTGGATGCATACAACAAGAAATACACATTGATCACACTTTTGTACTTTATAGGCTTGCATGTCAACAAACTCGGGGACAAACTTGCATACACTTCCATAGACCACATGCACGAAAATGGGGCAAGAGCTGTTACAGTATTCTCTATATTGTGCAACAATAATTATATTGGGTGACACAGATGTTAAAGGAGAACTAACCCCAAAGAATATAGGTATTCTGAAAAACAAGATAAATTCCTGCCTTTTGATGTACAATAAATCTTACAAACGTGTTATCAGTGAACAAATAAACGGGGGCTCGGGGCGAAATAGCCCCCGATATGCCCAAAAGAGCCCCCGAAATGCCCAAAAGAGACCCCATAAATTTACATGGAGTTCTATGGAAAACAACTTTTAGATGTTATTTTCAGGCAGGCAAGCTTGAAAAGTAGCCCCCGAAAAATAAATATTATTTTTTTCCTTACATGTTATTGTACGAGTGTAAGAGATATATAAATGAATATTTCTTAGCATAATGCCTTTTAGCATGACATGGGCGCAGCAATGTTCTTGAAAATGTGACGTACCAGGCGGAATTGTTCATGTATCATGTATCATGCACCAAGCTTTAATTGGAAAGAGTACCTACATGTGCACAATGTATACAGTGGGATCTAACAGAAAACCCTTTCTATGATGGGCTAGTAAACTTCATGTTATAAATGTAACATATGTTTGCACTAAAAAGATTTTTGTTTAAATGCTTAAATCTGAAATAGACTCATTTGTTGTGTATTTGTTCCCATGGATATACATGTATAACTAATGGCATCCTGTAAGTCCCCTTTAATAATTGTCTGTAACTGAGTTTCACAGGTAAAGTCACTTCTGCAGGTACCAGGATTTGACCCAATACATTCAGTACAGTTAACACTGAATATATTTTGAGCAAACGGTACATTTCCAAATCTACCTTACTGCATGAGCATTGAGTAGTATTAGTAATGACGAAGTCATTCATTCTAATGAATTCTAAAGGCAATGTTATTTTCACATTTCCATACCTACATTACTGCACGAGTAGTGAGGAGTATTAGTAATGAGTTAGTCATTCATCTTCAAAATGCAATGTTATTGTTTTCACTGAATTTAAAAGAAGAAAAAATCAAATTGCAAAAAAAAAAGGCAGGAAAGCATAACATTTCCTATTTTTATAACCAAAAATAAAACAAATTTAGTGTGTCTACCGGAAGACCAAATTTGGATAATACACTGTATTTGTAGAAGTAAGAGAGGTATAGAAATGTATGCTTACTTTGTGATTTCCACTACATGTTTGCAAAATTTACACATGCATGTACATCTCTCTTTTTTTCCTTTTTGTTTTGACTATATCAAACACCATATTACAAATACAGGAATGGACGGTCTTACATGCATGTACAAGCAACAACAAAATACTTTTTGTGTGAGTTGTTAGTTTTTTCTTACTTCAGATAGCAGTTAAGCAAGATTAATCTTTAACATCAAAACAAACACCAGATTCTGCAAAGTACAAAATGCTTCGAGCTGGTAAATACAGGTATAGACATTCAATCATCATTGTTTGATTTGTTTCCAATGTGCAATGTATTACTTCCAGTCATTAAATTAGTCACAAAAAAGGAAATTAGTAGCTGCATGGACGAGTATTTGCTCACAAAGAAAACATAACATGTTATAAAATTTTAAAAATTTCATTTGAAAGTCTACAAAAATGTGCACTAAACAGCCAACTGCAATTAATGTACAAACAAAATTAATTCTTGATGTGCAATATTTTATATTTTATAGAGTTAAAACTAAATGTATCTTAGATGTTGATTAATTTGTGCTGAGGGTGCAAAACTTACTTGAATACTACCAGAACGATTAAGGGAAGGCTATATATGAAGTAACAGGAAAATGTAAAACACTTAACGATTATAGTTATTACATTAGTATTACAAATAATGACATGGTATGAAACTTGAATGATCTGTATTTAATCTGAAATAAAATAAAGTTCAAAATAGTGTGCATGAAAACGAACATCTTTTCCATGGATTTTCAAGATGGTAATAATGATCACTTGGATTTAATTGAGAAGTATCAATAACCATGCAAATAATGATCTCAAATACGGAAACCTGAGATTATGAGTTGGACTAAATAGTTGGAACATGAAGCATGATTATATATTGAAACTGTCTCAGCTTCTAAGAAATATTTTTAAAATCAATGAACCAAAACTCATATCTACATGTAAGATGCTCAGTTAGTTTCAATGCTTCCCTTTATGCATTCAAAGACACAGCACTTTCAATCTCAATAAGTCTCAAAACTCAATACAATTTGGCAAAAATTCTGAAATGTGAAAGCCAAAAATTATCTGCAAATTTTACCTTTGAGGACCTGCACTGATTCATGATTTCAATATACTGGTTCCTGCCAATACCAAGTAATCTTAAACCTGAAAGGCAAGAAGAAAAAAAACAGTATGATTTGAAGAAGTTTCATTTTTTACGAAAAACTAAAATTCCTTGGGAAATTGATCGATTATTAACTAGAATTTGCATTGTTTTACATAAGTATTGCAAAAAATGCACATAAAAATAACTGAAAAGACAATGTGACTCATCTTTCTACACCTCAGAACTGAAATGCATTTGACTTTGAGGTATCCTGCTTTCAATTGTAACTTTTAATGCAACATGCCCCAATTACCTAAAATTACCCGTAACATTGTGTCTGTGTATTTTAATATTAAAGATATATTGTGTGCAGTGCACGTACAAAAAAAGAGAACATTCCGAATGAAGAAGAGTCTTCCAAAGGACAAACATGGATTACTTCATCCATCTCCCATTAACTCCATGAATGCTGAATTATTTAATCCCTAGATGCTTACTACAGGAATCATCAGGTTTCCAAAGGAAATGGGTTAACTTACAATCAGCAGCTGTGAAGTTGGGCAGTGAGTCGTAGCTCTTTTCGCTGGACATGATATCATGCATCATGCTCAGATAGTAAGAGAAGGGCGTTATCCTCAGCCCTTTGACGGTGATGTCTGATAGGTGATAGGGGTATAACATCAAGTGATCTCGGCTGTACTTGAGCAGGTCTTCATAGTACTTGCGATCATCCTTCTTAACTTGCCGTACTGGGTGCAAAAAAAGGAAAATACCAGTAAAACCAAATTTTTAAAATAAAATAAATTATATACATGTAAATAATAAGTCAAATGATGGAAAGAGAGGGAATGCTTTGTCTTCTATTTAAAGTTCAGGCTTAGTACTATGTAACAAGTTTCATAGCTCTTTCAAGTGCAATGGGGCAATTGTATAAGATGAAAAAAGCAAAGCGCTTAGAGACATTGTAAATAAAAAAGGCTAAGCGCTTTGAGACATTGTAAATGTAATAAGCGCCGAAGCAGAATGTTATTATAATTTATTATCAAAACAGGAAAAAAAAGCAATTAATGAAGAATGATATTGATAACCAACCATCAAATTGATACATGATCTGCATTAGTAATTGCAATGTTGTTTTAAAGCCATAATAAAATGAGATTCATGTCTTACGTTTACTTTTCTGACAATGGTTTAAATATTTACAATAAAACTTGTTTTGTTTGTTCTTGTTTTGTTTTTGTTTTTATAAGGTTTTTTGCAATTTGGGGGGTTTGGTCTGAAGAGCGCTGTCTTCAATGAACAACAAAATAAAACACTTTTCTTCTTATTCTTATAAAGTCTGCAAGTACTTACTGAGATTGCCTTTGAAACGAAGCTGGTTTTTGATGCTGTAGCCGGATACACATTTCTCATACTCCTTAGGGGAATGACCCAGTAACTGCAATGAGCATAAGAAAGGATATTGCCAATAATCAGTAAAAATTTAAATGGGACAATAACAAAAATGTTTTAATAACAAAAGAAGGTCATGATGGTTAAGCTGAACTTCTTGAAGCAAGAAAAAGCCTAACTCCAGGGACCCCCCCCCCCCTACTCATCTGACATCGAGCGAATCACTGCTTTGCATCTGCACTGACTTTCATTTCTGCATTTCTTCCTTGGCCTCCAACTTCCAGCAATTCACTGCTTAGCCCTGTAGCGCCACCCTTCTTCACTTCTCTTCTCGTCCGAGAGCATCAATATCTTCAAGAGCCTTCGCGTCAACATCGCGTTCTTCACGGCTTTTTAGCCACGAGTCGCGTCTCCGCCTTCAAGCCTCTGCATCATCGAGAAAGCCCCTTTTTTGCTCATCCACCATCATCATTTCCATTGGCATTGGACTTTCTATGTCATTTCTACTTTGTAGTGTACTGTAGTAGACCCCAACTAAGCTTAATTTATTCACTGCATTTATTCGTGTACCAATTTATCTTTGTAAAAACTGACATGTCAATATTGCACAGTGCAATATCCTTGATTCTCATGCATGTCATTTCTGATACATTCATTTGCCTGACTATACACTTGCTGTATTTATACCTCAATAAAATAACGCAAAGGGAATCAATTTATCATCATGTGATGATGCGTTTTATTTAATTGTCTAGATCTAGACTAGCAACCTTGCAAGTTGCATCCTCATCGTAGATCTAGAGTAAAGGAGCCCGTTTTCGGCCACTTAAGACAAAATCCTATTTTTAGGACCCTTTACTTCCTATTTATTATCATTTTTTGTTCAAATCATGAAGCAAATATTATTATTATTTAAACAAACAAGAATCCCAGAAAAAAATCACGAATTGCCATGACAATATTCATTTCAATTTTCACTGTTTCGGAGTCAGTTTTCGGCATAGCGTACCAGTTTTCGGCCGCATGTACAAAGTCAATAGGAAGCGCGAACACGCGCCGTGCGTTTCCGCGCTGATCTATAGCACTAGTGGGCGGAGCAGATTTCCCACGCCGGAGCTCCCCGGAGCTCGCCAGGCCGAAAACTAATACTGTGGTGATCGGATATTGGAATCTGAATTAGACAGAGATATCGTGTGTGCGTTGCGGTGTGCGGCTGCATTGATTTAATACATGCGATGAGATACTTTTGAGCTTGCGACTAGCACAAAATTGGGCTCTAAATCTGAAAAATACTTGAAATAAAGCTCATTTTATGGTACCCATATTTCTTACAGTAATACAGACACGCGTAAGATACTCAATTTTTCAGATTCGAGTAGCGGGACCGCCGATTACATCGCTAAAATGTGATATTTTAGGATATATTTTTCATTGCAAATGTGGTTCTTCAGTGACACTGGCATGGTATGGTATGTGTGGGATATGTGTTATGCTATTATGCGATGTATTTTAGAGTGATTTTACCTAGACCGAAAGCTTCAGTCTCTATACCGTCGGTTGTTCCACTGAGACTACGTCTGGCTCCACTAGACCTCCGGTTATAGAGACTGAACGATCGCCTATGCCAGCCTATGTTGACGATATCACGGCTATATTTTAGCCGTTAGGCCCCTCCCACAAACATGAACAAACTTGCCACGGCCGTATTGTTATGCTCCCAAAATCCCCCAAAATGTCATTTTACCTCGTGCATATCCAATTTTACATTAGGCGTAGGCTATAATACATCGGTTCCACTTACTAACTTGATTGAAATAATCCGTTTAATGGTCCCTTTTAAGGAAATTATGGGTCAAAATCGACATCCATGTTGAAAATCTTGCAAGCCGTGTTAAACTCTCGCTGCCGTCAATCTCATCCCTTCTAGTCTACGCCGAAGGCAAAATGACTATGAAGGAAAAACTGTGCGCCATCTACACGTTCGTAATGGCGTTATCACAGTTTTTCCTTCATAATCATTTTTGCCTTCGGCGTAGACTAGAAGGGATGAGATTGACGGCAGCGAGAGTTTAACACGGCTTGCAAGATTTTCAACATGGATGTCGATTTTGACCCATAATTTCCTTAAAAGGGACCATTAAACGGATTATTTCAATCAAGTTAGTAAGTGGAACCGATGTATTATAGCCTACGCCTAATGTAAAATTGGATATGCACGAGGTAAAATGACATTTTGGGGGATTTTGGGAGCATAACAATACGGCCGTGGCAAGTTTGTTCATGTTTGTGGGAGGGGCCTTACGGCTAAAATCTAGCCGTGATATCTTCAACATAGGCTGGCATAGGCGATCGTTCAGTCTCTATAACCGGAGGTCTCGTGGAGCCAGACGTAGTCTCAGTGGAACAACCGACGGTATAGAGACTGAAGCTTTCGGTCTAGATTTTACCTTGCATCCAACCAATCGGCCGAAAACTGGAGCTGGCCGATTACCGGCTCCTTTACTCTACTTCTCTAGCTAATAGAGTTACGTTGTGTGATCAATGAACATGCTTGACAATCACATTCACAACACTACCTCACATGGTAATTCTATAACTGCACTGTTAGTACTGTGCAATGTTGCATGTTGGTGCATGGTGATCGATGGTGAAACTGAAGCCCGGAAAGATACATTGGAAAGCAAACATATAATTCAACGTGTGGGACTCCAATAATAAGAAAGATGGACTGACCTGCTTAATGTTTGCCGGAAGTTTCCCCCAAGGGTAGTTGTTTCTGATGTGAAATTCTACTTCTGAATTCATCGCTGTAATCTTTCATAACATATTGTGACTTTTAATAAACAAAAGTGACACATTTGGTTAAAAAGATGGTTTTAATCAGCTAAATACTTATGATGTCGTACGGATTGAGTATTGCTGAATTTATGTCAATATGTGAAAATAATGATTAATACATTTTAGGTAACATTTCTCTATCATTTTGATAAAATTTCAATTGAAATTTTTTATTTTAGAGTTAAATTAATTTTTTTTTAACGGAATATTAGATTAATGATTTTGTTAAACTTAAAATTATTAAACATATAATTAAAAGTATGGACAACTTATTGAGCTTAATAGTTCGTTGACCTGTTTGTTTTACCTCTGTTTTCATGTAACGGGCAAAAATCTAAATCCAAGCGGGCCTTTCAAATTAATAGGAGTTCCAGCTCATCTTTCCAGCTTGAATTCCAGCTTGAATCTTTCATGTCTTTGGAGAATTACATTGACAGTAAGGATTCAAAATTGGTCATTTCGCCGATTTCGGGTTGCTGTGCAGTTCGAGAAAGTATATGCACAGTTGAAATCACGAATTTTATCCTGAATATCACATATTATGGTGTAACCTGCTACTGAATTTAATGATTATAATTTAGTCAACAGTCAACACGTTTAAAGTTGAATGCGAAATGGAAACGGAAGAAGTTGAGCCAGCGCCAGGCGAAAACAAGAACAAAATGGGGAAGGAAGAGGAGGACCCGGAGGAGGATCATGAATCGCCTTTTAAAAATTGCACATTCAACGTTTTTGATGCAGTCTTTGTACTGATTTCAATGGGACTTCTCGTTGCTGATCTTGTTACAGGTGAGTTTATTAGACTTATTTTTAAATGCTTTAAAAAATTAGGGTGGGGGAGGGGGGGGGGGGGTAAGAGAAAGACAAAGAGCACTTTCATTGGGCCGGGGGGGGGGGGTGGGGCTGAGGGGGTTTAAGTTTTTTGGTTTATAAATGGTAAAATTAATGTTATCATACTCATTCTCATAGTCTAGATCTATTACCAAAACCAGTTTTATTTGATGGGGGGGGGGGGGGGGGTTGGGCCAATCATTTCCCAATTTGTCATTTATTTATTTTCCACTGATTTTCTCTATTTTCCCCAATTTTCTCACTCAAAAGGGGAAATGTTGTTAGATGTCATCCTCCCCCTCCCCCCCCCCCCCCCCTCCCCCTTTTGAATCCTCTTTCTTTCGTTTTTAACTCAAGGGGGGGGCGTGGTTGAGGGGTGGGAACCTTTTTTTTTTAGTGCTCACTATCACCCCTGAGTAAGTAAAAGGGATTAAATGATATATCCCTAATTTTTCTTGAAATGTAATTCTTTACATTCATTGTTAAATTTGTTGTTATTGTTCCCCATCCAGACATGATCGTGACATGCAAGTATTTCACAGGAGGAGACATGACCTGGGGCGCCCTCACTCTAGGCTTCATCCTGGTGCCCTCGATCATCCTCCAAGTCTTCAGCATCAGATGGTACCTGGTAGACGATGAAATGTCCGCTCTGAAGTGGATCACACATATCTGTCAAGCAGGACCCTTGCACAGGTACTACCCTTTCATCGCCTTAGCCCTTAGGCTCAGGCTTTTTAGAATTTGAATGTACAAAATATAATTGTTTTAATATATATTTCAATCACTTATTCAGGGTCTATTGGTACCTCCTCCTTGATTATCCTCCTCCTCCTCCTCCTCCTCCTCCTCCTCCTCCTCCTCCTCCTCCTCCTCCTCCACTCCCCATCCCTCCCACTTCTTCTTCTCTTTCTCCCTCTCTCTTCTTACTTTGATTTCCAAGTATATGCTTCTTTTTTTCTACTTTCTTCTTCCTTCTTTCTTTGTTCTATTTTATTTTTACTTTCTTCTTTTGTTTTTTCATTCAAAAAAAGAATATTTGTGAGCAGAACACTATTTTATTTTTCCACTGATTTTCTTGCTTGACCTTTCTCCCCATCCCATATGATATCCCCATGCAGGTATGTGAATCTGTTTGTTACTGGTATGGAAGCAAGGAGAACCAGGGATGCCCTGGACTTTGAGCGTCTATTCAATCAGCAGAGTGACGTCTGCATGCTGAGGCTGTTTGAGTCCTTCATGGAGTCCGCACCACAGGTCGTTCTGCAGCTCTACATCATGGTGGCAACTAATGATGAGAACTTCTGGACAGGTATTAAAGCCCCACTGTACTTCTTGTAGCTACTTGCTCTTTCTATATAGAAAGCATTGCCTCAGCGGTGCCCATTGGCCCCAATGATCCTCTCTTTCTTATGTTAATTGAGAGCCGAGTTGATGAGATAGCCACCTGTCAGTGACCTCGCTGGGCGGTCTAATCCAGACGGGCTTTAAGGCATCAAAGATCTGCCTCTTATAAATACTGTCTGTCACTTCGTTCGTTCGTTCGTGTCTCCTTAGATCAAGATTAATGTAATCTTGATCTTCGGAGTAGATGCTACAACCGGCCGTGTCAGACACGTTGCCCCGGGGTGCGAGATAGGACTCTTGTAGTGTGCCCCCATTTAAAACAATTATACAATTACAGTTAACATTACATTTAATTAATAGTATGAAACTATTAAAATTACTCTCATGTTACGGGAAAAAATATTGCATATATATATATTATGAATCAATTGATTTGGTCGATCCAGTTCGATGGCACAAACACGGCACTACTGGTCTTGGACAGAGATCCTAATCACTTAATGTTGGATTAATCACTTAAACCAACATTGTCTAACTCTATCTCTCCCTCTATCTCTCCCCCCCCCCTCTCTCTCTCCCTCTCTCTCCCTCTCTCTTTCTTTCTCTCCCCTCCCACCACTTTTCTGCCCCCCCCCCCTTCTTACTACCTCAACCCTCATATTCTCTTTATCTCCACATACAATCTATAGATACTGTCACTTTATCCAACATTGTCTTACTCTTTCTCTCCCTCTATCTCTCTATATATCTCTATCTCTCTCTAAACCCCCCCCCCCTTCTTGTTACCTCAACTCTTATATTCTCTCTATCTCTACATACAATCTCAACAATATTTTTGTCCTTGCTTATTCAATATTGTATCTACATTTACATTTATGCTGATCAATTTTGCTAAGGAGTGGGACTTTGAAAGTAAAATGACAAAATCAACTGAAAAGGTTCACCTTACTAGTGGGTGAACAGATTATTTCCTGGATTATTTAAGGGAAGACTTAAAATAATGGTTTGCTTGTGCTAGACAGCAAAGAAGAGTATGACAAATTGTTGAATGGCACCAACTCTCCCCCCCCCCCCTTTCCCACCCCTTACCCTACCCCTCACTTTAATAGTTAAAAGGTTTACTTAATTAATTTCTTCTTTCATTATTATTATTTTGTTTTCTTCCATCAGGTACCTCAGCTGCCGTGTCTCTCTTCTCCCTGTGCTGGGCCCTAGGGGCGTATAGTCGAGCTCACCGTAAGGTCCGCCGTGACAAGAAGGTTGTGTCTTGGCCAGGGCTGGTCCTTCAGACTCTCTGGAGGATCGGGATGATCTCATCTAGAGTCATGGCGCTCGTCCTCTTTGCTTCAGTCTTCAAGGCTTACATCTTTCTAGCTGTCGGTAAGACAATGAAACCTTAGGAAACGTTCACAGATTTCATAAAGCCTTAACAAAAAAAAAGGTGATATTGCCCTTTGCGGCCGACCCCAAAATCTTGACATCTTGACTTTTGGAGACAAAAATTATTAAAGCATTCAAAACAGGGGGAAATATCAGCCCAAAAGGGAGAAGAAAAAAAAGGGAAAAAAGATTTTTTGGCACCTAAAGGGTAATACAACATTTTTAAATTTTTTATAAGCCTAATCATAACACTTCTTGACATTATTCTTCCCTGTGAGATACACATGTAATAATGACGTGTTGAAAAGTTTGAGGTTTTCAAGGCAATACCAGCCAGAGTTATATCTCGGGCTTAATCTGCCTAATACAATGGGTTAACACTTTTCAGTCTGGGAATGATGAGATTCAGTTTAACTACTCAATGATAACTTTCTGAGTAATGTTTAAGGGATCGTTTAACAATGTTGAATCTGAGATACACGGCCCTATGTGTTATCAGTGTCTGTGATATGGTGTATTATTGAAGCCCTAAAAAATAGTGCTTCAAAATGATCAAGAATTGCCTCAAAAAAGTAAAAATCTTTGAGTGACCGGTTTTACCATACTTGTTTTCCCCATTAGACGGTAGTGTTATGAAAACCGTTTGACAAACGGTTTTCAAAATTTGTAATTCCAACCATAAATATCATGATAATCAGACAGCCTATCGGCTTGTAAAAATCAAGGGGTTCCTGCCTGACCTATATAAAGGTTAATAATTATCATTGCAGCATGAGCTAAATCCAGAATTTTTATTCAGAATCTGAGACAAAGTTACCGGATCCCTTTAAAGTGGCATGTTCCCCGTATTCCAGAGGGCGTTCAAAATACGTACCCGCTGGCGGACGGTGCTAGCTGCCTATTGACACCAACATAATACGGCTCTTACGCAGATGGCATGTTCCGAATGCCCGCACAATGCCGATTATCGCATACATGTACCGAAGTAATACCAATCGCAGTTTGGTTCTAAGATTCGGCTGCTGTTTCCGCCCACTTTCGTGACGTCAGGATCGGCAGCGATCAGCTGGCTTGACGAAGGCAGGCCAGGCCGCGCGTACTTTGATTGACAGCTGTATGCAAATTAGAAGTCGATCTTCGGAACCAAGATGGCGATGACTAGAGCAGCGATAACTACAAGGGCGGGAACGTGCCCCTTTAACAGGACCTAGAAAGATAACAAATAAATTCTTGAAATCACATTTAGTTATGAGCCCACATGTTGGTTGTGACTACCAGCTTGTTTTCCTTGTATTTCTTTGGTCTGTACTCAGCCATATTTACTTTTTCTTCCAAAATCATTTTGCAAAATCTGTTTCATCCTTTGTTATGTTTGAATGTTCAGTGTACATATGCAACTCTACACAAGTTTCATTTGATTCAGTGAGAACTTTTTGTCTGTTATTAATACACAGATACAGTCAAACCTGTCTACAGCGACCGCCCAAGGGAAACACAAAAAGTGGTCTTTGAAGACAAGTTCTTACTGTTCTTTTAATACATTTTTCAACGAGAAATCATTTTTAAGGGAAACAAAAAATGCGCTTGTTGTAGACAGGTGGTCACTAAAGCAGGCTTGCCTGTATCAAGATTGCACTCAATGTGCTATCAAAGTATTGTGTTGTATGTTATTCACTTTGTCTATGTCTTCTGTCAATGTGCAATCAAAGTGTACAATGTTATGTTGTACAGTATGTCAATCACTTTGTCTATGTCTTGTGTGCACACAGGTATTCATTGGATAGGGATGATGGTGTGGGTGCATCTCCAGAAGACGGACTTCTGCACCCATCCTCTGGAGGAGCGTCTCTTCAACTGTGTGGTGGCAGTCATCTACATCTTCTGCTTCTTCAACCTCAAGGAGGGGAAGTCCCGCAAGAGAGTCCTGGTCTTCTATTCCATCATGTTTGTTGAGAACACGGTCTTGCTTCTGGTCTGGTACAGTTACAGGACCATCGGAGAGTGGTATAATGTCGCTGGATTCACCATCGTCTTTGGAGGCTATGGTATTGGTAAGTTGAATTTGATGGTTCTTTTTTACCCAGTGAAGGATTTGGTGATTGAAGGATAGCATTTTATCCGAGGACCCCATTGCATTGAATAGATATTGACCCAGGACCTTCCAGTAAAAAAAATCTTCTTTGTTTCCATTCCCCTTACCCTTCCTTCTTCTTCTTCTTCTTCTTCTTCTTCTTCTTCTCCTTCTCCTTCTCCTTCTCCTTCTTCTTCTTCTTCTTCTTCTCCTCCTCCTTCTCCTTCATTTTCTACTTCCTTTTCCCTTCTCCTCCTTCTTCTTCTCCTCCTTCTCCTTCCTTTTCTCCTCCCTTTTCTCCTCTCTCCCCTTCTCCTCCTCGTTCTTCTCCTTCTCTTTCTCCTCCTCCTTCTTCAAGGAAACACTCATAAACAGAATGAAAGCATTACATTACATGTTAACAGAGTCATCTGACCAGTGTGAAAGCTTTCTTTGCAATGGATAAATTTTGTTTAGTTTTCTTTGTAAAGCACTCCAAAAAACTCATCTTTCTCTAGTGCTACTTTTCATTACTCATTTTTTTTGTAGTGCTATCACTTTTGTTTTGATGTACATGTATAAATAGATGAGTGATTGATGTGTGGTTGTGTGTGGGTTCATTGTGTACATTCATTTGTTATTGATGTAGTTTAAGTCTTGTATACATGACATGTTCAAGTAGATCTTATGTCAATTTTATAATTGGTATATCCATCACTTGTTTTGGTCTACACAATAGAAAGTTTTTTCTTAAAGAAAAAATTGAATGTAAGTACTTTCCCGAATGAAGACAAAAAAAAATTGAAAAGTTATAACTCACACATTAGTCAGTTATACATGAAAAGGAATGTTTCCCCCTCAAAAATGATTCATAAGCAACTTAAGTGTGGTGAATAGAATTTTAGAATTCTGTTTATCTACAAGTGTACATGTACATGTACCTATTTTTGTGTAATATGGTACCATTTTTTTGTTGTAGGTGTTGTTAGCATGATTCTGTACTACCGCTACCTCCATCCTCGAAACGACTTCACCCTTTGCGGGCCCAAGCCCGAGAAAGAGCCTTCCCGATCTCTGAACACCACTCCATCCATGTCACCTGCATCCAGTCCCGCAGCCCTCTTCTCCCCAGAACTATATCGACACGGACACTCCCCTTCTCCAAAACAGCAGCGACGCTCTGACGTGAATCACAATGACAATGCAGCCAGTCCTCTTGCTCGACCTCTGTCACAGACTAGCATTCACCTTGATGATGACTTTGATAAGGAGCATGGTGTACCCCAGAGGTCAGGAAAGGTCAAAGGTCAGGGCCATAAGGTTGGACGGGGAGATTCCATCGTTAGGAAGAGTAAAAGCGAGAGCTGCGTGAGCTTCAATGAAAACGAGACCATTTCACCAAAGGTGCATCTTGATAAAAGTACTGCAGGGAATAGTTCTGTTTTGATGAACGCTTCCCTAATGGCGTCGTTCAGGTGTGAGATATCAGGGTTTGGGACGGATCTTGTCCAAAAGTTTGATGACTGGAGAGATCATTCCCGCCTGACCAACCATTCAGTAATGAGTGCTGGTGGGAAATCAGGCAACCTGACTCGATCACTCGGTAGTATGCTTGACCAGAGTCATGTCCCAAGTCCAGCAGCAGCACACTGCATTGACTCAGCTGATGCTGCAAGGACTCCCTTCTCTCCGGACCTCCAGCAGATGCCCGAGATTGCAGACTCACCCAACCAGATCATGACAGCATACGAAGCCCAGCAGATCTACGACAGCATCTTGGGCATCCACCACCCCCGCAGGAACTCCAAAAGGAAACTCAAGTTTGATGATGATCCGGGTAAGGCCTCTGGAAGAACCAGATCCAAGTCTGGTAATGCAGTTGTACATGGTAAACCAGCTCAGAAAGAGACTGGTAACAGATCTGGCGATGGTGGTTTTGGGAATGGGGGACCTCAAAGGGTTGTTGTGACAAGAAAATATGTTAAAGATGGGTGTTGTGTTGGACGTATTGGTACATCTGGACAATTGTTGGATCAAAGTAAACAATCACATCACCCTGTACCCAATCTTGGTACCAAGAATAGAGATAAGTGCAGCGAAGGAAGTCACAAGATATTGACACATCCAGCTAACAATGCCGTGGTAGAAACTAAAACTAAAGAGATCTATCCAGATAATGGTAAAAAGATTGAAACTGAAACTACAAATTTCCAAGCTGTTAAAGTTGATATGCCTATAGATCTTGAGGGGGCGAAACCACTTCAGGGCAGTAAGGACAACCATGATTTAGGACATGTCATAAATGAAAAGCAGAAAGGCATTCAAAACCAAAACAAGCCATCAATTTTGATTGTCGATGTAAACAGTGCTCGAGCTGAGCACGAGACACAGATCGGCATTGCCGCTCCAAGGCTGCGTGCCGCGCTGTCAAGGGATCTATTCAAAGCGAAAGAGAGAGTAATTTCAAGGAGTAGTCACATTACAAATAAGGCTGACGTGCATAATGAAGGCTGTGACAAGCCTGTGTCTGTATTAGGATGCAAATCAGATAATGTAAAAGGGATTGTTGCTTATCATGATGAATTCCCCATTGTTGTAGGTCGCCCTGCAGAGTATAATGAAGAGATCGCTATAGATGCAAGCAAGTCAGAACCAAATGCGCATGCTCAATCGACGAAAGATTTGCAATGCGCTACTACTGTTCTGAATAGCAATGACAAAACAAAGCAGGGTCACAATATCTATGTCAAACATAGTGGCAAACTTTCTTCAGGGTTGGAAGACTCCCGCATTACCGAGCGAGAAGAAGAAGATAACAGAGATCCCTGTGAAAATAGCAATGCCAAAGCACAGCGCAATAGCCCCACAAAGGCTGGTAAACTACTCGGTTCCCTGTCCCCCAAAGCAGCCATATTTAGTACATCCCAAGGTAGATTCAATGGGAGTCATAGTCCTCTGATCGGAGGAGAGAGGGACCCTGGTGGTAGCAGGCATAAGTACCATGGCAGAAGTCCTGCGGGGAAAACAGCTCTCAAGAGAGTCCGCAGTCTGAAAGGGAGTGTCCCATTGGATAGTCTGTCCCTCCCTCAGGGATCTAGCCCTGCAAGAGATGATTCAGGTAAGGGTCACTCTGAACATGAGAGGACCCCCATAGCAAACTTGAAGGGTAAAATAAAAAGGGCTCTGAGCATTAAGGCCAAGATACCTTACGAAGGTGAAGTACATGTAGATTCCTCCCCCTCAATTAAAAGTCACTTAGATCACGATCCTCGAAGAAATGACAATCACAAGACTGAAAAAGCTCTGAATACCATATCAAGTCCCCAAGTAAACGTTGACAAGGCTTCAGAACTTGTTATGAGAGAAAGACCTGTGCTAGTAGAAAACCAACAAAGTGCACCAAAGAGTGCATTTTCACCTCAAAAGTTTGAAGCTATCTCACAAAGCAATAAAATTAATCCCCCACAGAAGACTGGTGTCGAACCCTACTCACTGCCTACAACCACATTGTCAAGTCCCAGAGGTGAGGAGAATAGAGGTTTTGCACCAGTCTCTGGGAATATGATTATGAACACTTCCCCTCAAAAGAATACCGAAAATACAAAAAAGTATTCAGGTAGTCCTCAGAAGACTGGTAAAGAACACCTGTCACTGTCTAAAGGTACTAGAGTGCGCACACCTGGGAAAGAGAATAGGGGTTTTCAACCAGGCACTGTGAAGGGCACAGTAAGTAGACAAACAAACAATAAACTAGGGAGTCCCACTGGCAAGAAACCTCCAAGAAGATCCCTGAACAGGATCCCAACAAATTTGGTAGCAGATAATGTGGCCCGTTTTGACAGTCCTAGCAAATAGGATCCAGAATATATTGGTGGTGGTGGTGGTCATTTACCCGGCTGCTAAGAAAGCATAAATGCTTGTAAGTAAGCAACCAGACAGCCTAGGCTTTAGGTCCTCTCCGACGGACCTGGTAATGAGGATTAATGCCTTACCAAAAGGGACTAGAGCATCGCCTTTAATGTATTACAAAAATGTATTTTGTACTCATTTAATTTTTAAGAAAATATCTTATACAAATATATATTTTTTTAATTATAATTTTGTTCTTGTTCTTGTTCTTTTTTTTAATGTTTTGTTGTTCTTGTTCTTTTATTCTATTATGCATATACATGTAACATGGTAGTAAGATATCAGGTGTTTTTATTCATGGCTGAATTTTATAACATTTTGTAAATTTTGATATTGAAATTATATCATATAATATGATGAAAAAACTTTTTATATTTATACAACTTTTTTATATATATATATATATCTGCAACCTCATAAGCCTGATATTTTGACTCTTTCTTCACTCATGTTTTCGTTTTTAAGTTTGTTATATTTCAAATTTATCAGACTACATAGGAGAAGAGTAGCACTCTGGTTTGATCAGTACATGTCATGTACAGTGTCATGAAGACATTTTTCAAAATTATCATGAAACTATCAATGTTCCTTCAAGGAATGCTATCCTGAACGAAATAATTATGCCAAAGCACTGTCAAATCATCTGAACTAATGATTTTTACTTTTATATATTTATCTATTTTTCTCTAAAATTAGGAAATTACTTGTATTTTTTATTTCTACAGAAATGTCTGGCTTTTAATTTGATACTGTAGATGTAAGCAGGAATGAAATACTTGTATACTTGTATCTCTTTGTCTATTGCAATCATCTGATCTAATGATATTACTTTTATACATGTATGTATTTCTTTGTCTATTGTGATTATAATACAATTATATATATTTGTTATCTGTACAGAATAGTGTGGCTTGTTAAACATGCATAGTTGTATATTCTGCTTGTGAATTGGGGTTCAATATTATGGGTTAAAGTATTACCGGTTCGTTCGTTCATGTCTCCTTAGATCAAGATTAGTGTATCTTGATCTTCGTGAACTGGTAACATTGTTGAAGATTATCTTTAATTGTAAATCTAGCATTGAAGTCACTACCTTACGACAATTTTCTCCCATCTGAACAATGTTACCAAGTCCCTTTAATTGAGCTTTGTAATTTAGAATGATTTCATTTTGATTAATGTTTACAATTTAAGTTTACATGCATATCCTTCTGCAGAATACATCGTTTTGCAAAATACATCGTTTTGCAATTTTGGATAGTTGACTGCCAGCCCAAAATTATTAAAATGGTTATGTAATGTTTTAAAGCCGTTGTCCTAGAGTGACATGAAGCCATATTTGAAAATGTGATACCTTGAAAAGAATTAAAGCTGACTATTATTATCTGTAATATATGTATTTACAACTCGAGCACAAATAACCCTACAAATGTACTTACCTGGGTATTGTCCTGAGACCTATCATCTCCTTGTACATGTTGGCTCAGTGGTGGCTCAGTGGTTAGAGTGCCTGCCTCATGAATGGGAGGTCGTGGGTTCAAACCCCGGCCGAGTCGTACCAAAGACTTATACCAATGGGACCTTCTGCCTTCTAGCTAGGCGCTCAGCATATTAGATTGGAGAAGGGTAGTAATGACATATTATGTTATGAAGGGCCCGCTGGAAGAACAGTTTTATAACTGAAGAGGCTACCCTGGGTAAATAAAACGTTATTATTATTATTATTATTATGTTTATTATTTACCTGATTTTTTTGTTGTCAATTAAGGCTGATCATTTATTATCTGTAATATACAACTCTAGCACAAATAACATGTACTTACTTGGGCATAGTTCTTAGACCTATCATCTCCTTGTACATGTTTATCATTTACCTGATTTTGTTATCTTATTTTGGTCAGATCGCACTGCAGTTGTTAAATTTATTAGTCTAATATTCACTTAGTAAATATATATGGACTGTGACTGACATATGATGGTGTTTTTTTTTTTTTTTTAAGAGTTATTGTTAATTAATTTAAAAACAAAATTTAATTTGAAGCATCTGCAAATAGTGGAGAAGTCGGTTGACAAAGTTACATACATGTATTACATATTTGTCTTATGTATGAAAATAATGATATTAGTACAAATATAATCATATTATGCATGTCGCGTATCTTATGAACAAATATAGAAGTACAGTTTTACTTGAAATTCTGACTGCATGATAAGCTGTCGTAAGCTGTATAGAGCTAAATCTGAGGTCATCTAATGCCTTACTTTTAAATTCATATTTATTTCGTATACATGCATATAAAGTAAAGTTTATATACAACTTTAACCTAGTTAACTCGTGTATTTTGCTTTAATACACTGCATAAAATGTATTCAACTTCTAAATCTCTGGAATAAATCAGTAACAGGGCATCCTAATATATTTGTTTGTTTTGTTTATGATTACCAGGATGTTTTTTTTTTTCTATTTGCATGTGATCTGGTATAAGTAAAGAGTGTTAACAGAATAATGTTAAAAGAAATTTAAAGAGTTTTGAGAGTTATGATATATAATGCAAAATGATCATGTCGCTTTGGGTGAGAAAACGAGATTGAAGAAGCTAAAGGTACACACGAGAGAGAGAGAGAGAGAGAGAGGGGGGGGGGGGGGAGGCTCATGGCTTCGGACGTGCAAGTGGTTTCAGAGAGTGGGACATCATATGGGAATTACAACAGAGTGCATGCTCTGTGGGAAATGAGCATTGCAAAAAGTTATTATCTAGTCTAAAAATAGCGCAAATTTACTCCACTTTGTGAAAAAAGAATGCCCCTTAGTCTCAAATTTAAGACAAAAATTATCGGCACTATTGAAATACGCGATGATGTTTTGATATAAACTTCCCATGTTATTAATAGATCACGTGTTTTGTCATTTCATAATAATATTAATAAATCTGTTTACACATCGAAACCTCATAAGCGTTACTAGCTTCAGTGCCGTTCTAATCCCTGAGGGCCCTGCAATTATCACTACTCTAGCAATCGGCAGGTACCCATCTACACCTGGGTGCAGAGTGACAAATGTGGATTAATGTATTGTCAAAGGGCGTATAGTGCCGGGCTGGGATTCGAACCCTCAACCCTTGGGGATTGAGAGTAAAACTGATTAAACCACGACACTTTAAACAGATAGACTTCAATTTCTGAATGCATGGGGAATACCAAGCAATTGACACGAGCATAAACTTTTTCTAACAGTCCTGGTATCGATAAAAACATTGAAAGGTCCAATAGCTCTTTGTGCAACAATTGTTTTCGATCCTGCCAATGGCTTGAGATGACATAAATTGCGACATGCTGAAAATGAAACAATTTGAGGAAGGTGGTTGGTTAACGATATGGTATAGGAGCTCTGTGGTATAACGATTATTTACTTTATTTTCATAACAAATGCTAGGTGTTCATGTGCGTGGATCCTCGAATATTGAATAATGTAACTTTAGTTATTAATTCTTTAAAATGCAACTTGTGCCGATAATAAACAGGATAGTCGTATCCAAACTTCGGGAGCGAGGGGAAACATTATACCTGCCCCCCCCCCCGTTAACTGTGAAAATAATTTTGCTCAAGATTGTTTACCCCCCCCCCCCCCCCCCCCCCCTCCCCCCTTCCCATAACATTGTCTGATTTGTAGATGTAATGATGTCTTTTTTCCCGCGAATGAAATAAAATTGACATTGAATTGAATTTTAGTTTAGTTCTTAAGCAAAACATGTCCCTTCCATCCAGTGGCGGATCCAGGGGGGGGGGGTGCAAATTGAAAAATTTCGAGGACCAAAAAAAAATTGCCCCCCCCCCCCCCCCCCCACTGAGCGACATTTCGGCCGGCGCGATTTTCAAATTTTCGGGAGCAAAAAAAAAAAAAAGTTGGGCCCCCTCCCCTAAGAAATCCTGGATCCGCGCCTGCTTCCATCATTAAAAAAATTGCCCCTTTTCCGTACGCCCTGTCGACGCCTTTGTAGACTATAAAGAAGGAGGAAGACTTTCGATCGTAGTCTGTTTTGATAGTTATCTTTTTATAATATATGCATATGCATGTCTACATTGCTTTCACTTTCTTACCAGGCGCCGTAAACGATATACGCTGTCGATTTCTCGTCTCCGATTAATTTTGTCTTTCTCTGAAATTGCTTCCTCATTTCACACCGAGTATTGACTCAATAGAGTCGCATCTCACTGAGACGTAAATGAAGGCATGCTCAGCCAGTACTGTTTGTGATTTTACCTTCTTGAATGAAACTACATTAGAGGGGAAACTTTCTCAACTCGCTTTTGATTCCGTAATTGATATTACCACCATGCATAGGAAAGGTAACGAATTAACCTTTTTGGTTCCTGGTACACATAATTATGAGATCGCATCGACGACAGTATCATAGCTTCTCACGATATCGTTGGCAAGAGAATTGAGGGAAAGACGACAGAACCATTATTGACACGATGGAGATCATTTGCAGGAAGGATTTAGTTTACACGGAGGCATAATGATTGAAACATGTCTGGAATAGAGAACGACTTCTACTCTGTACTTCTGTAGATTGCACAAGATCATTTTGGCGCGAATAACCAGTAATGACCGTGGTATTCGACAGACGTTAGCTTTACCACGGTTTCACTTTTTCGGCATATGGATTATGGGACTTTGCCATGGATTTGCATTGAGTCGAACATTGATTGAGATGCATGGTCTCAAAAAAATAAGAAACAACGATACCAACAATAGATGGAAGATCATTCGCTTGCTCCTATAATGTGAGGGGGGAATGCTGTCTCACTTTTATAGAGAAGGTTCGAGGAGATTCATACAACAATAACAGCAAATGAAAGAATTAAGACATGCTGACCTAATATGAAATTATCAACTATATCATTCAATTGAATTGAACATACGGCATTCGTAACTGTGAAATAGGCCTTTGGACAATCATTGAACCAGAACACATATTATAGGAGAATAACTACTTCGCTTCAAACTTTGTACATGAATTATCATCGAATATAATGGCAATGATGGATAGGCGGACGTTGTACGGTACGTCCCAGCGTTCAACCACCATCTCGAAGTCGCCAGAGAAAGAAGCGACGGTTACTGAACTTACCTGGGTCGACACAACGCATAAAATTAGCGAAATTGTCTCACGAAGCCCGCCACTTCTACCCATCTTGATCAAATGCGCTGCGCTGTCGTCGGATCCGTACATCGCCGCAAAGATCCAAACGGGCGACATCATGAAACTCAGCAGACTTAATACCGTCGACATCGTCCAGGCAACCGTCGAGTTCAAATCCGTCGCCGCGCAACATTTGAAGGAGTTAGACGACTACAACGGAGTCCAGCTGCCGTCGTATCTCGCCATTCCTAAGTCGATGGAGTCCATAACGTTCGAGGTCGTACGCGGAAGCGTTCGCTACAGTACGCCGTTGGGTCTCCACGAGGGACTGTCGCCGTTTTCATCGAAAACTTCAACCTTGAAAGCGAATCAGAATTCAGTTCGGTTTAAGACCGTGCTGGCTTTGTCGAAGCAGCTACCGAGGTTTGTCAAGGTGATCAAAACGTCAAAGCAGATTCGACATAATACAAAGATCGTTGACGGACACGTACTCGAGATCATGGGCGTGCACACACCGTGGGCGACTCGAGATAAATTTCTAAGGTAAGCATTTTACATTATGATGTCATAGTGTTAAACTGATTTTCTGATAGAGGATAATGCATTTGTTATAAAAATGTTTGCCAGTTTGTGAATCATTATAGACGTTCTCAAGATCACGGTTGCACACTACGCCTTAATTGGCAACTCGATATAAATTCATCGGGTAAATATTATCAGGGTCGGATCCAGGGGGAGCGAAGGAGGCTCACGCCAAATCCCCTTTTGTTTTACCTTCTACACACAAAATGTTCACAAAAAAGTTTAGTTTACTCGTTGAAAATGCATCAGAATGCGCCGTAGAGCATCTTAAAGTTCAAAACTTTCAGAGGGCATTAAGCGGGCCCCGAACCCCACGCCGTATAAAGGCTTCACGCTTCTCGCTCAAAATGTATACGTTTCACTCCCCCGCCCCCTTTTTGGAAAAATCATGGATCCGACCTTGATTATTATCACATTGTCAGACTATAATTGTTTGCCACCATCATCATGATCGCAATGTTGGCACAATGTCGGTACCTGTTTTAATTTAGTTTAATTATATTATCATTCGTGCTGAGGCATTGTTTATTTGTATTTATTAGTGAATTTGTTCTCTTTTTCTGTCTACCAAGCTATATGGTAATTCAAAACTATACTTTGGATATTTTATCTATCTTTCATGTAAATTGTTCTTTTGAATATATATAAACTATGATGCTTGTAATTTAACTACCAATTTTGCTTTTGTTGCGACACATTACTTTTTTTTAATGAATACCATTTTGAATAAATATTTATCAAATGCTAAGAACAATCTACCGACTAATGGAAAGGAATTTGGAAGGAATGAAATGTTTGTCAACTTTGGGTTCATTCAAACGTTTGACAATGGCATTTCCTCTAAAGAAAATCTCATCAATGGTAGACTTGCATTGAAATAAATGAAAAGATAGGACTTGTAAGCCTAAGTTCAATGAAAAGGGGAAAATAAAGATGTTTTTTGATAGCAATGTGGTATATTCTTTTTTTGGGTGGGGTATATGCAATTGCGAACAATAGCCAGTTCATGTATCAACAGATAATTGTCACACCAGAAGTCCTTGCAAGTAAAGCCCCAAAATGAGAATTATTTTCTAATTGTTGTAACATTTCCCTTTTTGTAATTAACGTATTAAGCCTCCTATCATAATGTTCTCTCTTTTCGTATGTCTGTAAGTATTTCTTGTTTATGCGCTTTTTATATAACGAAACTGCGCTTTTTAAATGTAACATAGTATAACAAGAGGCCAATCAAATTAGGTCGCTGCTGCTGCAAAAAAAAAGTATCTAAACACTTCTTAACGCCTGTAACTGTTATGGAATATAAAAAGTAATAGTATGTTGTTGTTTTTCTTTGGTAATATCGGCGTTTCGTTGTTTTTTAGAATATTTACGCCTTTCACTTTCTTTCATGGAAGTGTGCACTATAGCTTATATAGAAAAGGCGACATTGCATGGCGCAAAAGCAATTAGATCTAAAGCCAGACTGACCCTACCAGAATTAAAAAAAAAAAAAAAATATATATATATATATATATATATATATATATATATATATATATATATGTGCTCAAAAATTATAATAAAACATTAATTATTATCTTTAAAAAAAAATGCAATTTATATATTGTTATACATTCTGTCATTTCGGAATTTGCATTACTAGAAATAGATTTTAATGGCAGGAAATATAAATGGTAGCACTCTCATTCTCTCTCTCTCTCTCTCTCTCTCTCCTCTCTTCCTCTTTCCTTCTCTTTCTCAATCTCTCTCTCTCTCTCCCTCTCTCCCTCTTTCTCTTTCTTTCTCAATCTCTCTCTCTCTCTTTCTCTATCTCTCTCTCTCTCTCCCACTCTCTCTCCATCCCTCTCTCTCTCTCTCTTTCTCTTTCTCTCCTCGTAATACAGTTGTCGTATTGATCAGCCAGATGGTCAGGTATGCAAGCTAGATCTGAAATGGAGAGGAACATTCGACACCATCCCCGACACCAAACGATACAACATACAGGTAAATTGATTATGTCAATATTTAATGAAAATTTTGATCCTTCATAATTTAGTTTACTTTTTTCCGATGATTCAAGCACGGCATCTTATGATAACTTCTATATATGAAATGTGCTTTAACGATGTGTTTATTTGTCATGATTTTGTTTAAATATCAAGATATGTCTTTTTTTAATACAATATAGCATCGAGTCCTGGGCTAGCTTTTCTACAGTATATGTGCCAACTTAATTGGGCATCTTATACAAAGAAAATTGTAAAAATCATACAGTATTAGTCCATGAGACTTCAAATAGGATAAGGCTTGTAATATATAACATATATTTTACTTTCAAACAAATCTGGGTGTGATCAGTAATTTCGATGGATTGTATTCGATTTTTTTCAACCTTAATATACAAAAGGCTTAGTCCTGCTTTACACATTTGATTAACCTTTGTATTATTTATTGCAAATATGGAAATACATATTCGGACTTTATATTTTTATAACCATGTTTTCAAACTATCGATTCAAACTGAAATTGAATTGAAACGAATTGAAATAGAAATTGAATTTCTTTTGTTCATTTCTTGATATTTGCAGGATCTTCTGCGCGTCTACCGTTTTCCAATCACCGTGCGAGTACGGGACTTTAGCCCAACAGAATGGATCCCTCAACATACTTCATCTCAGCTCAAAGCCATCAAAACTCTCGACCTCAACCTCACTATCGAGAAAGAAGAGACCGTGGAATTCGCCATGGCTATCAGTCAGACACCGCCGTCGTCGATGGCCGGTGCTTGTCAGGATCCGCACGATTTCAAGCTACTGGTCCTGTCGAAGAACATCGACGTCGATTTCGTAACCTCGTCGGATATGACGATGAACCCGAAAGTTTACGCTGAGGTCATGAACCGGATGGGAGGCATTGGAGACTCAATGATCTCCACCGTGTCGAAGGCAAGTTTTGTTTTTTGTTTGTTCGTATGTTTATATGTATGTTTATTTGTTTGCCAATGTGTATATTTGTGTTTGGTTTTTTTCTTTCTAATGTTGTCTGTCTGTTTGTATGCCTGTTTTATGTACGTATATTTGTATCATTGTTTGTCTTTTTTGTTGTGTGATTGATTGATTGATTGATTGACCGATCCATTGATTCGTTTATTCATTCCTTCTTTTTTTTTGTCTTCATTTATTAACTGAAAATTTCTTCGATTGTTGCCTATTTTAAATTTGTAATCTAAACTGGGATGGTGTGCGATAATCTTCGGGTGTAGCATGAGCATGTTTGATCAAATGTCGAATAAGAAAGAGAATTTGTAATTAGTTTCTTGTATCCGAGGGTCAAAGTGTATTAATTTCACCAAAATTAAGACCGGAAACGACTGGATTTTGACTAAAATAACATTTTTGATTGAGTAAGGTATGAAATCAATAATTTAAAAAAAAAATTGTTTACGGCCACAAATGGATATATTGTCAAAATCGACATAAAATTTAGTTTTACATTGCAGGACATCTATTTGAACGAGTATGGATCGCCAATGGCGGTTGCGGTACCGTATTTACAACTCCAACCAAAAGTGTATGGCACACCAGTACGAGGTAAATTGAATACGACTATATCTCAAAGTTATGTTGCTATTCAACACATGACTGTATTCTGTGTTTTGACATCAAAGAGAGAGGGTGGTGTATGTTCTGAACAGTGGCGTAGCGTATGGTCGGTGATTGGTGGAGGGGTGGGGGAGGCCCTGGTGGTGTTCCATCAAGCCTTTTTTTTTTAATTTTTTTTTTTAATCGAAATTAATTAAAGATGATGAAACACCCCCCCCCCCCTGGTAAAAAAAAATTATGTTCATCGATCTGTGGCTATTTTATAAATTATGATTAAACCATAAGGATAAGACCATAAGGATATTTAGGAACCTCGTTGCCCATATATGGAAGTATCCGGACACTTTGCTGTCTGAAATCATCATGTTGCGAGCGAGGAATTAAAATACGTTTTTTTATCTTTGAAATTAGTTTCTGAGATTTTTTTCACGAAATTGACATTGTTCCATTACATTTTTCTCGCGGCACCCCTGAGGATGGCTTGCGGCACCCCAGTTATAAAATGTTGGATTGGGGCCCTAAATTACTTTCTTCCTTTCCGTTAGCGTTATTCGATGGGTGCATTGAATAATGTTAATGTTAATATTCTGGATTTAAATGGCGTCTATACATCTAAGATGTATAGATGTGACTTACAGATGTGCTACACATGTACAGTGGCGGATCCAGGGGGGGTTGGGGGGGTTGCAACCCCCCCCCCCTTGGGCGGCCCCCCCCAAAAAAAAAAAAAAAAAAGGAAAAAAAAGAAAAAAAGAAAGAAAGAAAAAAGAACGCACGCTGGAGAGAAACCCTTTCAAGTGCAAATATTGTGAGAAGATATTTAACTCATCAGGTAACTTAACCAAACACATGATAACTCTGGATATAACTGTGTATTTAACTGTTACTTGATTTAAAAAGACGTTATCATGCACTGCTTTTTATGGTCTCCATTGTGTTAATAGATGCCAGGAAAACATCACTTACGGGGTTCAAATAAACACCCAAAAAAAATCGGTTCGCCGCTTCGCGGCTCGTGGACGATGCTCCGCATCGTCATTATTTTGGTCAACCCCCCCCCTTAGCAAAAAGCTAGATCCGCCCCTGATGTAGTATTACCCGGTCATCGGATTCAGACTTTCCTGCATGCACTATTATGTGCACCTTCTCCACATCCCTGAAAGCATTCCAGTCAGACGCCCTTTTACAGACGCTCACAATGCTAAACAAAATTACATATGCCCCCAATCCCAGATACACTCCATTGGTAAGTGATACAAATAATTGTTACCCCAACAAAAATCCACCGGGGAAAAATGAAACCATATCGACTGGTATTCAACGAGTTAACCATTTATTTTATTCATCAACATAGTGTATTGTTCACTAAAAGATTCTTCTTTTATTTTACAGAGTTGTCAAAAGGCTTTTTACGGTCAAAACAAGTCAGGCAATTTCAAAGGTCACTCAGTTCTTGCCTCCCAGGTTAAGTGCAAAGATAATCCTGTTATTGTATTCACCTGGCATTGCTCTGTCAAGTCAACAAAATTCATTAGATTTAGTTACCGCAGAATAAAAAGTCACCCCGATGAATGTTCGTTACTATAATTAACTACTCAGCTCTAGTACTATTCAGAAAATTTAGTCCCGAGTCTAACATTACAACTAATCAGGAGCGGAATATGAGGGCCGGTTGGGTGGTTGAGTGGACCGGTCGCACTAAACCAATTCCCTATAGCTCAATTTCAGCCAACGTAATTGTGGATTAAAAAGCTTTCCCTCTCTTTCTCCATCTCTCTCTCTCTCTCTCTCTCTCTCTCTCCCCCCCCCCCCTCCCCCCCTCCCTCTCTCTCTCTCTCTTCTCTCTCCTTTCTCTACCTTTCTCTCTCTCTTTCTCTCTCTCACTCTTATTCCAACTCACGTTGTCTGTTTTTTCCCTTTATCTTTCTCCTTTTTTTTGTTGAAATTTCCCGTTCTAAGGCATTCGATTATAGGACAAGTTATCATGACTCCGCCACTATTTGTCATTTATTCTTAAAATGAATTTGGGCAAAAGGAAACTTATTTTCTCTCAGGCTTAATGCCTAATCAAGCTCAATAGATTTTTTTTGATCAGTCAATTCATCATTTTGCTCAATAGTCGGCTTGACCTTTAATTAAAATTCTGATTTTGGTTCGTCTATTCTAATTTTATTTTAGATTTTGATCTAAGTTTGATCTCAAATGCAAACGTCTACTTTCAAAATAATAGAGGCGGTTCAAAAATGTGCTCACGTAAAAGGAAAAAGAAATGTTTTCTCTCAGTTTCCGTGAATCCTTTAGCGTACATTTTTAGCGTATTGTCTCATTCATAATTATTTTATACTTTCAATAGGAAGTCTAAACTGATATATCATTCTTGTCCCAAATCTCATCTTACATACATGATCAACGACAGGAAATGTCAAATTTCTGCTTCTGTTACGTATTTTCTCAGACTTTTATTTCCTTCACTTAACAAATAGATTTAACTCTCAGTTTTGTTTCCTTTATAATGATCGGATATCCTTTGAATATTTTTGATGTTGCTGCAACGTGTGACATTGCATAAGATATTGAAAGAACGACGAACTTTGTTGGTTTTCTTTGGGGGGGATGTCATATCATTGTCAATGTATTGTATTTGATTATATTTTATAAATTAAATTTGTTTCTATATTGGCTGCTAGTTTATTTGTATTTGTTTAATCAATAAACCACTTCAATCAAATGTGTGGCAGTCGGTTTACTTAAAAAATACGGGTTCAGGAATAAAGAATAAGGGACCACGATAACGGGTTGTCAGTCATGGGTGTTTCGGCACGATATCAAAAGCAATTAGAACCTAATTTTCTTCATTTTATCACTATTATAGGCTTTTTGCATAGCCTAACGAAGAACTATGACGACTAGATTGAAAAATATACCGTTACGAGGTAGGGGGTGTATCCTCGTCATCCGGGTAAGGGGGGGGGTGAATGTTCATCTGTATTTCAAAACAGATTGCCGTCGTCTTCATGGTCTTTTCCCGTTGTGAACAAGAGACGACTCCTGAGGACAATTGAGAAAAAACAATAATTAAAAAAAAAATTAACTCCATTAACAGAAAGCATTTCATGTTAGATGTAGGAAATAGAATAGTAAACCATCGAAGTGTATCATTAATAAAACTGAATTATGAAATATAGTTAGAATGTAGTAAAATAGTTGATAATAAAACAATAAGCAGGCACTAAAGTTAAGCGCAATTATGATATAAGCATCTAGACTCCTGAACTATACCATGAACTGTTTAAACAAAACAAGGATTCTTCTTCTATTTCACTTATACAGTGTGAGTCAAAAAAAAGTTTACACCTAGAAAATTGCTAATTATTAAAAAAAAAAAAATCATCGATGAACATTAAATTGTTATATGTCTTGTGAAAGAGTGTTTTATCCCAAATCATTTGGTACCATTTTTGTGTAGAATGTGTTCACGCTTCGTTGAACAGGAGACATTGTTTGCGAGAGTGCAAAAATCGACTTGCGCCAAAGTTGCTTATGTGATGTTTGAATAAAACAATTGGATTTGGATATTAATTCGGTCTTTGCAGATATAAATAACATCCCTAACAAAATTAATCATGCCACACATATCAAATATCAACGAACGAATTTGTGCGCGTGTGTGTGGGTGTGTGTGACTTTGCCCTTTGCAAAAAACATAGGCAATGCATTTCATTTGATACATTCAATTCATTCTCTCACTCCGCTAATCCCAACATTATAGGCCTACATACTGTAGGCATCACTTTGGCGCAAGTCAATTTTTGCACTCTCGCAAACAATGCCTCCTGTTCATCCAAGCGTGAACACATACCACACAAAAATGGTACCAATGATTTTTAAAATAATTAGCAATTTTCTAGGTGTAAACTTTTTTTGACTCACACGGTAGAAGGGTTGACCTTCAAATGAAAGAATAGAACAACCCAGTAGACCGAAATGCGAAGAGACCGACATGTCATTTTATGAGTTGCCCGTTTCGTAAAGGCTCGATCGTTCAGATTATGACGTGGCAAAAGCGCAACGATTTTTTTTTTAATGTAAAAGTGTTACACGTTTTAAGTTTCTGTAATAATATATTTTTAAAGCGCTTAGAGACATTTGTGATAAGCGCTATATAAAAGCTAAATATTATTATTATTATTATTATTTATAACACAGAGCTCAGTGAATACGCGTGCACGTCCTTTGTTTCTCGCAGTTGCTAATAATCATTATTAATGTAGTAATTTCATACTTCACTGTCTGTTTTGTTTGATTAGCACCGTCCCGTCCGCCTGGTCTAGATGAGAAATCTAATCACCGATCTTCTTGTCATCACTACATTGACCTTGATGTACTGTCTGAAGAAGGTATAACGAATCAGGGGCGGATTAAGGAACCGCCCCCACCCCCGTCAATTTTGTTTTAAACCCCACTCGTACAGTGCTCACAACAAAGTACACCACGGAAAGATGTGCTCCCTCATAAAAAGGTCGCCTTTAAAATCTGCACCCCTTATTTTTTTTAAACTTTATCCAAGAATTATCTGCATTGTTGCTCTTTCCCATTTACCTCTTAAAGTCCCTACCGACCCTGATTTACACCCCCCCCCCCCCGCCCTTCTTTTAAAGTTATGACAACACACAGGGTAGCGTGTTGGAGAACGTTGCATGAACATGAATTTATAGAACATTTGGGTCAGTGTGGTGTAGATATATAATTTAAAAAATAAATCATTGAAAGTTAATATGTTCTGATATGTCGTAGTTTAGCGGATACGTCACTTGACTGTGGGTCACATGGTTCGCGGTTCGAGTCCCACAGCGACACTCATGTCCTTTGTCAAAACATTAATATACTCTTGCCACTCTCCACCCAGGTGAAGTAAATTATTACCTGGTAGGAAGAAATTCACTGAATGCTTTAGCGCATTATTATGGCAGCCCAGCTAGAGCCGAGGTAGTATTATGTGATACCTTGTATAAGGCGCAGAATAGTATATTCATATAGTAGTTGTGCTATATAGATGGACCTTATATTATCTAACTGCCTGTGTTTTCTTCCTAATTGAGAAAACAATGATTATGTTGCTCTCCTTATTTGCTTAATATATAATGTCAAGAACCCCCAACCTCAGGGGGGGGGGGGGGGGGGGGGGGGGGGGGGGGGGTAAGAGGACACTTTTTTTTTTTTTTTTTGGTCTCGAAATTTGGAAATTTGACATTTTGCTCCGTTGGGGGGGGGGGTAAGGTCACCTTTTTTAGGTCGGCCATGGGAATAATTTTTTTTTTTTTTTTTTTTTTTTTTAATAATTAAAAAAAAAAAAAATCCAAAAGGGGGGGGGGGGGTTTTAGGTTTTTTTTAGGGGGTTTACACACAAAAAATTTCCAAAGGGGGGGGGGTTTAACCCCCCAAACCCCCCCCCCCCCCCCCCCCCCCCCCCCCCCCCCCCCCCTGCGTACGCGCCTGCATGTCTGTATGATTACTGCTTAGAAACCCCATCTCATACATGTATATCCAGTCGATTGAACAAGGGAAATGTACCGTTCATGATATAATCAGTAATATGTGTCACTATGAGTTAACTAATGGGTTCAATTGGGTTGTGTTCTCATAACTCGTTGGTTAACCAAAGGCATTATCCCTGTTTGTATTTTCTGTTCATTCTCTTCTCTATTACCTATAGGAGCCGTGGCTGACCACGATGCTATTTCTGAGCACATCCCTGAAATAGAAGAAGAGGACCCGTACGAGCCTCTTAGTGCAATACAGAAAAATGCAGGTGAGAGATAAGATAACATAATATCACTGCTGTGGAGTAGCGGAATAGTGATATCCGAGCGTATATACTATTGGGTAGAAGTCAGCTTCCTTGTGAAGTTGGAAGAAAAGGAGAAACGGAAAGGTAAAAGTTTGAAATAAATAGGATAAAAACTAAGAAAGTTGATAGTGTTTGAAATTTGAAATCACTAAAGCCATTTGAAAATCTCATATAGGCAATTTTGTTACTGGATTGCGACGTATAGTCGCGGATAAATCTCCCGTTTGTCGTCAACAAAAAACAAATTAATTTCTTCCTTTCTCTAAGGCGCCTTCACCTTTTGGGCACTTCTCAAAATGTACTGTGGATATATAGCATATAATTAAATATTCTCTAAAAAGAAAAGAAACTCCCGTGTCATTGATTTTTGAAAGGTTGTGTCATGTTGTGTGTTGGAAGATATAAGAAAGTTGTGCGGCACTTCGTCATAATGGCATTACTGATTCAGCCAATTTGATGTTCCCATACATTTAGTCTATTCATAGCCGCTTTTATTACTTTATGTCCAATTTCGTTCAAACTGTTACCAGTCAGCTTCTCCGATTTTCGACTTTCTTTTAGACTAGTTTGCTTTTAAGAATTGATTGCCCTATAAATGGACAATTGAGATAAATATGTTATTTGTAATAAATTAGTTTCCGTTTCGTTATGCTGGAGGAGCATGGTTTTTGTTATATATGCTGGAAAAGTGTGAAACCTTCCCTCTCATCTCAAGTACCATTTGTCCATTGCAGGAGGGATTGAGAAATGTGCTTCAATCGTGAGCGCAGTTATTGTGTCTTTAATTGATGGCAGTGTCTCGTTAATGGTTTCGCTACAGCGAATAAACAACACATTATTTTGAGATAATGGTGAAGAGGGGATATTTCTGTACATGAATTGATTGATACTTCCTGGATGACTAGAATATTGTCATGTCTTATTATGAAAGTTCGTTTACAATAAATGTACAATCAGGATTCTAAATCAATCAACTTTCTGATATTATCAGAAGGAAACAAGAAAAGTCCGATCTATGTATTGTACTGGTCGCATGATGGCTATCGACTTTCACAATGAAACGCTATGGAATTCTGGGTCAGACCGACTACCGAAGAGAACGGCAAAACAAAGACATTCATTATATACTACAGGGTTTTATTCAATTCCAAAGGATCCACGGGACCAACAAAGCAAATAAATACATGCCGAAATGTAGAAAACTTTTATCACATAGGTTGTAGTCTCGTAGGGTTTGTCAATCTAGTGATTTCTCAAAAACATTCTTGAATATTCCACATCACTGTTCCATTTTACTAACAGAGAGGGAGAGATGTGAGAATCTACTGAGAGGGGAGGGGCTAGTGGATGACAGCCAATCACAGGAGGATGAGGTAAGTGACGTCATCTAATTCATTTGTGTAGGATTATTTTGAGACAAAAAAACGTTTCGCAGGAAATGAAAAGATAAACGCGATATTTAAAAAAGTCATAATTATAATTTATTCTGAGTATAAATACGGGTTAAAGAGCAAAAATTTCCGGACATTATCTATTGATCCTCTATATAAAAAAAGAAAGGTATGATGGAATAATACAAACCTAGAAGCCCTGCACCTTTGGCCCAAAATCGACTCGTGGAGTGCACATAATTATAAATCTCTAATGCCTCCTGTAAGATAATAATGTATATAGTATAAACTTGTAGCCGTATTATAATGGTAGTTTATCAATATGAATCGTTGAATTGTTTTCACTGCCGTATCCTAAACATGTGTTAAGTGTTAGTGTTAAGCAATTGGAGTTTGTGTAAATGATTAATTTACCTCAATACCTAAGCAATATTATGAAACAGTTTTCACTATTCTCCATTATGCTGTTGATAAATTGATGAACAAAGAAACCCCCACTGTACGCATATATCATTCATATAGAAGTTAAAAGTGATTGTGATACCAACAACAATACCACATACATGAAAAATACAATATCATTGAATATTGTGCTGGAGTACCTAATCGGTATGCAAATATCGTTTACTCGACGACCCCAGTCTTATAAATTACTAATCAATTTTACGTACCTGTAATGTTTACCTTTGTAGTCTAGCACCGACTACACCATTCTCAGAGCACCATCAGCCCTAGGCATATTCCCGTCTAACTTCGGGCGGCTTCGTCAGGTTATGACAGATACCACATCATACTACCAAGTACCAAAGAACAGTGCTGATGATGATATTTACATTGTTGAGGACCATGAGGAGTACGCTGGGCATCGTTTCGAAGACGAAGAGTTGGACACACCGGGCACGGCAGGTGAAATATCATAATACTATGGCCACTGCTTAATCAATATTAACAAAAACACATACCTGACAACTAACCCCCAAACAACTACCCCCCAAACAACTACCCCCAGGAAAGTTGTCCAGTAGGTAGTTGTCCTCGAAGATGGTTGTCGTAGGGGTAGTTGTCGTAGGGTTAGTTGTCCGACGGTAGTTATCCGGGGGTAGTCGTCCTAGAGGGTGGTTGTCCGAGGGGGTAGTTGATTGGGGTGGTTATCCGGGGGAAGGATGTCCAGGGGGTATGGTGTCCTAAAACCGCCCCTTTCACCTCTGATAATATTGCCCTATTCACATATGAGAGGTGCCTCTTTTAGTTTTACTAAGACAAGTGCCCTTTTTCCTCTGTACGAAGTGCCCCTTTCTTTCGTTATGAGATTATGCTTATAACCCCATCACGGTTGTATTTTCCTCTTTATAAGAATATTTTCGCTCTAAGATTTTCGTTTGTAGGTGCCCTTTTTACCCGGTGCCCCTCCCCCACCCACTTTGGAAGTCGCTCGGCCGCCCCTGCGTCATCATCTTCTTTTTTTCTTTTTCTTCTTATAAGACCATTATTGTCAGTCATTATAAAAACGATTATTATTTTCTATGCCGTACTTACAACTTTAGGCCGATATGAATTTTGTTTTAGGCAAAACGAAATATAATAGAAGATGTTATTCAATTATTATGTAATGGAACGTTTAAATGCTTAACCCGAATGTTTTTTTTTTTCTTCAAATTTTAAATTCCATTAGGAAACTTCCAGGGAAGAAAGACTCTCGGAAGTCGTTGTTCTGACTCGCTTCCTCGCGATGCACCGCCTCCTATTCCAAACCGCTCGTCACTTCGTCATAAAACACTCGACCGAACCGAGTCGACCCCAACACATGCGAGAGGACTTCCACAGAACACCACTCATACTCTAGGTCCTTCAATGAAGATTGGGTCGACACCCCCTGCTGCTTCGGCAGCCCCTGGTCTTTCATATCGGAAATCGTTAGCCGGACACAAGTTATTTGCTGACAACAAGATGTCTTCGATGTTACTTGAAATGCGCGCTCGACAAAGTAAGGTGATCGAAGCTGCTCGGGATGAGTCGGAAACCGTCGCAGCGATTCCCGAAGTGCAGCCGATCGATGACATACCCCCACCACTTCCTCCTCCTCGAGAAACAATTGATGAATGTTATGATGACGTCGTATTACCACCACCACCACCACCACTCCCCGCAGGGTCACCGCCGCTACCATCGCTATCTCGCGAAGACGATCTGTCGAATTACGCCAGATTCCCCGTCGCTGACTTTCCTCCGCCTCTCCCAGAGAGGTCGCCCTCACTCGCTTCCTTGTCGTCGCTGGCATCGATGACATCGGCTTCGGCAGCTTCTCTGGACTCCGCCACCTCAATGAAGTCGGCGGCATCAATAACATCTATTGATAGTGTTACCAGTTTATCGTCGACTGTATCAGCGCCAGAAAGTAAGTGGTGATATTTCCTCTTCTAATAATTATATCAACATCTTCGATGCAGATACTGTACCATTAACCAAGGCTTAACAAGCTTAATATAAAATAAGAGTTTATAGATTTCGTTGTCTCATGCGCTATTGTGCATATACTTCAACCGGCATGTCCAGGCATGGGTTGTGATGAGAGGATATAGAACATAGGGACTAGATTTATGAAAGATATTGACTAAGGAGATTTGGTTTTGAAAAATATAGAAACAATGTTAACAATTAAATGTTGTATGATTCCATCTGAAACATAGTCAGTGATGAATTAATAATGATTCTCAGTTAAAATCGTTTTTAATGTTTATTGTTTGGCTTTAAACTAGGGGCATTTCTTGTACAAAAATGCTTTTGATCACATATAGTTAATGAATCAGTTTGGAAACCCACAGAAGTAGTCAACTTCTAAATGCCTAAAAATTAATTACATCTCCCTCTCTCTCTCTCTCTTTCTCAAAGACCACTGTTTCCAGGACAGTCTTAAAACGTTGAAACCGAATATGAACGGCAATTTCTTTCCAACATTACCTTACAAACGTCCGGCAACACGGGTAGGGAGTAGTACGTTAGGACGTTCTCAATCGTGCTCTCCACACACTCTTCGGAACCACGCGGCTGCCAATCGAGAATTACCACCACTTCCGATTCCCGAGCAGCGATCCGAAGTGCCGTCGATCACCGACTATACATTCTCAGAACCGACGCCGACATCCAGACGACCTCGCCCGTCTAGTAGCGGGAACATCCTAGACGAGGGTCGGGATGCTCCGCCTCGGCGCTCAACAGACCGTGCCTTGTCCATGGAGAACTTGCTTCATCATGATGGAGGTAGGTAGAAGATGGTTTGAAATCTGTAACACGTACCCACCTCAAGGTCTTTGCTTTATGAAATCGTACCTGGAATCGTATTTCCCTTCTTCATTTGTTTTCCCATTATCATATGACAATCCTTCGGAAATATACTCCAGATTTTGTACACACTACTGAACATTGTATTTTGTTAAAGACTGTTAAACGTTAAAAGACGGAATGAAATACGTATAGATGTTTCGCAAATTGAAATTAATGCCGTAACTGATTTTCCTCGTGACTTGGTTTTGTTCTCCCCTAGACAACGACGGCAAACAGAGCGTTCCTCCAACTCCTCCTCGTACGTCCTCAAAACCATTTGTAACATCTAAAGGTCGTCGAAGCTACTTCGCTCCAAACCGCGGTAGGCCTAAGACGCCGAACCCCTGTGGACAAATCCCCGTCGCCAACATCTCACCTAGGCCTTCACCACTAGACAGCATGCTACTCTCCCTTACGAAGTCACGTGATGGGGCCCTACCAAGACCACCTGATGTATCCACTACGTGGCACGTGACTTCACCAGAATCTAGCGACGATGCTGACGATGACGATGATTACGAGCACCCACAAATGGGATACGATGACGCTCGATCTTACATATCGGAAAGAGTCGGAAGAAATGTGAGTAAATGTCTGTCTTTCACAAAATCTGTAATAACTAAGAAAGTGTGTCATATTATAACAAATTAATGGGCTACGGCCATGGCATGCACCTTCTTATTTAGGCCTACTTTATGCTATCAGTAATATAAAGTCATGTCAGTCTGTATCATGTTCAACAAAAACATCTCGCTTACATATTCAAAAGCAAAGTCCAATCCCTTTACATTGTACAGAATAATCAAGTCGTGAGGGAGACAATCAGGCCAGTTAATATCAGAGATGAATCCACCTAAGGATTTTAATAAATGAAATTACTTAGGCTGATTCAAAAATACATGAAGTCAAGTAAAAATTGATATGTATTTATTTTTTTATTTTCTTTGATAGACACCGACGCCTCCAACCGTACCGAAACGATTTATCCCAAAAAAGTCCGCCAGCCTTCCGCGCAACGGTATCAAGTCAATCAAAGACATTCCTGTTGATATTGCTACCCTGAGCTGCGACCAGATCGCCAAGGCACTTGGGCTTCTGAACATCCGTGAAGACATCATCGAGAACCTGAGATCGGTGCAGATGAACGGTGAGCTCCTCCAGTCTATGTCTGAGGAGATCCTTCGGACGGAGTTCCAGATGTCACAGTTCCACGCCATCAAAGTCATCAAGTTCGTCAACGGCTGGCGACCCTAAAGGATTCTACATCATTAGAAGGCAATAGGAAAGTTCGTCAACGGCTGGCGACCCTAACATATTCTACGTCATTAGAAAGCAATCGGAAAGTTCGTCAACGGCTGGCGACCTTAACAGATTCTACGACATTAGAGAGAAATAGGAACGTTCGTCAACGGCTGGCGACCTTAACAGATTCCACGACATTAGAAAGCAATAGGAACGTACGTTAACGGCTGGCGACCCTAACAGATTCTACGATATTAGAAAGAAATAGGAAAGTTCGTCAACGGCTGGCAATCCTTAACATCTTTTACGTCATTAGAAGGCAATAGGAAACTTTTTTACTAACATCTGGGCCCGTCTTATAAAGAGTTACGATCGATCCAAATCAATCGTACGTCCTCCAATCAATCGCAAGCGTGCAGTCTAATATCTCTTATATACATAGTTGCGATTGATATCAACCGCAAATAAGTTTCGATTGATATCAACTCTTTGTAAGACATGAACCTGTTTACCTACCCCACATTAGAGGAGCCGGATGTAGTCTCCAAGGAACAACTATCGATACAACTAAATGGACTGAAGCATTATGCCTCTAAACCATATGCTCCAGCGATAATAACTACGTGTTCAATAACACTACACATTATGCTCCAGCGATAATAACTCCGTGTTCGATAACAACACTTCACACAACACTACACATAACAATATGCATAACACTATGCTTAACACTACACTTAACACTACACATAACCCAAAACACAATTACCGCACTAAACGTAAACCGAAACCTAACCATAATCTTTTACGAAATAAATAATTGAATGAATTGTCGAAACGTATGTCGGAGATACGCCTAGAAGAAAATACTTTAAGATTTCCACGAGCCTTCTCTCTTTCACCACCGTGTAATGTTCCAGAAAAATCAATAGTCAAGAAGCATCGATGACTTTCACCAGTGCACTGTTATTGGCAGTGACTGCCGTTACAATTCTTTTAAAGGGAAAGTCCACCCCAAAAATAATTTTGTTTCGATAGAGGCAGAATAATAAGAAAATCAGGTGAGTCAAAGTTTGAACAAATTATGAATGAAAATAAGAAAGTTATGAATTATTGAAGTTGTGATCAATCAAATACAAATTGGCAACTCTGTGACTTATTATACGAGCTCTCCTTCATTTGCTTTGTGCATAATATTCCATAAAATCATGTTTTCTTCGTTATTGATGACGGAATATATATTTGTTCCTTGCAGGGGGAGTATAGAAACATATTTGCAATTATTATATTTAGGGTGCATGTATGGTTGAAATTTTTCTTGAGGGAAAATGAAAATTTTAGATTTTTTTAGTACTGAGCAAATGGAAGTTGAGCTCGCATGATACGTCATAGAGTTGCCAATTTGTGTTTGATTGATCACAACTTCAAAAATCCTAACTTCCTTATTTTTAATCGGAATTTGCTCAAACTTTCACTGACTTGTTTCTCTCATTTTTCTACTCTTATTAAAACTAACTTAATTTCAGGGTGGACTTTCCCTTTAACCGTTTATCGTTTTTGATTGTAATTTATTTATTTATACTGTATACATGTGTATATACATACATTCATAGATACATGTATATATAATTATATATATCTTTTCCCACCTTTTTTTTAGAGGGGGAGGGGCAGTTTAATGTCGTTTGGAAGTATATGATATTGAGATAAGCATGAATTGACCAGGATGAGTTATCATGGCGCCCCTATATTGCTCTGAGAAACATCCATATACCATCACTTTATGTACGTGTATACCAACAAAAAGTACCAAAGAGATTCAAGGCATCTCTCCCTTTTTACGCACATGTATTTAACGTTTTCTATTTCATTCGAATATATCACGAACACAAATGTGCACAATGTGCTTAGATGTTTTTCAACCAGAAAATTGACATGTTATGTATGAAAATCAACATGTAAATTGTCTACAAACTTAGAAATGTATTTGAGACTCGTGATTTCATGGTTGTACTGCGTATGAATATTTATTTTTTTGAATTAGAAATAACAAGAATGAGAATTTTCTATCTTTTTTAACATGTGATAATGATCGTAATAAAGGGCAATCATTATGGCTTATGATGTTAATGTTGATGATTATCTTAGCATGCTTTATAATGAATTGTTTTATTACGATCTATGTGGTGCTGCTTGTAGTCTTTTCCACATAGTCTGTTGGTCGCTAGCTTTTTATAATGATCAATGTATATGATCATACATGTAGCTGAAATCGTTCAGCATCGAGGGTGAGAATATAATTATAAGAATACGATCTGCAAAATTATTGATAACGACGAGTCGACGACGATGATCATGATGAAGAGGATGATGTTGGCGATGTTGGTGATAATGATGATGGTGGTGATGATTACGACTAGAATGTTGATGGCAATGGTAGCGAGCATAATCAAATATGGTAAGGTGATAATGATGTCGATAATGTTGGAGATGATTATAATGGTAATAATGATCTTGATCGTGATGATAACGAGACAAAGAAGATGATGATGAAATGCAGTAGATTTTTTCACAGCATGCAATGTCACTTCATGCAATGTAAAGATACCATACATGAATTATGCTGAATATTAAGCCTGATGTATTATTTGTTTTGTACTGACGTCCATGCTATACATCATAATTGTCTGCATAAACAGATATAATTGGAAATTATATTCAAATGTAAAACTTAAATGTTACACTTTTAGTCTAAAGGCATTTTTTTTTCAAGAAAATGTAAACTTTGCGCTAATGCACACAAACTACAAGTATCGTATATTACGAAATAACTTTTACTAATATATTGTTAGCTTGATACAATTGTTTGATATTATAACTATAATATGAACACGATTCTATGCATTTAGGCCGCACCTACAGTATACACAATGATTAATGGTATACCATCACACAACCTTCAACGTAAAAAAAAGTCGCTAAAAATACTTTACTTATAAATTTCGCTAAAGGCGAGGTGACTCTGACTCAGTGGTATAGGGAAGCGGCCTATTGATCATGGTTTCGGGTTCAAAACTAAGTGGAGGACTCTTAGGTCGATGCGGTAGGACCCTAATAGGCACAATTACAAGGACTCCTTCGGATAGGACGTAAATGAGAAGGTCGAATGTTTGCTTGTTTTAGCATATACACTCTCTTACTTAGCTTGTATGTAAGATATCTAGCAAGTGCAATGTTTCTTAAAGTGACTCGGTAACATTGTTGAAGGTTGATAAAAAAAAATTGCTTAATTTTTGTATAAAATGTTATTTACTATATTCCTTCTACTATACTAACCCTCTGACATGCAAAAAAATCCTGAACAAATTCTCAAACCACAAAGATATCTATGGTTTTCTTTGAAGGCGTCGATGTGAGGCACCCTCTAACAGTGATTAACAGTAAATTCTCCCAACCATTTTTGAATTTTCCCAACCATTTTCCATGAGAAAAATACATAAAACAGGCTATAAAAATCTGTCAACACTTAACTGTTTGGAATGGAATGTAGAGCCATTTTATTGGTTTGTGAAGATTTACATTCACCTAAAATGTAATTAAATTGTCCTTGTCTTGATGCTGAACAGGCTTTGATAAGTAGCAGAATAGAAGTAGAATAATATAGTTGGGAGAATTAAGGAATCGATCAGATCAGTTTTTTCCCAATTTGTACCATGAATAATGATCCGTATTCACTCAAATTTTCAGATTATCTTTAATTGTACATCTAGCATTGAAGTCACTACCTTAGCACCACTATCTCTCATCTGAACAATGTTACAAAGTCCCCTTAAACGGCTATTTAGAGAGTGGTAATGATCGCATGGTAACATGGTTATACCAGGGCATGTGAGTTAAAGTCTCACCTCCCTGGTTATACATTAATTACATCCGACAGATTCTTGATCCGTCTAAAAATTGAAATATGTTTTTTTTTTTTTTTTCAATGTAGCTCTTTGAGAAAACACCAAAGCCAAGACTTTGAATAATCATTACTGTACGTAATAACAATAATGGTCATAATAACAATGTTATAACAGGCGCATGATCTTCCAATTTGCAAGACACAATACACGTCGTAAGACACACAAAACAAGCTCGTTTCTATACTATTTTGTTAAACTGAGTATAATTATGAATAGCGTGAGTGGGACAAATTATAAGAGTCTGTGACGGGAGGGATGGGCACATTAATAGAGAGAGAGAGAGAGAGAGAGAGAGGTGATGAATTGTTGGGTGGAGTCGTCTCATCGAGGGAGCAAGAAAGATACCGTATCAGGACAATTACCCCCCCCCCCCCCCCTGGGCAATCATCCCCGGAAATTTACCCCCCGGAAAACTACCACTCGGTAAATTATCTCCCCCCCCCCCCCCCAGGACAATTACCCCCGGAAAATTAGCTGATTCGTTAAACATAATCATATGGCTTGGCATTCACACATATCTATAAGTAAAACAATAATGAACTATATATCTTGAGAAATTACAACATATTTTATTTATGTTTTTTTAGGGGGAAAGGGAAATGTCTTTAGGTTCTGAAAGGTTTGTTTTTTTGATTGATTTTATTTCTGCGTTCAAATACAAGGTTAAAGTCACAAAAGGTTATGAAGAAAATGAAAAAAAAGTTAGTCAAAATTCCTTTTTACACTGTAAATTACATTTTGTTGTTAACTGAAGTGGCACATGTAATAGAAAATGTAATTTGACTGACATTGATTGGCCGTCCATTTATGGTTGGCATGGCAACCAGAATTTTTTTCTGTAGAATTTGATTGAAAGGTGTATGGTGTACATAGAGATATATATCTCTATGATGGTGTATCATCATCATTTTTAATATTTTCTGCGGCCGATCTTCTGGTGAGCCCTCTACCTTTCATATCTTTACAGTGTTTACTCAAGTGACTAATTCCCATGACGTCAGTATCTCTGACTCAAAGATTGTCAATGATTTGATAGAAATAGATCATATTAGTCGGAATACTAACTGAGAAAGTAATCATACAGTAACCAGGTGTTATTGAAGAGGGAGAAACCTGTTCCATTTCGGCGTGATTTATTCGAAAATTCGGCTTTGAACATGGGAGGTTCACACAGCGTCTTCACCGAGGCGGAACTAGACGACTATCAGGCAAGTGACCTATCATGTACCCGAGAGGGTCGGGTGTGTTTGTTGTTGATACCCGTTGATAACCGACGCTGCGCGCTAGCTGGGACGGGATAGATAAGTCACACTCCCTAATGTTGTAAATCTAGTGTGGGTTAAACATATTGTTTACGCTGTGATTATTAATAATTAAGCTTGTTGCGTTGTTACTTAAATATTTGTAAGATATTATTGTAATTGTTTATTTAATGTACAGTTAGCCCAGACTAGCTAGTCTACATGAAGTATTTTATAATTGTGATGATTTCTTTGGAGAGCACCATGAACATGATAAAATACCTGGCAGATACATGTACCAGAGCTTGATAAATAATCATATTCGTTATTAATTACAAGTTACAACAAATAATTTTGAATGCTGGCTAGGAAATATGCACCAGCTTAGACAGGGGATTTAAGTTATTTGTTGACGAAAATGATGATTATTACCTAAGTGATAGATCATAGAACTTAGAAGTTTACTTTAGTTGGAGAAAAAATAGAAACCAATTTGGAAGACTTTTTCCACTTTACTTTTGTAGTGATAGTGTATTGAAATGAAAATGAACAAAATAAATTGAGAACATACAAACTATTTAAGCAGAGTATACAAACAAAAAATGTGTCAAAACTAGTTGGAGAAGGAGTTATTTTTACTTGCACAATGATTGAATAAACACTTTTTACTACTCAATTCTAAAAACCGTATGGGACCTCTTTTTTGGAGGCTCACACAATGCAGCATGGCACACTCGTTCATGTCACAGCACTACACAACACTATGAAAATACTTTACCCAGAGGACTGTACTTGCACTGGAAGAAGAATAATAAATATTTATTAACTGTTAAAAACCTCAATTTACATACAAAAAAATATTTAGTTCACACATGTAAACTACCAATATAAACTGGAAGACATAGACCTCTAGACTTCCAGAAAAAATACCTCCACATTAACATGTAAGAAATTATAATGACTGTAACTTGGGGAGGAGTAGGGATGAATTTCAAACCATAATTGTACTGTATAAGGCTGAAACGGGGTATTTCTCGATTAAATGGCTGAATTATCTGGAAGACATTCTGTACAGTCAGTAGACGTCCAGAAAAAATACCTTCACATTTAAGAACTTGTAATGACTATCTTGGGAAGGTTTGGGGATGAATTTCAAATCATAATGGATTGTACTATATATAACTATAAGGCTGAAAAGGGGTATTTCTCAATGAAATGGCTGAAATATCTTGACAGTTTAAAGATCTTAGCGGCAATGAAGAGAAATTTGTAAGCATTATGAAACTTGAGAATGAAAATATAATTTATCAATTCTGTAAATATACTAATTAAAACAACAATAAGTACTTGAGGGGAATTTTAACATCCCACCCATGTAAATGTATGCCATATTAATAAAATTACAAAAGTAAAATATCATTATATAGACCTAAATAGAACATCAATATCAAAATTATCATTATCATTTGTTATGTGTCTTTATTGTCAAAGTAACGTACATGTAGGCTGGTACAACATGTACATGTACGTGTCATATAATTATTTTTGATAGTATCATTTACCACTGTACATGTACAAGCTACAGTGTTGATTGTTAATTTGTGATTACAATTACTAGCAAAACTATACCACTTGTTGATTTGTCTTGTTTATATTTGTTTCATTTATGTATTTTGAAACAAAATGTTCATATGAATGAAGTGAATTAATAAAATTCAAATTCAACAAGCAGAATTACAAGTACACTTTGATTTAATTAAAGACTTTAGAGTATAATATTTCTGATTAACTGTTACGATATCATAATTTTAAAGAGAAGGTTGAGTTCTGGGAAGAGGTGAAAAATAATTTGTGAGCATTACTCATTCTTATTATGCAAGTGTGGAAGAACATCAGTTAAGACATGTTCCCTGAAAAGCATGGCTCTTCAAATGCTTTCACATTCTAAATATGCATGTAACATCGTAAAAATTGGGGGACCGGCTTTTTACGCCACATGTTCGTGTAGTCCCATATACATCTTTCTGTGCAAGTGTTTGTAACTTTACCAAGACTTGGCCACATTTCTTATCATTTTGATGATTCCAGAACCTTGCAATACACACAAATTCTTATATGCTAGATGATCAACCTTTTCTGGTCGGTTCCACACCGTTTCTTTCACAATGCAATCGCATGACCAGAACTCAACTTCATTTTTAATAGACTAAGAAATAATAATTTATTTTACCTTTTTCAACAATCATTTTGAACATCTACATGTACATGATTTTATCTAGACCGGAGGGGATCGGAGGTGTCAAAAATGTCAAAATCACAAAAAATCATGACATTATTGTTGTTGTTACAGTATCACTATTATTACTTATTTATTTATTTTCTTATATTCTTTCTTATCAGGAGTTGACATTCTTCAGCAAGAAAGAAATTCTTCAGTAAGTTTATAAATAGTTTTCTGTTTTCATTTTGGGGTTAAAGTTTTCAGTTAATATATTTGTGCCCAAGTCTTCAATAAATACTACACAGTACTGTAAGCGCAGTAGTCTTTACATGTATGAGTAATAATTTAGTAATGAAAAAAAATATGTTGAAAAACTTATGTAAACAAATCTTGCTGTGTAGTATGAAAGTGTTAAATGGTCATTGTGTTTCATACAATACAACAGCAAGCACATTGGTCAGTTTATCTGGAGTCAGGAGTCGCACTGGACCTAAATACATGTACATCAGTCGGTCCACTGTACAAACATAACCTTTGGAAAGCACACACTTGGTCTTTCGATTTGTCAAGTTTCTGAATTTTGTGCATTAGGTGTTTCCCCGATTTGTTACCTGGGTAGTGCACTGTTTGTATAGACTCTAGATGTATCAACATATTTTATTTACCTGAATAGATTTCCTATATCCTGAATTCATAGAAAGATAAAATGTACTACATGTAAGTTTAATATTTAGACTTTGTCAACATTTGCTGACAAAAGAATGTGGTCAATTGCCCTGTTTTACAGAGATATCTGAAATGAGGAATAGCATGTGCAGCCTTTTAATGCACATGTTCATCAGCTTTGTTAATAGCACATACAATGACAATACAATAAATATTATACAAGGGCCTTAAAGGGATCCGGTAACTTTGTCTCAGATTCTGAAAACATATTCTGGATTTAGCTCATGATGCAATGATAATTATAAACCTTTAGGTCAGTCAGGAACCCCGTGACTTTTACAAGCCGATCGCCTGTCTGATTATCAAGATATTTATGATTGGAATTACACATTTTGAAAACCGTTCGCCTGACGGTTTTCATAACACTACAGTCTATTGGGGAAAACGAGTATGGTAAAACCGGTCACTCAAAGATTTTTACTTTTTTGAGGCACTTCTTGATCATTTTGAAGCGCGAATTTTTTAGGGCTTCAATATTACATCATATCACAGACACTGATAACATGTAGGGCCGTGTATCTCAGATTTAACATTGTTAAACGATCCCTTTAAGATGATAATTTTATTGTGTTTAAAGTGCTGGGAATGTAATTTTCAAAACATACTTGGAAACCTTTGATAAATGTGTGACCTTTTTGTTTTTCTTTAAACAAAAAATATTATTTTGTTGTTTGGTTTAGCTGGTTAACCCTCCTTTAAAAAAAAAAATGCCCATCATAATTAAATTGTCCATGGGGTTCCAGCCTCGATATATTACATGTAAACCTATGATTATTTGATGTCATTCAAAGTGAGTCATATGTCACTGTCAGCACCTCAATCTCAATAAACAGTGTAAATATCCTTCATATTGATCAAATTATATACCGGTAATGTACATGTACACTTGACTGATATCATGGCAGCTTATGATTATCTTCTCCTTTTTTTGTTGTTTTTGTCTTGCAGTGTGCACAAGAGGTTTCATTTGTTAGATCCAGAGGCCGTGAGGAGAGATAAGAATGCATGTCTTCCTATGGACACAATTCTGGAGCTGCCTGAATTAAAGGTAAGCTTCGACATTGCATTCCACAATTTCATTATTTTCATCCATTAAAATAACTTTTTTTTTTAATTCTTCAAATAAGGTAAAGTGAGGGAAGAAATACATGGGAGCAGAGAGTGGAACCACTCTACATGTATGTACAGGTACATGTAGGAAGCTACATTCCAAAAGATAACATTGGTAATTTCTTGGTTCATCTCTCCAGGTTTTCACAACAGGTGAATCCTTTCAAGGATCATTTCTGCAAAGAATTTCTTTCACCAAGATGGAAGATGTTCTTCATGCAGGCTATGTTAAGTGGAAAACACTCTGTCCCTAGGGTAGGACGTTAAATGGAGGCCCTGTGTAGAGGAGAGTCACTACCTTTGCACGTTAAGAACCCACTGCACTATTTGTATAAGAGTAGGGGGAAACCCGGTGTAGTGGTTCACCTGCACACACCCCAGTATACCAGTATACCCAGATGGACGTTGTGGAAGATTAGCCCTGTGCTAAACTTGTTATTCAATAAAGTCTACTACTATTACTACTACTACTACCTCATACAGCACAATTGTAAACCTCGAAAAAGCCCCCAAATTGAAAAAAAGACTTCAAATTAACACTAAATCTGGATCAAGTACAACTTCTTTTTGATCCCTCCATGTTTTCACAGTTGAATCCCTTTCCTTCGTATCTGCAAAGAATTCTCTTCTACCAAGATTAGAGATATCCTTAATATAGCACAATTGTAAATCTTGAAAAAGCTCCCAAAATGAAAAAAGTATTTTATGTTAACACTGAATTCGGATCAAGTACAACTTCAATTCAATTCAATTCAATTCATATTTATTTCATTTCCAACAGAAAGATTAACAAATGTATTACATATATATTTTTACAGAAAGTGAACAAAAATGTTTCACCCCTCCCTTTCTTATGTTCCTAGGTGAATCCCTTCAAGGATCGTATCTGCAAGGTATTCTCTTCCACAGACGATGGGTCACTGACCTTTGAAGACTTCCTCGACATGATGTCAGTCTTCAGTGACTCCGCCCCTAAGAGCATGAAAGCAGAATATGCCTTTAGAATCTATGGTATGTAAATGTATCTACATGTAGTCAGCGTAAACTGTATTTAAAGCTGGTCTCTTAAATGTATCAATGTGAACTGTGACATATTACCAGGCTACAGTATCTGTATACATGTTGAAAATGTGCAATGCTCGTCAATTTATGCTAATGAACCTGCATCACAGATTTCATTGGATCCAATATACACAGACCAATTTTATTACCGAGTTATTTTCAATTCTACTGTTATTTTTAATTTTATAATGATAATATTAATTCATTTAATTTATACTAGCATATAATATAACAAACTAATGTACCATATATTGATTTCTGTATGCGCATTGCAATTGGTTTAATGTTGTTGATGATGAACACTGATACATGTACAATGTTGATGTTTGGAATGTCTAGAGGATGAACGCTGTAGGTCTTACATGTACATGTAATTGAGGATACATGTATCAAGTTCATCTAAAGTGAAAGATGCATGTACATGTACATGTTTATGTATGTAGTATGCTGAAGGTAAGGTGAACAACATTTCAAGAAATTTGAGTTGAAAAACCTTCACGATTGTCTCCAACAGTACATACCTAATGATATACTATTAGGAGTACACTAATTGTTAACATTTGACACTATTCTTTGAAAACATTGGAAACTATTTTTTGAAAACAGTGTTGTAAATTTGTTTTAAGCTTTGAAACACTGTATACAGGTAGCTTGATTTAAAATTGAATAAAAACAGTAACAAATGCTAGGAATAATTTCATATTCCTCTTTTCTTTCTGTTCCTCTTAGATTTTGATGAGGATGATTTTGTGAGCAGCGCAGACCTTCGTGAGATGGTGAACAGACTGACTGGTGAGCAGCAGATAACAGATGATGACATGCAGCACCTCATTAACAATGTGAGTATACTAATAGAAATCTAACAATGTTCAGAAATGCAGAGCTGCCAACTAATAAGGATTTCCCGTAATTGGTACAGAAATTACCGATCATTACAGAATGTTGTCTCAAATTACGGATTAAAAGAAAAAAGCCATTTATGGAACTCTCGCTGAGAAAGACGGAAAAGTATCAAGTATTCTCTTAATAGAAGCCATTTTTCATGGAAAACTGTTGTGATGACCTGAAAATCAATATTTAACAACTTTGTGTGAGTAAAATCAGCAAAAATTTCAGATAATCATGCGTCCGCACAGTGTTTGCGTTCCTATTTTTTAAAGATTCATAGCGGCGCATAGGAAATTACTGATTTATACCCAAAATTACTGATTTTGAGCCTTGTGATTACTGATTTTCTGTTCTGGAGGTTGGCAGCTCTGGAAATGGTGTATATTCAGTTGTCACTGATGATAATTGTGTTACGCAGCTAATAGAGAAATGTTTTTTTTTAGAAAAATGTCAGGTTTTCCTCAAACAAGCTCATATTAAGATACCATTGAATGAGGGAGGAGCTTCAAGTTCAGACTTTTATTTATTTTTTTTTTTTTTCATTTGAAAATATCAGAAGTGTTGTGAATTCAGTGGCCCCTGTTTAAGATTATGATAATTTATGGATTCAAAAATATTTAAATAGTTGGGTTTGCTACAAACATGTCAGGTGATCTTTGCACTGATGTTAAATAATGATGGAAAGAGATAGAAAACTAAAGTTACAAACTTCCTGTTTTACATATTCGGAACTTTGTTGTTATTAAGAATTATAGGGCATGCACTATATAATCTACCTCTAACCGTGTTAGTTTTTACTTCAATGTGATTGCTAGGTGCCTTGTCTGTTCCAGACATTGGCATTCAAGGCTTCCCATCTACTTCTATCTCTGGTTCTTTGTAATGTGATGTTACTACTGTTACCAGTCATTCCAATGAACTTATCAGTGTAGTTGATGCACTGTCTCCCTAAAAAGTTGCTGTTAGTGTCCTGTTTCCTGTGCCTTCTCTTCTCATAGTACATGTTTGCCCAACAAATTGAAGTAATTTTTTCCTCATGATGTCATTACTTATTGTTATTTTCTATTTAGATCTTTGAGGAAGCTGATCTTGATGACGATGATGCTCTGTCTTTCGCCGAGTTTGAACATGTCATCTCCAAAGCACCTGACTTCATGAAGTAAGTTTAAAGGGAAAGCCAACCTTATTTGCTAACTACTCTAGAGGAAAGCAGAGAAGTGGACTGGTGAAAGTTTGAATGAAAGCAGACAAAAGATGAGAAAGTTATGAATTTCCAAAAGTTGGTGTAGGCTCTTCAAATTGGCTTAATCGGTACTGTCTCTGTGATGTAGTAGAGGACAACTTTCCCATTTGTTCAAACAAACAAAAAGGGTTTCTAAAATGTCAATTTTCAAAATGTATCGCTCGGGATGGTCTTTCTTCAGTAGGCGCGATAGCAGTCAGTAGATTAGTGGTCTCATAATCCGGTGACCCGGGTTCGAAACCAAGGCGATGCGCTAGTGCCCTTTGGTAAGGCATTAATCCTCACTACCAGGTCCCTCGGAGAGGACCTTAAGCTGTCGGCCATCTGGTTGCTTACTTAAAAGCATTTATGCTTTATTAGCAGTCAGGTAAAATAACATCACATCAAACCTTCTCTTTTTGTTATCCATAATCCATTTACTATTTTAGGTAGTGCCCCAAGAGAGAAGGGCCGTAGGAGAAAAACAAAAAAATTACTGCTATTTGTACATGACAAACGGAAAAGCTGTCCGCGACTATGTCGCAATCTACTGACCAAACTGCCAATTTGAGATTTACATAGACTTAGTGATTTATAACTTTCCTATTATTGGTTTGATTTGCTTCAAACTTTTGCCATTCTGTATATCTAATTTGTATGCTTTCATACAAATGAACTTATCACAATGGTTGGATTGCCCTTTAACTGGGCCTTGATACTCCTTCATCCCTGAGTCATTAATATGCTTCAAAAGAATCGCAACAGTACGATTTATTAAAGTAATTAAAATGACACAAGGTGAAGTGCTCTTGACATTTCTTGGCTCAGTGCAGTATATCTGGGTTTTTTGTATACACCTTCATGACATTGATTGTTTCCTCTTGTGTCTTATCATTCAGTTTTAATATTATAAGCGTAAGTATTATTTTCCTCCTTTAATAACTTTATGGTATATTCTTGGTTAATATTGTCCCTTTGAGCTTCAGGAAATTAAAAAATGTTAATAACAAAACAACTGTAGAAGATAAATATTAAACAAATGTATGCAAATTGTGTTAGTTGATTACTTTACTTGGTATGTTGATTATCTATTTGCTAGAAACTTCCTTTTTACCACCCCTTAAATATTAGAAATCATTATTTAATTATTTTCTTCTCTCCTGTTTCTGTTTCCTTTATCTTCCAGCACCTTCCGCATCCGCCTGTAAACAGTCTCAACAGAGCTCTTTGCCCATTGCATGTCTGCTGCCCTCTACTGCCAGTTTTTTTCCCAGAGACCATAGTTGAGCAAGGAAGCAAAATGTGCACTTGGTTTGTGACTACTATACGTTACCTTCACATAAACTGAAACCTTGATGAGGAATATGTTGCTTACATACATAGGGGGTGTTGGGGGGGGGGGGGGTTGTGAGAATACTGCTATGTTGGGCATACTTTATACAAATATAGGTTACTTTTTCTCAATGAATTGTGTGTAACAATACATCTAGGACAAGATTTGTTTCAGAAGTCATTTTTTTAATCATTTGCTGATTTCTAAGAATGATTGCTGGTTTGTAAATAATTCATTTTCTTTCCTCAATGGTAGTTGTTAATGCCATTCCTAAGAGATGCTCACAATTTCTTTTTGGTACATTTACTCTGGTGATTCACATTGACTTTACCCCACCCTTCTGTTATGATGCAAGCTTTCATGACTTCATAGCCTAGAGTCTTACGCATCTTTTGATACCAAATTTATAAAATATTGAGCAACGGGTACAGCGCAGCTTCAAGATTAGTAACGATGTGGAAATTTCTTTATATGTACTGTACACAATGCAGAACTGCCAATTTGTGAATAGTGACTATTAGTCACTTGGCAATAAATCAAAAACCAATCGAGATATGAAACTTCATGGGCGTATTTCCAATGAGATACTCTATCTGTATGTCAAGTTTCAGAATTTGTTGTCACTCCATAGCTGACAATCCACTCTTCTCAGCTGAGGGAGCACCAAAATAACCCAGCCTTTTTAGGGTTAATATGTAAGATATAAATGTACATGTCCAGTCATTGCTGAGGTCAATGGTGTTGTAACTCTATACCTATCCTATGATTCAAAATGTATGCTACTAGAGGGTAGCAGACAAAATTTGTTGATAGTTCTGCTTTAAAAAAAAATATGTCTGTTAGTGTTGAACTAATGTATTCATTTAAGATTTTTAATATTTATTTTCTTCTTTTTTTTAAAGTAAGAATAGGAAGAGCCTGTCTATTTCTTGTATCTAATTATGCATGCTTTGGTTATGTGCGTGTGATGATGTTCTGTCTTTCAAATTTGAAAAAAAATTAACTTGTCTATATCAAATACAATGAATATAAGGAAGTGTACAAATGTATATAATATATATAAAATCTAATATTTCCTGCCCATCCCAATCTATTTCTTTTTCATTAATTTATCAAAATCCTTATGTACCTCCCTATAGAAAGAAAGAGTAATGCCTTAATGGGAAGTGTGTAGATACGAAGCTTTTAAATCTGTACTCTACTGAGAATGCTAGTGATATTTTCAAAGAAATGTTGCAGTACATGGTGTAAATAATGGGTCAACCAGAAAAAGAAGGAAAAAAAAAGAGATATATTGTTTAGACTTCTCTTGATAATGAATGTTCAAACTATGCATAGAAATGAATAAAGAAACAAAACTATGAATGAAATGATTACTAATGGGGAAGTTCAGTTAATTTCCCAGAGCTTGGACAGATTAAGTGCCTTTTAACCTGTTGACTTCTGAGTTGTATATGTCCCATAGGCTGAACACAGGGACCACCAGGTTCCAGTAAGTAAATAGTTAATGGGAGCTCATGGTGCAAGTGACTTTAATTCCCACCATTTCTTATCAAATCTTCCTTTCATGTTGTTTGTGGGATTTACCCTCCACCAAATGTTAAACAAGTATTATGTACATACAAGCTTTACTTCTACTTGTTCAAGTTGTTGATCCTTCATTTACTAACAGCGGCTGTATATAAGTAGAATATAGATTTTGGAGTGTTACATGATTCAAATACCTTCTATTCTGCCATCATGTTTCTTCATGAAAACAGATTTTTAAAGATGAAACAAATATCTGCCTCTCTGTAGATATGTCAGATGCGTGTGATTTTTACTATTTCATAGTCATTTGTTAATAACTTTGAACACGATCACAAATTTTTTTTTAAATCAACATAGGGCAATTTCAATTGCCTTGAGCGCTTGAAATGTGAGAACATTACAAGGAAGTATGACGTCATCGGAATATGAATATGATTCTCTAATAGAATATATTGTACTTTTGAGTGGTATAATTCGTCCCTATTTTCACGAAGTGACGGTAGTGAATGATAATCCCATACAATTTGCGTCGGATTTTCCTCACTACCGTCACTTGGTGAAAACAGGAACGAATTGCCCAAGTTGATTTCTTTGAAAGTTGTTGCAATTGCGTTTTTGACAATTAAAATAATTTCTTCTATTTTGAGCTAAATGCAAGATTGTAGTGATTGTTCATTTCTTTGTGCTGTGTAAACAAATAGTGAGCCTTTACAGTGAGTGTAAAGTTTTTAGATAGAATACACTACACATGTTTTGTTAGTTAAAAGACTCGTAAATGAAGTCAACTACATGATTACTGCTAACCTCGATTAATAGAATAAAAGATGAGGAATACAGTGCGTCCCAGAAAAAACGAAACTGAGAATTATCGATGTTTTATCATAACTTAATCAAAAGTATAATTGATAAATGACACATATTTGGAAAGCTTAGATCCTCCTCTTTCATTTGATGCAACTCATAATGATGCATATTTCACGCATGAGTGATTAAAATGAATTTGAAGAGAGGAAACCAAAAAGTCATTTGGCGGACGGTTTCTGAATTTCAAAGAGAAAATCACATTTCTAGAAAGTTGAGTTTCTGCCCTTTCATATGACACCTCAATCAGGAAAAATGAGCTAGAAATGACAAGGTTCTGTTTGTAACAACCCAGTTGGTGTAAACAGCCCCCACTGAACAACATCTCCTTTTTAAACAACCGTTTTAAAACAACACCGGTTGTTTAAATTGTGATTTTAAACAAGTTGTTCAGAATGTTGGTCAACTAAGTGTTTAAACTTTAAACAACTCGAGATGCTTAACATTTTAGACAACTCTCAGATCAGGTCACCCGTTAATCCGAGGTTGTTTAAACTTTTAAACAACTTGTTCACAAAAATGTTAACTGTGTAGGTTCACTTTTCAACTTATGATCGTCAAAAAGGTAGAACAAAACATTTGCTATAAACAGTCTCAATTACATCGTTCTTCAAGAATCATCAGCAATCCAAGTCATCATAGGCGCCGGAAGTGGGGGGGGGGGAACGTATTTCTGCCCCCCAAAACGCCCCCCTTCCCCTCCAATAAATAAGCAGTAAATGAGTAAAGATGGTTTGTATTTTTTAACCAAAAGAACACAACTCTAATAAAAACCTGAATTAAATCACATATAAAATTTCATTCTAAAAAAAAGGAAAGTTAACATGAATTAAATTTCCTAAACATTGCGCATGCCACCTATATTTATCAATGGAGGTCTTTATAATAGCGATACGCGCATATTTCATTTCATTTAATTTCTTTATTGTGTCCATATAGGATAATTGTTTATATGCACATGAACAATCTTGCTTCAACATATGAACATAGAAACAACATATAATTGACATTCATAGGGCCCTGTTTTAATATACATTTGATATAATATACATGATCATGATAAAAATACATATAAATACTCTTTCTTCTTCTTCTTCGTAGACATATTGTGAGAGAATGGGAAAGCGTGTCTCTTTTTTGTTATGGGGGTGACAAGACATGAGCCCCTGAACGCTGGCGTACTGATGGGGGAGGGGGGTATTTCTTATTCGATAGCAGTAATTTACAAATGTTGCTGAATTGACATGATTTTCTGGTATTTTTTGTAAGTTATACGTTTTTATGCGTTCTTTGGAAAATTAGATATTCCCAAATGTACAGTCGGGCGAAACATATGCTTATTTAGAAGCCTTTATGTTATGGTCTGCAAAACGGCTGGGCTCGGGGGATCGAGCCCCCCTTACTTTTTGAAAAAGTATGTTACAGACAAAAAGAAAGAAAGAGAGAAAAAATAAGTGACCTGTCCATGTCACAAATGAGGTATCAAAATATGCCGATCTGACCGTAATAAAATGCCTAAAACTCCCGGAGCTTACGGGGGCTCCGCCCCCTGGACCCCACCAAGGGCCCTAAGGCGGGCCCCAGGATGCTCATCTGACCGTAATTAAATACCTTAAACCCCTGAGCTTCAGGGGGCTCTGTTCCTGGACCACATCAACGGCCTTAAAAAGGGCCCCTGGATGCTCATCTGACCGTAATTAATACCTTAAACCCCTGAGCTTCCGGGGGCTTTGCCCCCTGGACCCCACCAAGGGCCCTAAGGTGGGCCCCTGGATGCTCATCTGACCGTAATTAAATACCTTAAACCCCTGAGCTTCCGGGGGATCTGCCCCTTGAACCCCTGCTGAGGCTCAGGCCCTGGACCCCACGCCAATTTACGCTCTACCACTTTGAAAAAACGTTCCGCGGGGCCTGCATGTAACGTATAAGAGTGGTGGTGATGCAGATTTGTCTTCTCCCCCCCCCCCACTTCCAAACGTTTTTGCTCATTACGTCACTGCCCCTGGAAGGTGAGCCCCCTGGAGTGTTTGCCCCCCCCCCCCCTCCAATCCGAAACTGCTTCCGGCGCACCTGCAAGTCATGTTCGTAGCCTTATTGACATGATTTAAGATCTCTCCTCTTCCAATTTCATACCGTTTTTCTCGAGGTTGTTGTACTGATCACCCTTCCTTTTTTTGTTCTGAAAGAAACAAATGTTTAAACAAAAATACTATGAATCATGGAGAATATTGATTTTGATGATTACAGGCCTTATTGAAAGAAAGTTAACTGTGGTATTTAAGACACATGCATCTTCCATCAGATAGTCCCTGCTTTTGATATGGTTTTTATTGGAAACAAAGAATGATTACTATTTTGAAAGCAGGATGACCATATAGAGGACTTTAACTCCGCTTCGTTGACAATCAGTCGTAGACGAAAGACTTCATGCATAGCTGATTGTCACCGAAATGGAGTCAATTCTGCTTCTTGCTACGACAGGCAGCCAGTGAAAACGAATTCGTTTGATAAAATTATGGAGATGCAAGCACTACTTTAAACAAACAGAACTTTGTCATTCCTTGCTCATTTTTCCTGATTGAGGTGTCATATGAAAGGGCAGAAACTCAACTTTTTACAAATGTGATTTTCTCTTGAAAATTCAGATACCGTCCGCCAAATGACTTTTTGGTTTCCTCTCTTCAAATTCGTTTTAATTACTCATGCGTGAAATATGCATCATATGAGTTGCATCAAATGAAAGAGGAGGATCCAAGCTTTCCAAATATGTGTCATTTATCAATTATACTTTTGATTAAGTTATGATAAAACATCGATAATTCTCGGTTTCGTTTTTTTCTGGGACGCACTGTACAAGTTGAAGAGAGTAAGAGGGAGAAGTTAGGGAGCAAGAACGAGAAGAGAGACGAAAAGACTAGATACAAATTGGAGTGAAGGAGAACAAGAAAAAGGTGACAAGATGCTACTTAGACATGGAGAGAAACGAATTAACACAATCAGAGAGAGAACAGTGGGCACTGATAGATGGAGGAAATATCCTAGGGGGGAGATGAGCAAGAGAAAGATCGATAAAAGCGTAACTCGTAAATATGAACACCGATTTATACTTGTTCAGGTGTACCCAGTATATTTGTACTGACTATCTTTATTTGATGTTGACATCGATCTAGTCTGTTAGACGCACATCACATGTGTTTTAACAAACTCTGTTTCCACTGTTCCCATAACGTTAGCTCTTTCGTACATGGTCTGTCTCTAAAAAATATACGAACTAAAGGCTCGTTCAGATATGACGCGTCAAAATGGCGGCGTTTTGGTGGTAAATATTTATGATGACGCAAAGCGTTATATGCGCAAACCATTTGTTCTTGCTGTTCATTTACACTTTAAAAATAAAAGAATCGCGGCGGTTTATATCTAAACGAGCCAAATTGTGTTAACCCGCAGTGACTCAAGTGAGAACTCCTCTGTTGACGATGATGTAGGCTCTACCTACAAGAAAAGCTTCATTAATAAAAGCAGGGGGACACATCTGCGATTGAGTATTTATGTGAAGAAATAGATCGCTGCCGTTTCTATTCCATTTCGCTGCAACGTAAGGTAACAATGTTTAGAATTTTAGGCGTGTCTATTGTCAGGATATCCTTGTTGGTTTTTCTAGTGGCCTTCATGTGCCTCACTGGGAACTATTTAATCCACCGAAGGCTGTTCATGCACCCATGGATCCATTCAGCAGCATCCCTCGCCAAAGACACACGGGGGACAAACGGGAAGATCCGAGAGGGCGAATCCTTGAACGCGAGGATAGAAACTTCGCGGGGAGACGATGGGAAAACGAATCGGAAATCTTCGGAAGTCTTCGTGGTTATCCTCGCACAATGGCGTTTCGGTTCGTCAATCATCGGAGAACTCTTTAATCAGAACCCGAACATGTTCTATGTTTATGAGCCGCTCTGGGTATTCTCCAGAGAGGCTATGCTTCCGAATCACAAACTGACGGATATCTACGACTATCAAGTACCTCCCAAGGAAAACTTCAAGCGCGTCTTACGAGGGATACCACGGTGTGATTTCAGTGAGGACTTTGTGACGGTAATGAATACATCTGGTGGAAAGTTGAGGAACAAACTGATTTGTGAGAATACCGTCGACGTAGACAACTGCAATATGTCTAATTCCTACTGGTTGGATTCGGTGTGCAAGCGAAGTGGCGGTCGTGCCGCTACGAAGTTGATTCGCGCAGACCTTAACACCATCAAATCCCTGATCGTCGACGACAACATCAACGTGAAGGTAGTCAACCTTGTCCGCGACCCACGGGGAGCAGCTGCCTCAAGGGTTCATTACGACCTGGTCCTTAATCACAGATCCTTAGACCTTGTTGCGCTCAGTGATCAGATCCCGAAGAAGGGCCGGTTGGAGCCGCTGGGGTACCTGAACAACACACGTCCAGCTGCAGAATCACTCCCTGCCATGTGCGATATGATGCGAGCCAACTTCCGAAAAGCATCGAACCTTCCATCGTGGTTATCGAATCGATATAAGCTCATCCGCTTTGAAGATTTCGCGGAAAACCCAGTTAATGTTACCCATGAGATATATGACTTCGTAGGGCTTCCTCTGCCGACGACTGTTCGGGACTGGGTGGCCGAACACACGAATGTCTCACACGACCAGCCGGAGGAGTCGGTCATGTTTAGCAGTAGGAGGAACGCGAAGGACGTTGCGAGGCGATGGATGACGGATCTCACCGCCCTTGAGATAAGACAAGTGGAAGCCATTTGCCATGAAGCCATGCAGCTTCTAGGATATGAAGCCTATGATGAGATGAGGAAATCAACGGATGGGTTAACTTAAAAATAAAATGGAATATTAAGAGACTTAGTTGAAATTCATTGGAAGTTTGTGAAATTGTCTTCACTTTGCGATACGTTTGTTCACATATGTAAATATGTTAAGATTATAAAAGGAGTAATATTTAAATTTCATGTTTATAATCCCGTATCAGCACCTGGAATTCCTAAGATATAGAATGATTTAAAAAAAAGTAGTGATGGCTCGTATTTTCCATTTCAGAATTCCCCAAGAAATAATTAAGATCAGCCTGCCTTTTATTACGGCGACAAAAGGTACGACAACCATGACACAATTCAATAACTCTTGGAGCGTGATACAACACACAATTATCATGGACTAGACAAAAATTCTATGTGTATGTTTATTCAGTGCTTTTTTATTTCGCATAAACGTCTCAAAGTTATATAAAAGTCTTCCATTTATAATAATGATACAAAATAATATAACCTTTTATTTACTTAGGGTAGCCACTTCAGTTATGAAACTCCTCTTCCAGTGGGCCCTGCATAACATAACATAATACCATTCTCCAATCTAATATACTGAGCGTCTAGCTAGAAGGCAGAAGGTCCCATTGTTATAATTATTTGGTATGACTCGGCTGGGGTTCGAACCCACGACCTCCCGTTCATGAGGCGGGCGCTCTAACCACTGAGCCACCATGCCCGGTGCTTATGCATAATGTGATATCAATATCAATTGATACAGTAATTTAGCATACATCCCTCCGAGACAGTCCTTTACCATTGTAAGGGTTGACTCAACAACCTTTGATTCAGAGCGTTAACAAATAAACTAGAAGCTTGAACGAAAAGGACAAAAGTTACTGCTCACACTGTGTCTGTGTTTTGTTGCATTGATGACCCAAGAAATAAATAAGATCAGCCTGCCTTTTATTACGGCGATAAAAGGTACCACAACCATTACACAAGTCAATAACTCTTGGAGCGTGATACAACACAAACTTATCATGGACTAGACAAAATTATATATGTATGTTTATGTGTATTCAGTGCTCAAAGTTATATAAAAGTCTTCCATTTATAATAATAATACAAAATAATATAACCTTTTATTTACCCAGGGTAGACAATTCTTTTATGAAACTGCTCTTCCAGCGGGCCCTGCATAATAAAAAACATGTTAGATGCTGCTTGTAAGTGTCGGCTTGCATGGTGATGTAGATATACAGTAGGCTTGCGGGTGCACCATGTGAGAGAGAGAGAGAGAGAGAGAGAGAGAGAGAGAGAGAGAGAGAGAGAGAGAGAGAGAGGTTGAGGAGTCCTGGAAAGGACTCTGACTCGGTAATCTTTCTTAGGGGAGTGTAGTCCTGAAAAGGACTGTTTATTATCTTTCTTAGCTTATAGTTCTAAGGAGAACTATAGCGCTTGGAGAGGATGAACATGTTATTACTCACCCTTCTCCAATCTAATAAGCTGAGCGTCTAGCTAGAAGGCGGAAGGTCCCATTGTTATAATTATTTGGTATGACTCGGCCGGGGTTCGAACTCACGACCTCCCGTTCAAGAGGCGGGCGCTCTAACCACTGAGCCACCGTGCCCGGTGCTTATGCATAATGTGATATCAATATCAATTGATACAGTAATTTAGCATACATTCCTCCGAGACAGTCCTTTACGATTGTAAGGGTTGACTCAACAACCTTTGATTCAGAGCGTTAACAAATAAACCAGAAGCTTGAACGAAAAGGACAAAAGTTACTGCTCACACTGTGTCTGTGTTTTGTTGCATTGATGACCCAAGAAATAAATAAGATCAGCCTGCCTTTTATTACGGCGATAAAAGGTACGACAACCATTACACAAGTCAATAACTCTTGGAGCGTGATGCGACACAAAATAATCATGGACTAGAACAAATTATATGTGTATGTTTATGTTTATTCAGTGCTTTTTTATCTCGCATGATCGTCTCAAAGTTATATAAAAGTCTTCCATTTATAATAATAATAATACAAATACAAAATAATATAACCTTTTATTTACCCAGTGTAGCCACTTCAGTTATGAAACTGCTCTTCCAGCGGGCCCTGCATAACAAACATGTTATTATTAATCCTTCTCCAATCTAATATGCTGAGCGTCTAGCTAGAAGGCGGAAGGTCCCATTGTTATAAGTATATGGTATGACTCGGCCGGGGTTCGAACCCACGACCTCCCGTTCATGAGGCATGCGCTCTAACCACTGAGCCACCATGCCCAGTGCTTATGCATAATGTGGTCAGTAATTTAGCATACATCCTTTCGAGACAGTCCTTTCACATTGTAAGGGTTGACTCAACAACCTTTGATTCAGAGCGTTAACAAATAAACTAGAAGCTTGAACGAAAAAGAAAAAAGTTTCTGCTCGCACTGTGTCCGTGTTTTGTTGCATGACCATATTTCGTTTAACACCGTTACTTTTAAAAAAGGAAAATATAAGCTTTTAATATCCTTAAAGTGAACTGGCAATACGTTGATAGCATCAAAATCATTCTTCTTCGATCATGATTTGTCATTTTACGACTTTCTGACAAAGTTCATACTCATGTTTTATATTGTTTTGGGAGAAATATTTTTTTGTTGTTAAAATATTGGAGTACTAAAATACAAATATCAATATTTCCAATTTGATGAAGAACATGTGATGAACTTAAAGCCCGACTGTCCTACTTGTAGCTACTTAATCCCTCTATATAGAAAACTTCCCCAATCGGTGCCTGTTGGTCCCCCATGATCCTCTTTTTCTTATGTTATATGAGAGCTGAGTTTAATGAGATAGCCACCTGTCAGTGACCTCATTGTGTGGTTTAATCCCTTCTAGTCCAGTAGTATTGACGGTCTTTAAAGGGTTGGAATAATGAGAACGAGCAAGACAAAGACAAAGACATAATTATGTTAACTCTTTACTTTACAATATTATTTCCTTTTCACGACTATTAATGTAAGTCTGTTTGTATTGGATGGAATGAAATCATCGTTTGAAGAGTAAGTCTAAAAACACTAGAGACAAATATTTGCATTCATACAAAGGTAGAACACGTTAGGGTATTAACGACAACATCTGGTTCAATATTCCAATAACAAATATTCCAAAATAAAATATTCCAATATCGATTATTTCAATAACCAATAATCAAATATCAAATACTCAACTCAGCGAGCAGTGCATGTATCTTTAAACAAGCATATTAAGTAAACTTTTCTCTTCATTTTGGTCTTTCCAAAACCGCACTCACAGTGTGAACAATTCTTATGAACTACACGTATGATAATACCAAAGAGATGTATAGTATCTCTTTGATAATATTAGTAATAACACGAGTTATAGTGATGATGATAATAATAATAATATAACAATAATAGTAATGACAATAATATATCTTATAATGCGAAATGCCGTCTCTAAACGCTTTACAGACGTTATCACCCCTGTCATCGGATTTATTCACGCACAATGTGCACCATCTCCACTCTCTTGGGAGTATTCCTACCATATGGTCACCGTGAGGGCATATTTCAATAACTAAAACAGAGACTTTTTTAATCCTACCCGGTCGTCTTTTTCTCTTGGGTATGGAGTGGCAAATGTAGACTAATGCCTTTCCAAATGGCATTCGTAACGTGTCAGTCCTCAAACCCACAACATTTGCATATCAAGTGAAGTGGTTAAACCATCTGACTACCGACGACACCTTGTTTCCATACATTTCCTTTAAAGGCAGGGTACACGAATTTACGTTTACTGCCACCTGCTGCTCACAAAGTCTCAATGTGGCAACACACATGTCCCACAATGCAAATCCACGACGAGCGAGTGATGATGCTTTGGTACAGGAACCGGAAATCGCTCTAAATACGCCTTCACCGAAAGAAGGCTCAATTTGAAATACATTACAGCAGTGATAGCGATGGCGGTAAATAATGTAAGAATGTAATCGCGAGACCAGTTCTCCTCTCTTTCATCAATGCATCATGTCCAGTGGTTAGTTCAGTTTTTTTTAGTCATATTTGCATTGTGTATGATACAAGAGATTGTAATTTGCATTATCGTAAAACAGCTATCAAACCAGGGGCGCAGACTTGGCAAGGACATGATATTTTCTTGCCCTGGCTCCATTTCATCTACTCTTTTATTTCCCTTTTTTCTCTTGTATTCAGTTTCTTCGTTACAAAGTAATTAGATGACCGGTATTAATATATCCTTATCGATTGTACACATTAAAAACAAAGAAACAAATACATAATTGAAGAAAGATTTAAAACAAATATTGTTCATTCATCATGGTCAACCGCTCGGCATGTTTTGACTGGGAGTAGTTTGTGCATGCCTAGAAGTCATGACGTCTTTGTATGAAGGTAATTCATAGCCAGTAACCATGGTAACGCTTTCCCATGGAGAAGAATTTCGCGGGGTAAAAAGGTTAATATCTTCATAACATGGGGGTGGTGCTTGTGGAATGTATTTCATATGATCCACTGTATTTGGGTGACCAGGAGCATAGTTGGCCTGCGAAGATAGAAAAAAAAATGATTAACCACTTCTAAATGTTCGTACAAACATGACGCGGTAAATTAAACCGCCAAAAAAAGAACCGCCAATAAATATTTTATGTCTTCGTGTAATGAGATGGCAACAACTCGTATTTACTTAGCTCTGTGTTCAATACAAGATACATACATGTGAAGCGTATTAGAGTGGTGAAGTGTGACGTCATCAAAAATCTTTATTTTTAGAATTTCTAAAAAATTATTTGTATATTCTGAAAGAGCATCAAAAGTAATTTCCGAATGTCGAAAACCAATTGAATATATTGAGTATTGGCTGAGATAACATTAGGAACCAGAGCACTGTAACACTGAGTTCCCATAGGACATTTATTCAAATGGTCATATTTCAGCCAGTACTTAACATATTCAATAGTTTTTTGACATTCGGACATTATTTTTGATGCACTTTTGGAAAATAAAGAAACAATTTAGAACTTCTACAAATAGATTT